CTAAACCTAAACCCTAACCTAAACCTAAACCTAACCTAAACCTAAACCCCTAACTAAACCCCCCCCTAATAAACCCCCCCCTAAACCTCAATAGCCTCTCTAAAATCTTATCTACACTGCATAGCCCTTGGATCTACTTAGTGTACTCCCCCCCCCCCTCATGAAATTTCATTATCAAAAGTTAATATTCAAAAAATTAATAGTGGATTTATACTCCAGATGTCTAAAGTACTAATAAATTCTATTTTGGTAGTGATTTTATTCTTTACTATTTTTCTCAATTATGATAATACATTTAACTTCAATAATTTATTAACTTATTCATTAATTGAGCTTAATAAAAATCCAAAATTAGAAGGTACTACAGAACAACATAAAAGTGGACAAGATAGTTCTAATGGACATGGACAAGATAGTTCTAATGGACATGGACAAGATAGTTCTAATGGACATGAAGAAGATAGTTCTAATGGGCATGAAGAAGATAGTTCTAATGGATATAGAAGTAGCTATATTTGTAATCAAAGACAGTTATATCAAAGAATTAAAGAAGAATATGAAAAGAATTGTCGTGGTCATAGGAGACATTCAAGAAGATGTAAACTATTATTAACTAAGTTACTCACTCTTGAAGAACGAATTATTGCACTATAATCTAGTGATGAAAACTAAAGTGACAAAGATATAAAGTGGCTCTATAAGTGACAGATCAATGATTCAAAAGTCTGGATATTAGAAATGAGAAAAAAGTATTGTGGATTATTTTTTAATTTGATCTTAATATGTTTGAATATATATTATTAAGTAGTTATATATTTAATTATATAACAAAGTGAGTGGCTTAAAATCACTTGTTGATTTATTTATTTTGGATGTTTAGATGTTTAGATTTATTTTGGATGTTTAGATTTATTTTGGATGTTTAGATTTATTTTGGATGTTTAGATTTATTTTGGATGTTTAGATTTATTTTAGATATATTTACTAGAAACATTAATGATCTAAAAGTTAAATATCAATTATTTGTGCAATAAGTTTCTGTATTAAAAAGTATAATTATGTACTTATCAAATATATAGCTATAACAATTAAAGAATCCCCTTTCTTTATACTGTCCTGTTTCTTACTTCTAATAATAGTATTTAAACTCCAACTGTCAATACTTGTTTATTTTAATATTACTTATCAAGATACAAGTGGATATCTAAGATGGAAATTGGGAATATCTTAAATTTTATAGTTTATAATTAAATATATGAATATATTTTTAGAGAAATAGGTAGATAAGTAAAATTATAACTTTTTAAATTTTTTTTAACTATTATTAATATAAAGATTTTTTAATCAAATTTATTCTAGAAATAATTGTATTTATTAGAAATTTCGTAAACTATTGGAGATTTATCTGACTTTAACAATTTGTCACCTTATCTATTTATTTAATTAAATACTATTTCAATTTTCTAAAAGTTTGGAATTAAAAGTATTAGTAATAGTAGTAATAGTAATGATAGTAGAATTTTACTTTAAATATATCCAAAACTTGAAGAGAAACGTAAGAATCATTATTAACATAACAATGGAATAAAGAAGTATTTAGATATTAAAGAAAAAAAGAAAAAGAAAAGTCATTACTTAAATATTAGGAGAGTCATCTTAACTATTAGATTTTATCCCCGGTATTATTGACTTTATTAGATTTTATTCCCACCATTTATTAGATTTTATTCCCACCATTATTGTAGATTGCTTATATTCCCACGTAATTCTATATTATACATGACAATCATAAATGTATTAATTCCCACATAAAATCTCTACTTCCCAATTTATACAACGAAACCAAATTTCCTCACCAGTATATCGTTTATATGTACACTTTAATATTATATTAGAAAATATTTTTAATAATGTCTAAGCTTTTAATCAACCTAATTTTGGGAATAACTCTATGTATTGTAACTTCTCTAAATTCTGGAAATTTGTCTAATTCTAGTGATTTATCGGCTTGTTCATTCATTAAGTTGGATACTGAAGGAATGTCAAATAATTCAGGTAATGAAAATCCTCTACTCCAACGACTTTTGCAACTTCAAGATGAATATCTACAACATTGTCAACATAGTCATGGACATTTAACAAAGAGATGTTTAAGTCTTCAAGCTAGAATAGAGAATTTAGAAAAACAATTAACTAATACAAGATAAAACTTTGGATGGTAATTTAATTATCAAAACTGTAAAATAAAGTGATGAGTAAATAATATTATTAACTTTAAATGTGTTTGTATTTAATTTGTGGTTATAGTCAAATTGAGAAATTACTTGATAAGTTTAGATAATATTTTATTTATGTTTATTTCATTTATAGTACTCTTCTTCCTCTTTACAAAAACAAATCTTCACTTAATTTCCAATAGTAATTTAGTAATAATTTTTATATTCCATTAATATTAATATATTATTTATAATTTATCTTGGCAAATACTATGTCATATTTAATACCTACAAACCATTAAACTAAATCTACTCTTTCATAGATTTGATTTTGAATAATCTTATTTTCTTCTCTACAATATAAATAAGTTATAAATAATATAGTAATAATAAATGTAGGGAATACAAGAAGTAAATTAATTTGGAAAAATGTCCATTTATTTTCAGAAAATAAAGATACTAATAAATTAGGAAAATATTCTCCTGGATAAGATTGAAGTAAAAGATTAATACTTGAAAATTTACAAATAATATTACTTGGAATATTAAATGCAATAAGGGAATAAATTGTACCAAATATTGCCTCTTGACTTGTTGTATAAGTAACAAATGTTAAAATTTGTATTGGAATATATGGAATCAATTTAAGTAATGAACAAGATATTAATAATATACATGGAACAAATGATGATAATGCTAAACCATATTTATCAATAAGATAACCCTGATATACACCAATTAGAGAACCAAATGGAGCTATAAAAGTTAATATTGTAGACCAAAAATATCCTTGATTATGACGAAGTTCACCTTTTGGTAAATGTGATAATTCTTCTATTTGTAAAGATATAGTTGAAAGATAAAAATTGACCGATATAAGAGTAAATACACCTAACATAAATTGAAATAAAAATAGCTTTGAAAATATATTATTTATAAGTATTTTTGTATTTGTTATTAATAATTTTAATTTAGACATAAAACTATCATTTATTTCGTTATTAATAATAATATTCTTTTTTATTTTATAAAAACCACCTTTAATAAGTGAAAAATCACAATCATCTCCTTCTTCAAATGTTTCAGATGGCAACATAAAAGAAAATATTATAAATAAACCTTGTAGAAGTGCTAAAGTACCTATTAAATAATTAAATCTTATTGAAAAATAATCATAAAGAAACTGCATTATTAAAAATACACAAGATGAAAATCCATATAAAGTTGAAAGTGTAGATATAATCATTGCTTTATTAGAAGGAAATAAATTTGACATATGTATAAATGATGGAATATAAATACAACCACATAGATTCTGTAATATTATCCCAGTACAAAAAAAATTTATAGTGACATAATCTCTCTTTGGAATTAAAATTAAAGTAGTACCAATAGTTGTTATAAGTTGACAAATACCAATAAATTTTGGACCAAAATAATCAATAAGGAATCCTAAAAATATAGTTGAAAACATTTGCCGTGATAAAGATAAATTCATCATTTTTGCTAAATATACTTCTTCTGTTAAACTAGGTATTGCAGGATCTTCACGTGAGAATTTAAAAATATTTTCACTTTTAATCATATTAGCAAGTGATGGCCAACCTAATATAATTCCTGAGCTTAAAAATATTTGAATAGATGATAAAATAATAATAATATATCTAATTTTATTATTCCCATTTTTATTTTCCATATTATTAATAATCGGTATTTTTACATCAGATATATTATCTTTTAAATACTTGCTTTCTTCTTTCATTAAATATTAGATATTAAACTATAAAATAATATATATTTAATTACTTTAACAAATTCTAACTTAATATAGAAAATTATCCCTATATTTTAAGATTATTATCTCTTAAAATCAAATACTTTAATAATACAAATATTAATGGTTATAGTATAGCTACCGCTAATAAAAAGATAGAATCATTGTTACGTCTTGTTAAATATATTTCATTAAGTTCTCTTTTTAAAGGATTTTATCATTTCTAAATAATTACTTACTATAGTGATGGCATATTATTTAAGATCTAAATGTTTAAATTGGGTACCAAGATCTCTATGTAAAATAGTATTCAAGCCATCACATACATTATCACTATTAAAATATAATAATATATATACACAAAATTCTGCAAATTTGTTTACTTCATCTAATACACAAGATATAAGTACTGAACTTGATAAATCAAATAATTTGGATAATACTAGTGATACTATGGAATATCTTAAAGAAAAAATCATTATTTTAGAAAATGATATCACTGAAAATGTAAAGAAAACTAAAGAAACTCAAGATAAATTTTTAAGAACACTTGCTGATTTAGAAAACTTAAGACAAAGACATCAGAAAGATTTAGAAAATACTAGAATATATGCAATAAGTAATTTTGCAAAGAGTTTACTTGAAGTAATAGATAATTTATCAAGAGCTTTATCTGCATTTCCTTCAGATAAAATACAAAGTGATAAAAATCTTAAAAGTATATATGATGGTATTGATTTAACTAATTCAACTTTATTAAAAATATTTGAAAATTTTGGTATATATAAATTTGAATGTATAGGTGAAATTTTTGATCCTAAAAAGCATGAAGTTTTATTTGAAACTATTGATGATAATAAGCCTAAAGGAACTATATCATGTGAATTATTACCTGGTTATACAATTCATGATAGGATTTTAAGACCTGCTAAAGTTGTTACAGTTAAACATTCTTAATTTATAAATTATATTTTATATTAATAATAAAATTAAATTTAAATAGATTTATTATATATATTATTAGATCTTAATACTTTATATTATTTTGAAATTTATAATATTAATAGTAGATATCATATATTTCAAATATTAACTTATATATTTTAATTATTTAAGTTTGAAGTTATAAATAATATAGAAAAATAAAATTTTTCTATATAAATAAAGCGTGTTATTATTATATCATAGAAATTCTAAAAGCCCTAATAATCCCGCAATTAGGGTTTTTAACTTTTAATAATATTAGGAATTATAATAAAGTATTTAAATTAGGATCTTGTATAATAATATAATTAATTATTTATTTCAATGATATGGTATGGCCTTTACTTGCTATTACATTTGGTTTTGGTGCATTAGCAGTTAGACAGGGTATCCGAGTTATTAAAAACAATAATATTCTACTCCCATTATCTCATATAAAGAGTTCTATAAAAGCTATATCTCCAAAAAATAAGGGTTTTGAAAATCCAATGACAAGAATTGAAGCATATAGAATTTTAAATTTATCACCATCTGCTTCAAATTCTAAAATAAGAGATGCACATAGACAGTTAATGCTTAGAAATCATCCTGACAATGGTGGATCGAATTATATAGCCTCAAAAGTCAATGAAGCAAAAGAATTAATATATTATGATTCTAAATAAATAATGTATCTAATTAATTATCTATAGAATATATTATAAATAATAAGTATTCCTTTATTATTATTACTACTATTAATTTTATAAATATAATCTATTCAATAATTATCTAATTATTATTTAATAATAATATTATTAAATTTTATTTAAATTCTTAAATTTAACTTTATAATAATTAATGTTGATTACTTTATTTATTTATTATCAAATATTAAGATCTATATTAAATCTGCATCTAAAAATTTATTATATTATTCAATAAAGTCTTAATATTTAGTCATAAATAAAATAATTAAAATATTAAAAATGGAATGCTTATTATTATTTATAATACATAGATATCTCTCCAAAAATTTTTGTTTATATAAATAAAATATGTTATAAATACTAGCGGATGGTATTTAGATAGGTATCCTATAATGTTAATAGCGGTATTATCTAGTCATTGATTAACTTTAAAAACTTCAAAAGAAGGAATTTTTTAGTGATCATCAAGGTAAATTTTTTAAATTAAATGAGTGAGATACAAGATCCATTAAAAACTTCTTGTTATTATGAAATATTGGGTTTGTCAATAGATTGTAATGAAGAGGATATACGTAAGGCATATAAGAAACTTGCAATAAAATGGCATCCTGACAAAAATTCAGATAATCTTGAATATGCTACAAGTGTATTTCAACGTATTTCAGAAGCTTATCAAGTTCTTTCTGATCCAGAAAAAAGGGAAAGATATGATAATGGAGAATATAATGAAGATTCTCAACAAGAATTTTATGTTGATCCTTTTCAAATATTTCAAACTACGATTGGAAATATATTTTTTAATCATACAATTGGACTAAATTTTGGATTTTCTAATATTTTTGATATTATTGAAGAATCATTAACTACACATAATGATTCCAATATACTATATTATTATAGATCTAAGAATAGTCAGAATAAATGTAAGGAACCAAAAATATATCAACATACATATAATAAAGGAATAAAAAGTAGAAATAATAAAAATAAATGGTATGGATCAAGAAGATTAGGTCAAGCTATGGAATATTCTAGGAAAATCAAATTTTTAAAAACTTCTTTTTAATTAATAATATTTATGGATATAGTATATGATTATTATTTTGTATATCTTTTATATAAAGATGAGTTTGTTGAATATTCGATAATATTTTATCTTTATATTCTATTACAGCTATATGTTTAGTTTTATAATCATTTAATAAATCACTTAATGTTATTTCAGAAATAATTTGTTGTATAGATTGACAGCTTTGAATCTACAATATATTTGATGAAATTATGATTAAAAAATTAGTATTAAATAGAGATAAAGAAATTATTTAAATATATTCTGAAATAATATATAATACACTTACAATACTGTTTACATGAAGTTTTAGAGTAAAACTTGAGATGTAAGAATCATATAAAGTCCCATCTAGTGTTGATATTTGGGATTGTTCAAGAATTCTTACCATATTTTCTATCATTCTATTAATATTTTCACTGACTAAATTGCGATATTTCTCTTTTGCATCCATTATAAAAATGAATAATAATTTAAGATAAAACCTGACTATTTTATTAAAATACAAAGTTACCTATTATTTTAAAATTATTAGTATGGCGGGTAAATCGTATTTTAAAAAAAAAAGGTAGCGCTATTTAAAAATATTTCTACAAATATTGAATTTATTACTTCGTTCTTTTTTCCCCATCCCTATTTTCCTCCCTCTTCTTTCTATTTCTTCTAAATATTTTAAATTAAGCTTATAAGAAGAAATACCCTAAAATTTTAGACTTTATAATAAGCTTAAGATCATTAAATCAATAATATGAAAAGAATTTGTCCACAATGTTCTAGCTTAAGTATAGAGACTCATGAAGGAAGGGGTGAAACAATATGTACAAACTGTGGTACAGTATTAGAGGAGAATACAATGGTGGAGGGATTTCAATTTAGTGAATCATCTAATGGTTCAATTCAAATGGTTGGTCATTTTGTTCCATCTTCTGGTGTTAGAGGATTTGCTCTTGTATATGGAAATCGAGAAAGTCGTGAGCATGTATTACAAAGAGGGTATCATAATTTACAGAGGATAGCAGATCAATTACACCTTTCAGCTAGTCATATAGAGTCGGCTCAAAGAGTGTTTTTGATGGCAGTACAAAGGAATTTTACAATTGGTAGGAATAATATGTATGTAGCATCAGCTTGTTTATATGCTATTTGTCGTCGTGAGAAAACTCCACATATGCTTATAGATTTTAGTGATGTTTTACAGGCTCCAGTGAAAGTTTTGGGTCAAGTATTTATGAAATTATTACGTTTACTACGTTTACATGTTCCAAATATAGATCCATCAATGTTTATGGAAAGATTTGCTGCTCAGATGAATTTAGGAAATAAAACTCATTCTATAGCTGCAACAGGGGTAAGAATTGTACAAGCTTTAACGAGAGATTGGATTACAACTGGTAGAAGACCTACAGGTTTATGTGGAGCTGCATTACTTATATCTGCCCGTTATCATGGTATACCAGTTAGTTCTAATGAAATAGCTCAAATTGTTCGTATATCTTCTCCTACATTATTAAAACGTTTAGCAGAATTTAAACATACTTCTACAGCTCAATTAACAGCTGCTGAATTTGAAAATACAGATTTATTATCTCTTCCAGTTATACGTGGTCCACCATGTTTTGAAAGGAATAAATTAAAAGCTTTACAAAAAGAGATTCAAAAAAAAGCTATAACTAATGGAGGTAATAAAAAATCTTCAATTATTAAAAATATTGATTTAAGAAATGATAACTCTTATAATGATTTAGATAATAATGATGATTTAACAGCTATATCTAGTACTATTAGTTCTTCTAATTTATCAGATAATACAGAAGAAGATAATAATTCATTAGCATTCCCAAAATTTATGGGTGGTATTGAATTAGATATAACACAAGATAGTTTATGTAATGATGAACCTACTTCTCAAGATATTACTGTTATAGCTTCTAAATTAATTAGTGCAATTGATAAAGTTGTAAATGTAGATCAGAAAAGTAATAATGAAGAAAAATATTTAAATAATGAGATTAGTAATTCTGAAATATTAAATAATGATTCTGAAGATAATCTTCGACTAGATCCTTTGAAATATTTATTTAATGATTTAAGAAATATGTCTACAGATAAAAATTCAGTTGTAGATGAATATGAAGAAAATTCATATAATATTGTAATTAATGAGGATATTAATTTAGATAATAGAAAAGAAGATTTTGATAATCAAATTGAGGATTTAAGTGATATCAGTGACTCTGAAATTAATGATTTATTATTAGATGATGATGAGAAGGAGGCTAAGAGTATTTTATGGGATGAAATTACAAGGGAAAGTTTACCTTATTCATGGTTAAGAAAAATTAATAATCAAGATACTAATATTGAAGACATTAATATATCACCAGTTATAGATAATCAAAAGGTACCTCATAAAAAAAGAAAATGTGAATATAAAAATCAAGATATTACTGATACAAATAATAATAAAGACCAAAAACCAGAAACAGCTGTTGAAAGTATACTTATGGCTTTAGACAAAAATAATAAAGGTACAAATAAATATCTAAATTCAGATACTCTAGCAAAATTATTTACTATATATTAAATATTATTATAAATATATTTTATAATTTATATATATTTTAGGATTATATATATAATAATTTTGTATTATAGTATACTGTTAGTATAATATAGTACAAAATAGTATATATATAATACAAGATAAATAAAACCCTAGTATTTAGATTAAGATTTTTAATATTTAAGGGATATATAAAAAAGTAAATAAATGTTGGATTTATTGATAAAGGAATATTATTTTAATGTTGTGTCTAAATATTCACAATAATCCTACTTTGCACTAGAAAGTGGTAACTTCAACAAGATAAGTAACAAGATTAAGGATTATAGATAAATTCTCAATATATAATATTGAAGATTATATATTGGAGGTTCTAATAAAATTTCTAATATGTTAGAGAAATACGGAAAAAAGTTGGATATAATGCAATTCTTGTATTTCTTATTTTATACCCAATAACTTAAGGTTCTAATAATAAGTTCTCCAATTATTTCTAAGACATCTACATTATTATAGTGAATCAATTGTTATAACTACCCTGAAATGTTAGAATATATTTAAACTTTAAAATGTTAATAAATAAAACAAAGCTAGTGAGATTTTAACTATAAGTATAAAATCCAAATCTTGAGAGCTATAGTATTACTTGAAAAGTAGTCATGTAAAATATTACGTACGTCCAAAATACCCGCCTAAATATTTTAAAAGTTAAAGCAATGTATAACGATATTGGAGCTAAGGAAAAGAAGAAAAAAAAAGAAAACTAGAATTAGGAGGACTTAGTAGTCTATACTAAAAACTAAGAGCAACCAGACAAATTTTCTTTCATAATAGGCAATGACTGCAGTTGAAATATTGTCAAGAGCTCCTTTTGTGGAGTTACAACGTAAATTTTGTGAGTGTGATCCCTTGGGAAGAAATAGTGAGGGATGTAAATATACTGCAGAGTTAGCATACAATTTTTCTATGGCATATTCTATAACTGGAGATAAAGATTCAAATATAATTCCACTTATGGAGGGAATTTGTACTGCAGCCTTAAGTGTGGTTTCATTATACCCAAAAATTTTGGGTGAAAATTTTATTTGTACTATTTTAAAAGATGACTTAATAGGAAGTTCTAGTGCATCTTTAAAATTATGGCAACAAGATTGCCCAGAAACAAGAACAGTTGAAGAATTTTTGATTAGAGAAATTGATATACATGGATTAGAAGAATTACGTAGTAATAGAAGTAGTGCTGTTGTAAAATTCTTGTGGATGATAAGAGCTTTGAATTTTATACTTAAATTTTTAGAAAATGCAGTTACTGGGAATTCAGATAATTTATTCTCTGCTGCAACAAATGCATATACAACTGCATTAAAACCTTATCATGGATTTATGAAAGCTGGTATAGTTAATTTAGCATTACAATTATGCCCTAGTAGAATGAAATTCATGGGAGCATTGGGATTTCAAGATATGGATGTAGCATTGGATATTTGTAGAAGACTAATCCAAGTATCTAAACCTTGTATTGAACAGGTTAATTGTTTATTAATAAAGTATAATTGTAATTTCCCAGATAAAGTATGAATATGAGCAATCTGATTAATTCTATTTATTGAATAGAACTATATAGAAGAAAAGAATTTGTGAATATTTGGATAGTTTATAATACTCTTATATTTATATTTCAATTTTAAAGATAAAGAAGAAAATAAGTTTTTAATATATTAACATGATGCTATGTATATATTAAATATAGTCTGATTTAAAATTAGCACTTGTTCTTATATGTTTAACTTTATCTTAGATTGGATATTCTCTAAATGGAATTTAATACAGAAACGCAAGAATTTATCTAATAATAGTTCAACATGATTACGACCAACATGAGCTGGGAGAAAAATTGGGGAATTTTGCCCTTTAATATAAAGACGTAATATAACTGAGCCTGGTAAATCAAATATATAAGAAGATTGTGGAGATTCAGAGTCATTTAACATATACCGTGGTATTCTAAAAGGATGGAATTCCTTTTCACATTTAAGATCTTCTGGTTTTGGGGGTGTTTGTAGAAGCTGTATTGCTATTGACATAGATATATCCATACAACGTTGTGTATTATTAAATTTAAAATAATTCTGATTATATAGATATAAACTAAATGGGGAATTTAGTCTATATAATGGTGGCAATTGAGATATATCTAGATTGAGATTACAAGTCTTCCTAAAACGTGATAATTCTATACTAGGGAAACCAGCATGAATGATACGTAGTGAATGTTTTGCTTTTGCTTTGAATAAGAATTCAGTTAATGATTTAGATATTAGCCAAACTTTCCTAGGATAGCGATACTCATCTTGTGTATATATTGTATCTTCATTTTCATTTGGACTTTTTATATTAATTTGATTCTTTAAATCATCATTTACTTTTTTATTAATACTCCTTTCATTACATGCTTTATTAAAATTTCCCTTTGGATTTCTATATAACAAATGATTAAGTAATTCATCCTTATTATAATCTTTTAAACCATAAGGTTCTATCATTAATTTTAGAATTTCTTCTCCATATTCATGATCTTTTAAAGGGCAATAATCATCTTGAATATGTAGATTATAATTTGGTTTTTTATATTCAGTATCTAATGATGTTAATAATCTCAAAATAGCTATGAAGAAACCACCAGTATTTTGATAATGTGGCATAATTCTTATGCACTTTTTAAGATTTGATGCTATATCTGGATCTTCAGGAGGGAACATTGAAGGTACAATAGATTCATGTAAATGATTTGGAACATCTTGATAATGTTCATAGAATTCAGGAATATTTGATATATTATTTATATCATTTCCATCCCTTCTTTTTTTATCCCTTTTTTTTTTAATTATTACAGGAACTTTCCATTTTGATATCCCATGGCTATATTTAATTTTATTTAAAACTTCATTTGATAATTGCGAAATATTCTTAGGATCTATAATTTCTACTGTTATTCCCTGTTTCTTTAAAGATGTAATTACAGAAGCAATAACAGCTTCATTTTCAATTGGATTAAATGAACAAGTACTATATACAATTAAACCTTTAGGTTTTATAAGGCTCAAAGCTCTTAATAAAATTTTCCTTTGCAGTCGATGTAAAGAACAGCCAAAATTTGTATTCCATTTTGAAAATAGATTTGGATTTTTACGAAGTGTACCGTCACTACTACAAGGTACATCACATAAAATACGATCAAACAAAAATTTTGTTAATTTGGAATCTTTATCAATGTATAATTCTGGAAAATTATCGGCAGAATGTGTAGTTACTACAAATGAAGGAGAATTTAAATGTCTCATATGATGTATTAACATATGAGCTCTTCTTGTATCTAAATCGTTTGCAACCAAAAAACCACTAACAAATTCCTTATCGTCTGTATCTGATTTTAAAATTTCTAATATTTGAGAAGTTTTACTGCCAGGAGCAGAGCACATATCCAAAATAGCGTGATGTTTAGATATATCCAAAAATAATACAGGCAGCATACTTACAGCTTCTTGACGAAATATACAACCTCCATCACTAAACAAAACTAATGAGGAGTGAAATTCTCTTGCTATTCCAGAAGATTTCTTTAAATTAAAACGAGATTTTGTTATTTCATATGCAAGTTTATTTGGGTACCACTCTAAGCATGATACTAATGGTTCACCATCATTATTTTCTGAATATTTCGAAAGTTTTTCCACATATTCTAAGACTGAACTTGAGTAAGGATTTTTTCCAACAATGCGGAATGTAGATGGGAGATCTTTTTTAAGATATTCAATAAAATCATCCCATTCCTCATCTGATACAATACTTTGATATTTATAATATCTCTTAAATTCCAAATTTTCACGTTCTAGCTCCTTATATTCTCCATACATTTTAAGAGATAAAAAAGTAAAGAATTAGAAAGTTAAAGTATAAACAGACAATAAAGGAGTGACAAATAACTACAAAGAACATATGGCGCAGACGCTGATGAAAAGTAGCGTCGCATTAACTACATAATATATTAATCTCTATAATAATAAGAATTTAACTCTAACAAATTTTAAATCATTAAAACTATTCAAAAATAAAATTAAGATAAGGTGACCTAATAAGCAACAAAAGAAAATAACGGGAAAGAGAAAGAAATATGTAATATAATGTATAAAGACATTACACAATACTTAAAGTAATTAAATATATTTACTTATATCAAAAATATCCATCTAATCTTTATTTGTAGAACTTGAAAATGCAACGTCTAGGTATTTATTAATAACTTTGCATAATTTTGGGGAATCTTCACAAATTGATACCCGTAACTTATGAATATCTAAACGTATTCGAGTAGATATATTACGAATATCTTTAGCATATTGAGAAAATTGACTAGTGAGACTTCTGTAGTTTCCTATAAGATCTTTATCATTAATATATGAATTAATCATCTCCAAAATATTCTTATCTTCTTTTATATTATCACTTATCTTAAATTCAGTATATGAAATATTTTCTTGAATAATCTTTTTAATTTTAATGAATGGGTCAATTTTTGTCATTACTTCTTGAGCTAATTGATAATATGCCCGAACTTGATAATAATCACTTAAAATGAGTTTAGAGACTTTCTTGGCAATTTTAGAAGAAGAATATTCAGTAAAATATTTAGTTGCCTTATAAAGTTCCCAAATTTCATTAATAGTTTCTCGAGTTTCCAAATAATCATCATATACAAAATCACTTTCAAATTCTGCTAGATTAAATTGTTGTAGAAAATCATCAATCTGACAAAATATAGATTTAGCTTGTAAACCACAATACTGCTTCTTAAAATTTCTCTGTATACCTTTTCCAGTTAATATTATATTACAAGATTCATCTAACCTTATTGTAGTAGAACCTTTAACTCTAGCTATATTAGATAAAAAAAACTCACAATTTTCTTGATTAATGCCACTTTGTACAAGCATCATATGTAAAAAATTCACATCAACTTCATTCCAACTAGTTAGAAATGGTCTTAATTTATTGAAATACATAAATATATCTTTAATTCTAATATATAGATCATCCTTCCTATCAATCTTATAATCAGTTTCTCCTAATAGATTTGCAGTACCTAAACTAAGATCTTCATTATATGGAGTTGGATATAATTTATGATCATACTCATCAATCAAATCTATTTCATCAAATATAGATTTTGTAGCATTCATCCCTATTTGTATTCCATATTTAATAGCATTATTAGAAATTTTTTTATTAATGTAAAATCTACCTTTAAGAATTACCTCTACATTCGTATCTGCAGGTATAAAAAATCTTGTTGTTACACCAGGATACTTCTTCATGGAATTCATTATTACATTATTTGGAAAATATGGAACTAATAGTCTAGTCAAAGTATCACCAAATACTGAAATAAAATTTATATCTTCCATTTCCTTTATATTTGTAAATAATTGAGGGGGTGATTTATCTAAAGCAGATATAACATCCACAATAATATCATCAAAACTTTTTGCTTTGCCAATTAAAATACAACGCCTAATTGCATCTTCAACATTTATATAACCGCGCAAACCACCATCAACAAAAGTTCCAAAACCATCAACTTTTGAAGGTTTGAACATTATAGGGAAAGTCCCTGATGCTGCAACAGCTTGTGAAAAAGTATTTTCATCTAAATCACTTGAAAAAGCATAAGTACGAAAAGATTCATAGCTTACAGCAGTAACTATTAAATCTCTTTTTTTATTTCTCCAACGTCTTCCCTGTAATTGACTATAAATAAATGATGAAGCTCTAAATGTCTTGCATATACTCCTTAGACGATGCGATCTAAATATTTCAACTAACCAACCACCAGCATTTCTCCAGAGAGGAAATATACAACTATGAATATGATCAGAATTTAGAGATGAAAAAATAGATATTAAGTTACTTGCCCAAATATGTTCACGACCTGGTTCAGATATTAAACTATAAGCTAAGTTGCCACCACCAGAAGAAACACCAGTTACAATATCCCAACGAAGTTTCTTCTTTTCCTTTCTATACTTTGAAGCTAATCCATAAATAACTCCTGCCTGCCAACAACTCCTATTAGAACCTGCAGACAATGCAAGAATATAACATTTATCGTCTCTAGCATCTGTTATATCTATTGTATTATTTTCATAATTTGTTATATATTTCTGGAAAATAGAATCTATATATTCAAAAGATAATAATGTCTCCATAGTTGGCATAATATAGTTTTTTACATTTCTAGTTGTATTTGAAGTTCCTGATGTATTAGTTCTCTTTCCACCTAAAATTGGATTCCATGAAGTTACAGAACGTACTTGAAATACACTTAAGAAAAATAAAATGTAATATAATGTTAGAAATAAGGAGCATCTTAGAGATATTAAGAAGTAGTAAACTACATTTAAAATTAACTTCATATTACATAATGTCCTTGGAGACTTAAATTTAGAAGATGAAATATTTAAGTGCAACATTTTATTAAATAGAAGATCCTGAAACCAGATATGATTCAATTCCATAATCTCAATAAATCTTTAAAATTACACCAAAATCCTTAAATCCTATTTATGTTTTTCTTCTTTATAAATAGTTCATATTATAGGTTAACCTAATAAGTATTACTAATAATAAATATTTTAGATGATTTCAATATAAAATAAATTTTAAAATACGAGTTAAATTTAAAAAAAAGTTGAAAGACTGGATATTTAATTCTTAATTGTGGTTAGTTTTCACAGCTTTTTGAGTACCTTAACTAGTTAATAATACGGGTTGTCTTTAATAGCATGGAATTAGAACCGCTTGTCAATAAGGGGAGGGGGGAGGAGATGAAATTTCATTGTAACTTTCTATAGTGAAAGTTAAATATTAAAAAGTTAGATATTCTAAGTACTAAAAAGTTAGATATTCTAAATATTAAAAAAAAAGTTACTGCTTTAATTCTCATTATGCAAGCTTAGAAATTTCAATTCTTCTTGCAGAAGTTATTTCAAGTAATCTATGAAATGTCTCAGTTATAAGCTGCAATAATAAAATATAAACTTCTAAAATAATATGATCTTGTTTTTCTCTAATTACTAGAGCTTTCTGAGTAATATTTATGGATAATCTTGATGTAATATTTGTTAATTGCCTGCTATAGATACCTTTTTGTTTCAATATCCTGTCAAGTGGTAATTTAATTTGATCACATAAGTCATTTGGATAGTCTTCAATATATTTTCTGAAATCTTTAATGTGAGCAATATAATTTAAAATAAACTGATAATCCATTTGGAAATCTTTTCTTAATTTCTCAAGACTTTTTGATCCATTATTTCTTAATTTAATACAGGTATCAAAATATTGAATTTCCTTTAGTCTGTTACTTATATGTTGAATATTAAAATCAAAAAATAATTCCAATTTATCTAAGCTTTTTAAACAGGAATCTGAAGATTCTGATGTTTGTTTAGGGTTTTCAATTTCATTGGTATCCACTAGGATTTTAAATATATTATCCTCAGAACATAAAATATATATACATGCATGATCTAAATCTTCATGATAAAAATTTTTAGCTGCTAAAATATATTTAAGAATATATTGACAATGTTCCATTGTTTTCTTATGTGATATTGATCGAGTTATAAATTTTATATCAGAATTTGTCCATATTTTTAAATAGAAGAACTTATAAGCAGAACATTCCAAAATATTTTTAATTCTATCTTCAAATGATAATAATTCACAAGATTTCTGACTACATGATTTACCAGACAAAGGTGTTATATCATATAATAAAGATGGTGAATTTTTTTCTGGAGGTACAGATAAAGTTGAATTTGGTATAGTCCAATTATTTTGTATATCCTGAAATAATAATGGAGATTCATATGCATGAAAAAATCCTTGTTCAACAATATCTTTAAATTTTTCATGGTTCCATAAGTAAGGAGCTTTTCCCAATATATTTCTAGTATTTGTAGGATATAAGAAGTGCCTAGGTGTTATATCTGGGAAATTTTGGAGTGATTTATATATTGTACTGCTTGATCTCCTTGTAATAATTAAAGATTTAAAAACTTGACGAACAATTTTTAATATACTTGTTTTGTTAGCAACCTCTTCAGTCATTTGTAGATCTGTATGTAATAATTTTTCATCATCAGCAGCTATAAAATCTATAACTACATCAGCAGTTGTTTTAGCTTTTCCCATTTGAATACATCTACGGATTCCAGACTCTATATCTATTAATCCAAAAAAACCACCAGTTGCAAAAAGTCCCATTGAAGAGATATTTACAAAAGGAAATCCCAATGGATATGAAATAGTTGCCAATAGAGCACCTTCCACAACTTTTTGATCTGTTGTTTCGTCTGTAAATACTACATGGGAATAATCTGAATATTTAAAAGTACTAATTGTAAAGCCTCTATTTGATTTTCGTTTTCTTTCACTAAATAAAATATTTATTAATTTTTTTAATGGTCTTGTATTACAAATAAATGAAAATTTATCTTTGCCACGATTTTTTATGTAATCAGTAATCCATCTTTTTATGATTTTTGAAAAAGGATAGTCACATTTTGCAACTACATCTTTAGATATTTTAGGCCATAAAGATGCTATTTCATATGTCCATTCTAACTCATCTCCTGCATCTGAATACTGAGAGAACATCCCATTTATTGCTCCTACACCAACTCCAGTAATTATATCCCATCTTAGTGGTTTTTTATTATCGTGATAATATCTAGCTAATCCATGGACTGCGCCTGCTTGCCATGCTCCTCTACTAAATCCTCCTCCCATAGCTAATATATAACACTTATTAGGATTAGCAGTATCATTAAGATCAGGAGTTTTTGCTCCTAGTATTGGAATATTTATATTGTGTAATTCTATTCCATTTACACTTTCCCTATTTAAATTTATAGAATTATCAAAAGTCTCCTGTAAATTCATTACATTAAGTTCTTTTATTGGAGATGCAAAAGTATAGACGTTATTAATAACCAGAATCAATAGATTTAATATTTTTAAAAATAACAAAACCATATTTCAATATTTACTAAGAGTTATGGAATCTCCTCTATAGCAATGTTCTCCAAAGGTTAACTTTATAAAATATTTATTACCACTTACTTCTATTATATTGGTAGATTCTTATTATTAGTGATAAGTCATTAAAGTGTTCAAAAAGATTTTTAATATTTTATTTTGTAATAGGTATCTCACAGAATTCGGTATTATAGCGCTAAAAACTGGTATTTTATTTATTAGGAAAGTTATAGAAAAAAAGATCTCAAAATCCCAGTTAATATTTACACAAAATCATTTATATAAACATATCATTTATAGTATAGTAGAGAGATATTTTAATTTTTTTATTTATTATAATATAATTAAATATAATTTTCTGTTTTCTTTAAAAAATACTGATTATATCTATTTTAATATGACAAAATATTATTCTATGTTTATACATATAGAAGATATACAAAAAAACATAGAAAAATGTGCAAATATCTTGATATGTATGCTAAATATTAGGTTTTATTTTTCTTCAAACATTTTATAAACCTAAACACCACACAATTTGCAAACATTTATTATTGTAACAGTATTAGGGGACTTTGTAATTATGTGGTTCTAATTCCACTAAAATATTATAAATTTTAACTAATGAAAGTATAAGTTGATCAATGTTTAAAAAGTTTATTGAATATGTTGTCTTTTTACCAGTTCTACTGGAACATGTTCTAGGGCAAGTATCTCCTGGACCTTATCCAACTGCAAAATTTAGTGAATATACCTCATATTTTAGGCAACCTTATGGGTTTGAAATTATAGAAGGAAGTCAAGGACCTGATTATTTTAGTGAATTCTATGTCTTTCCTCAATATCCACCATTATTAACTCCTTGCCAGTATATGTACCCTCTTAGTATTTTAATTGGTAATACTAATACGACTAAAAGATTCTCAGTTGAATTTGAGTGTAATAATTCAGGTTTAAATAATTCACTGAGTTTAAATAGTAGCTATGGAACTTTGAATTTTAATTCAAGTACATTATTAGAAGGTGCTTGTTCTTATATTGCATCATTTCTAAATATGGCCCATTTCTCAATATTTCAAACAAACTCCTTTACAAATATTACATATTTGATTCCTGGTTCAATAATTAAACATGCATTATCTTTAATACCATCTTCAAATTCTATTTTAATTTCTAGTCCTGGTTTAGAATGGTTAAGTAATCATTACTTCGGTAATAGTAATATAAATTTACCTCAATATTTAAATCTAGCTCAGTCATTTGATGGAACATTTTCTATACCTTTATTATATAAAATATATATTCCTAATGATGTACTCCCAGATATAATTACTGTTGGAGAAACTTCATCTAGATTTTATAGAGATTTTTTTAATTTAACAATAACACCAGGTAACTCTACAAGTTCAAAAGAAGATTACAATATAATTGAATGGTTACCAAATACAGGATATGCAGGTTATTTACCAAGTGTATTCCCAGTAATTTCTATAATTCCATTATTAACTTATGAGAGTTGGCAAGCTACAGAAAATAATCTAGTACCTTGGTGGGGGTCTAGCAATATACCTTTAGGTATTTCACCTTTGAAAATTATTCCACCATCAAATTTACCTTCTAGTGATTATGATGGTTGTAAGAGTGCTTTTTCTTTTTATTATCCATCCCTAATAGGCCAAATGAGTAATTCTACAAAAGATTCTTTAAGTTATTTATTAAATAATTCCGCATCTTCATTTTATCAAAGAAATACATTGCAAGCTATGTTATTCTTCAATAAAATACCTTATTCAATGCCAGGAAATATAGAAGGTCAACTTCCAAATATAATATTACCATACAAAATGTATTTAACAAATTATATTGGAGGTTGTTATTATAATGGTACATACCCATTAGTTTCAACTTCTGGACCAGGTTTTACAGTAGCCTCTCTTTGTTACAAGGATTCTTTAAATACTGTCCCATTTAGTTATAGCCCTTTTTATCCTCCTCCATTAAATTATTCTGGATATTTAACTCAACTTAATCATATGATGGGTATTACTACATTTGTGAGTCAGTTCATAGCTTATCAGATTCAGGGTGGTGCTCCACAAAATGTAGCTAATTCATTAAATCCTATATCAGCAAAATATCCAGGATTTGGAGTATCTCATGCTACAATATATAGTATATATCCTATAGGACCACAACTTAAAGTTAAATCCCCCTTTAATGTATACTATAATGAAGCTATAAATATAGAATTTAGTCATTATGCACTTGGACAACCTTATATTTGGAGACTATATGGTAGATTTGGGGTTCCTGGCTCTGGGATGAGTTGTAGATCTCCGAGATATATTCCTAATTTACAAGAAATGGATAATTTACTTGTAGAATGGCTTTGTTATACTACCAATGTGACAATAAGTCAACAGCAAGCTGCTACAGAGCTTAAAAAGTATATAACTCATGATTGTATAGTAAAATCTGAGATAATTAAAACTTGTAATTCAACTTCATCTAAATTTTTAAAATCATGGTCTTTATCTATCCCCTCAGGATCTTATAATAAGCAGGGTGTTTTATTATTTGTACAGAATATAACAGATTTGAATTTTCCCAAATCTTATAATACATATAAAAACAGTGGATTGTGGTTTAGATCAGCATCATTTCCATCAAATATATACAATGAATCATGGGTCCCAAGATCTTTCTGTAGTTCTATTCCCCTATTACCTATAGTCCCAGTACAAAATCCCCAAATTCTTAAGCTTAATTCTGTTGTATTACCATGGGATCATTTTCAAGATTCAACATATTCTGCTTATATTTCTGTTAATGGAAATAGTACAATTTTAGCTGAACTTTCTTTAACTATGAATATATCATTATCAAGTTCTACTCCTGTTTATATTGCAGCATATGCTCTATGTCAAAATATACCTACTCAACCTCTTGCCGTAATACCTTCTCAAGTTCTTTTATCAGAAATCCAAATGTATGGATCTATTATAATTACTACCTATATTCCACCTTTAGGAGAGACTTTAAGAACTAGTATTGATTGTTATATTAATATATTTGCTAGTTTTAACCAAGTATATTCTAGTAAAATTGGGACATTTAGTAGTTTTGGAGAAGGAGTCCCTTATACTCCTCCAAATGGAGTAGCTTTTTATTCCTATTATGTTTCAGTTGATGCACCACCAATAATGGGAAGTTTAACTCTTTTTGAGCCTAATCCTGGAAATGTTACCCTAACAGATACTGTATTTTTATCTATAGATAAAATTATATATCCTTCAAGTAGACAATCAGGTGCTTTTCCTACTGTAGGGATACTAGCAAGCTCTACTCCAACTATAGTTGCAAATTCAATAGTATTATTATTGGGAGATTCTTTACAACAGATACCACAATCAATTAGACTCCCAGCAATTGTTCCAGCATGGTATATATTTGTTAGAGCTCAAACTTTTATGAATAGTGGATGTTCTATACTATGTTCCTCTGAAGTTTCAGATAGTCTATTTTTTTCTCATTGGTGTACTTCAGAAAATTCTAAAGCTTACTTATGTCCAAAACAGAAGATTGAGATGTCAAATAATGATTCTGATGAAGTAATATTGGATGCGATAGCTGTTGCTTTAAGTCCAATGACTTTTTATTCTTTAACAGATGCCTATCAATTATATATTGGTCTTATTAGTCAACCTGTAAAGCAATCTATAGTATGGAATGATTATTTTGAGCTTTTGTATTACCAGCTTCTACAAAATCAAAATATCCCTTATGCTCTTGATTTTGCAGCATCCAAACTTCAACTTCTATTTATCTTAAATAAAATCCTTATGGTTTCAATTGAAAATCCCCAGCTTAAGATTGACACTATATTTCCCTTATACATACTTCCAAATATAACTCTCAACTCTGAATGTACAAATAATCCTGGATCAAAATTTTTAGTTTTAAATACTCTAGATCTACTTCTTACATCTAATTCACCACTTGGCTTTACATTTGAGCCTAGCTCGTTATATATGTCAACAATATTCAGGGGTGTTGAATCAGTAGCAAATAGATTCTCATTTTGGAATGGACCTGGGCAATCATTAAATTATACTGGTAAAACCTCTGGTATCAAAATAGGTATAACAACAACTTCTTTTTATACTGCTAACTCCATATTAAATGTAGGCTCTATGAAATTTCAATATATTTCAAAGATTGATCTCAAGAATCTAAATCTTGTTAACTCTTACTTCTTTCAATTATATCCTCAATTTTATAATCCTTCAGTTGTGTCATCTAACTGCTCTTCTTCATCCTTTACTCTTTCAACAACTTTACTTGCAAATGATTATATTAAAAAGTCATTAATTAATTTGGCTTCTCAAATTGGTAATCAATATGATAAAAGTACCAAAAAAGATCATGATTCTAATACTATAGAATATTCAGTACCTTTAGGGGTATATGTAGGATCATCTTCTCTTTATTTATGTTCCACAGATTATCATGCTTTTAATACCTTACAGCAAGTTGTATTCAATCTTACTATTCCAACTGATAATAGTCTTAACCTTGAAAATTTATCTTGCGGTGCTTTAACTCAAGATGGTTGGTCAACTAATGCTTGTAGGACAATGAAAAGTACTCAAATAAGAGATAACAATCAAAATGTTGCATTTTTTGAATGTGCTTGTAATGCTATCACTGATTATGCTTTAATTGGAATACCTACTATTATAAATCTTAATAATCAAGTGTTTGGACCCTTTAATCCATTTACTCCATCGATTAATCCTCCATGGAATGGTTTTGATGGATCATTACATAATTTTGCAGGTAACCGAACTTTAGTTAATGAATTAGTTAATTCTTCATATTCTGGTTTTATAAGTATAGATTCAACTACTATTGGTACATCTACTACAGATATTGATAAATCTCTACCTCTACTTAATAATAAGCATGGTATTTCAGGAATATATACACAAGATGGGAGAGAAGAAAAAGAATTATTTGCTGTAGAATGGGGTATTCATGGAATGCAATCACTCTATTATTGGAATAATGAGACTCAATTATCTTCAAATAATAAGAATTATATTGTATGGGGCCCTACTACAAATAATGAAACACATACCTAGATTATTATATTAGTATAACAAAACATTAATATTTTCATATTTTTATCTAGTAAATATCTAAATAATAAAAAAAAATTAGAGCTTTAATCAAGATACTTTTGAATTTATATTTATTTGTAACTCCTTTACTATTCATATAACAATAGAATTATAATATTGCTTAATAAATTATAAATCTAAAGTATTACTCTTATTATATTAGATAGATTCAAAATATTTAATTATTCCTTTAAATATAAATTTGTAAAATCCTATTATTATTCAACTCCCATGTTCTTGTTATAAATTATGTCTAAATCAAAAAGTAATAAGGGTTCTTGTTTAAGAGTATAAGAAAGAATTCATTTAAAATTATTGAAATACTTTATATAACTTTCTTCAATTACTCTTAACTAGTAATATAAGATGAATACATCCTACCTAGATCAAAAAATCATCACTATAAGTCTAATAAAAAATTTATATTCTATTTAATTTATTAAAATTAGATAAATTTTACATACTAAAAATAATTTTTATTATTCTCTTCCTACTCAATAGTGATTTTCGATTTATTTGAAATCTCAGGTCCTAGTATCCACTTATGTTTTGGATAAAAAATAAGAAATAATTTAAATTTACTCACTAGTATCATCTAAATATAGTAACAGCTGGAAATATCAAATTTACTAATTACATGATAATATTACTAATATTAAAAAATTATCTAATTAATAATAAATTCAAGAAATTTTTACTTGAAAAGTTATTTTTATAAATTATAAATCCAATATTATATTTATTATGCAATATATATATAAAATCGTAAATTATCAGTTTATTGCTACAAAGTTCCTTTATAATTTAATAGTCATGAATTAATTAATTTTACTTAAATAGTTGAATCTTTATAATCATTTTAAATTTCGGAACTTCAGTACATGAAAGTTTTCAAGTAATATATATTGGTCTTATGATGAATAAAATAGAAAAATTCCAAAGATATATTACATCAATAGGTTACAAATATATTTAAATAAATTCTAATATTTGCATTTGTATTATCTCCTTATTCAATAAACTCCTTTAAAATAATAGAAACTTAGTATTACTAGATATTACACAATAAATCCTACATAGAAAATCAGTAACTGTAATTCCAGAAACTTACTAATTACTTTTTTCCAGATGCTGATTTTGAAATTCCTATTTGTGAAAATAGAAAGTACAGAGACTTAGTATGAGTGCTCATGTCAGATAAACATTCAGTAACCTTCTTGAGATGTTTATCTGAGGGATGTTTTTTAGTCTGTTTAGTAAGGAAAAATTTATTATTTTCAATATGAAGGAAAGTTAAGATTGCTAGACCTTTACCAAATGAACACTTCATAATAATTGGATATTTAGAACCTTCTTTACTGAAGATCAAATGAGGTTCTGATACTTTTTCTGGTAACATGAAATTAGCTAAAGGTGAGCAATTAGTACTAGATTCTAAGTCCAAAAAGTATGAACTTCCATGAGAATAAAATGAAGGAAATTGTGGAGCACCTTCACCAATAAGCTCAACTTGTACAGCTCTTGAACCACTCATATCATTTATATTATGTGGAGCTATTGGACCCTTGCAAGTACCATTATAAATTGCAACAGGTGGATTAATAAGTTCATCATTAAAATCTAAAGTCTGACAGAATATTGCAGCACCACTGTTCACTCCAATATATTTACCACCTCCTCTAATATAGGAAACCAATATAGGGACTAATGTTGGTGCAACTTCAGAAAATTCCTTTTTAGGTCCACTTGGCATAACTAATAGTAAGGCTGAAGAAATATTGTGAGTAGTTATTTGTTCTAGATCTAATGTAAAAACTTGGAGATGAGGAAAACCATTCTTCAAACTCAATACTGTATTTTTTACAGTATGATTATGAGTCCCCTGACCACTATATACAATAACTGAATTATTACTATAACTAACTGGAAAAGTAATAGTGTGAGATTTTAGATTTTTATTATCCAGTGCAGCTGAAAGACTAATAAGTAAACCAACAAAAAGTAGTAATAAATGATATATCCTCATTATTATCCAAAAATAAAAAATTAGAAGTTGATGTAAATCTCTTCTGTAAATTGTATTAGGAGTATCTATAGTAAATAAAGGGGATAGTGACTTATTAATATTAATTCGGTACCTGTCTCAGTAGTTCATAAAGCGGTTACTAAGTATTAACAATCTTATATTAACTATTGGTAAAGAGCTTAATTTCATGAATATATTATTACCTAGAATATTTTATTTGAGAATATGTAAGGAAATTGATTATATTATTTATAATATTAGAATATTATTAGTAGTAACAATCTAGAGATATACTTGAGTTTATTATTTCTATAATATTGTAAGGTCCATCATAACAAAACAATTTAGAATACCAAATTACATCGGATGCACTACGTGTTAAATGTTTGTAATCTATAGATTCCCTATTAAATAAAATGTTCTACTATTTACAACCATACTTATACTATTACCTAGATCATATAATGAGCATATTATCAATAAGTTATATTCAAAGGTAATAGTTTAATCTCATGAAATTCTAAGATACATAATACAGGAATTACTTACAATTACTAAAATCCGACACTCATATTACTTAATATTTATTATGAATGGACATTCACTCTAATAAGACATTATTACTTAGGTATGATTTTTTAAATACATAAATCTACTTATCTATTGATTTCGTGTTTCTGCTATGATCCCACTTTGTCTTGGTAGAAACATCCACAAATACAGCATTTGCAATAAGAAGTAGATCCTCATTACTATTAAATATCTTGGCTGTTACAGTAACTCTATCTTTTTGATTATGATCAAATTCCTCACGATTTACTCTACAATCAACTAAAATTGTTTGATTTACTCTTATTGGTTTCTTATATGAAATATTTAGTATCTTTGTAACTGGTTGCTTAAATATTTGTATTGCCAATGCTCCTAAACAATTATCTGCTATAGTTGCAGAGAATCCACCATGAGTAGTTTGAGGATAGCTCTCAATATTGTTACCTAAATTGAAAATACCTAACAAAATTGGATATTCATATTCATCCTTCGCTAAGTAATATTTATATAGATTTATACATCCTGAAGAATACAAAGTATTCATAAAGAACGTATTACCAATAATCAAATTAGCAAAACGAGATGTTACATCAACTGCAGATAATGACTCTATAATCTTTATTGCCCATTTAGGAGTGTCTAATGTAGTTAATTTATCATCAAAGTCTACTGAACCTGTAATAGTTGATGTTTGGCTTAGTAAATTTTGGTTAGTATCCAAATCTTTTGAATAGTTTATTTTTGTAGTTAAGGCTTCTTTTAAAAAAGTCATTTTAGATAATCTGTAATATGTGGAGATATAGAAATACCTCGGTATACAAGAAAGAGGACTATTAAAAAATTTAACTATTGTTTTATATTAAATATCCAATATTTTGAAAATAAAAGAAAATATAATTGGAAAAAATTAAATGATAAATTTAATCCAATATTTGAAGATTTATATTTCAAGAGTGAGTAAATACCCCCAAAGTAATATTTTGGAAATATGAATTCTTTAATAATTTAGACAAATAATTAACAATAATTTAATAAGATCAAAATAACATAAAATTCCGGGGGGGGGGGGATTAAAATTAGTTTTAGTATCTATCCGCTATGTATGTTCTCATTATATCACACGTCTCAAATATTAGTTTAGATTTAATGCAGCATGTCTGCAACTTTGCGGCATTGAAATCTGTCAAGTTTGTTATTATTTAACCGCTTATAGAATCCGATTTTCTCTTCTAATGTTCTTAACTATTTTTTGATATTAGCTATTGAGATATAAAGTACTCTATTTAAGAAATATCATTAAATGTTCCCTAAATGTAGAAGTAATAAGAGTACAGTTAGGATCTTGTTTCTTTCAAATGTAAGACCACAAGATAGATATTCACTAGTTGTAGAATATAAATTTAAGAAGTCTATGAAAGGAATTCAAACTAAAAAATATGAGAAATCAGAGATTGTGTAAGATCTAATATTTTGAATTTGGAAATATATCCAATAATTGAAATATTAATGGTTATGGATCGTGAAATATTTAAATCTTCAAATATTGGTAAGATAATTTAATAATTCCGAATTGTCAAACTTTTATTTATGGATTAAAAGAAGATATGCTTAGATTATTTGATATAATAGAAAAAAAATAAAAATGATATGCTATTATTATTTCCAGAAAGAAATTCTAAGACTTTTTTAGAAGTAATGAATGAGATTTTTTATAATATAATGAACTTTAATAAATTTGAAGGAGAGTTAGAATATAAGAGCATTAGTAGTTTATTGAAATATAGTAGGATATTTATAATAATATTAGATGGAACTTGGTCTCAAGCTAAAAATATGAACAAAAATATTCCTAGATATATTCCAAGAGTTAGAATAACATCAAAGGATATTTCAGATTTTGGACCTTTAAGGGAACAGACAAAGATTGGGAATATTTTAACTATTGAAACTGTTTCTTTATTTTTAAATGATATGAAATCTTATTAAAATTTGAGGATAAAAGTAGTAATATTGAGAATATAGATACTATTTCAAAATTATTACTTAAATGTTTGGATATATTAATAAGAAATGTTCTTAATCAATGCAAACGAGAATATTTAAGTGAAGTTTTAATGAATAGGAATGAAAGAAAATTTCTAAAAAATATAGATGGTAATATTTAATTAATATAATCTTAGAATGTGGAGACTATCATAATTAAAAAAATAAGATATATGGAATTTCTCTTAGGTTATTTTTATATTTAGGTAATTTTTATAAATAATTTAATATTAATTTAAAATTGTGTCTTTAATATTTGTGGATCTTTATAGATAATTATTAGATAGATTTTATTCTTAATCAACTCTTTCTAAGCCAGCTTCTATAATAGGATCTGTAGAGTTCCCTTCTCTAATAATCCTTCCTTCTCTTGAAACCTGTATCATGAAGACATAGTCTTTATCTTGTATGTTATCAGCTAATGTCTGACAATAATTTCCAGTTTCATCAGGATAAGATATTGAAATAGATCCTAAATTAGCTGTTGGTAATTGCAATTTTGTTGTTTCATGTGATGGTAATTTTGAAGTGATTCTTGAAAGACCAGTACGAGTTAACTGAGGATTAGATAAAAAAGATTTTAATTTTCTAGCAGTGGACACATTGTGGGGTTTTCTATATCCATTTGCCATTGCTGCTAATGAGAACACATTTCTTACAAGAGTAGGAAGTGGTGGCATATCTTCTGGATTACTTAGTAATTCACAATCCATTAAACATTCAAAACCATCTTTACCCGTGTACAAAAATTCTTTAGTTACAACAGTATATGTTTTATTTATATCTAAAGGAACAAATTCGTCATTTTTATTTATATCTTGTACTTCTATAGATTCTTTAATAATTCTTTGACCACTTGGGAAATCAGGATTGAATCTAAACTTAATTCCTGAAACTTGTAAAAAACGGCCTTCTTTACTAGGCCATTTACTTACACTATTTTCCAATACTTGTATAAGTATAGATCCTGATACTTTTAATTTTACTAATGGGTCTACTAAAGGTAGCATCATCATTATATCACGATTACGAATTGGTCCAATATTAAATACACAATCTGACCTTATTGTTCCTGAATTTAAAAGAGCAATATCTGTTTTAGTAGCTGCTCTCATAATATCAGTTAACCAATTTCCTGCATTTGATTCTGAAGTTCTAATAATTGCAAATCTTGTTTCTAGTTGAACTGCACTTTCACCTATAATCCTATCCATTTGAGCTTCTACATCCTTTACATATTTCTTAACCATTCTATCAACATGCTTATTTAACTTAAAAGTTGAAACATCAATATAAGACCAGGATATTATCGAACCACCACAAAATCTAGTTAGATATAGTTCACCATGACCTTTATTATTAGGTATTAGTTTGTCATCATTTAGTTTAGATAAGTTATTAAGCTCATCCATGTCTATTTCAGATGATTGATAATAATTTGAATTTTCAAAATTTAATTTTGTATCAGAAGCTGGATATTTTAAACAAGTTTTCCCAGGTTTTATTATAATCATTGTTAGATCTCTAAAATCTGTTCCACTTTTTGCAACTACAGTTCTTCCAATCTGTTTCACCCCATAATATTCATGATCATGTCCTCCTAATATTAAATCTATATCAAGAGCTTCTTTTGCTAGTCTCTCATCATTTGGAGCTCTCATATGTGTAAGTGCTATAATTAGTTCTGCATCTTTACTTCTAAGAATTTCAGATAATCTATTTGCTTCTTCTACAAAATCTTTGTATATTACATCATCTTCTACAATAGTAGGTAAAGTTTTTAACCAGTCCCTCTCAACTAACCCCATTATTCCAATTCTTCTTCCTTGCCATTCAAATAATCTGTAAGATCTGCCATTTGCTAAAGGTTCTCCAGTATAAGCATCATATACATTAGATATTAACCAAGGGAAATTACAAGATCCTGTTAAGTATTCAAGGTGATCAATACCAAAATCAAAGTCATGATTACCAAAACATGCTGTATGGACTCGCATCATATTCAAAAAAGGTACCATATGCCTGCCTTTAGTAGTAATAGACATTATTGAAGGATTAAAAACATCACCAGAAAATAACAAAAGTGGATTTGCTGGATGGAAAGATTTTAAAGCTTCTACAAAACGTGCTACTCCTCCCATACCATCTGGACCTTCTTCAATATTGTATACATCATTAAAGTGTAGGATGCAAATATCATCATTAGGTCCAAATGGAGTATCATAGTCATAATATGTCTCACCTGTATATCCCATAGATACAAATTGTCTAAACTTATTCGATGATCCATCCATAATTACCGTGCTGCTCTTTTTCATTGTTTCATTCTCTAGAACACTCTCAATAGTTCTATCTTCAATTAGGGAACTCTCTGAGGAAGAAAAAGGTAAAAAATCCCCCATTGTAATTTCCTGCAAGCTAATAAACAACTAGTTAGAAAAACTAAACAAATTTATCCAGACCAATTTTATAGAAATTAACATTCTATTATTGATGTGTGCATAGTATACCTATAAATAGAATTCTTTAGGCGGAAAGAGCGGGTAGAGTGTTAAGAAGACTTCTTGTATATGGAAAAAAAATAGAAAATCATAAGTTTCATGTACTTTCAATCTATTATAGTAGCTAATTATCTACTATAATATCTCAGTAGTTTAAAATTTAAGCTATTTAATTTTATGGGATTCTGAAGACGTCTATTTAGACGTATTACTTTAACTTAACAGAGTATACTTGCATTGTTAAAACTTTTGTGACAGATCTATTTGATAACTTCATGGTGAAAGTGATAAGATAGCTTCTACAACATCGTTATTATTTGCTTTTAAAGCTTTGACTGCCTGTACACGACTACAACTTGTTTGACCTATAACCAAGTCGATATTAGCTGGATCGACATCTGTCTCATCTATTTCACTATCTTCTTGTCTATCTTGAGTTTCAGATATCTTATTTGTTTGTTCTTCATTAACCTTCATTGCAGCCAACTTCTGTTCCAACTGACTAGTTGCATTTGCAAGAGCAGCAGCTTGAGATGCAGTATCACGTTCTTCTAATTTAGCTTCTCCAAATACAATATAATTATTAGTACTTGGAACAATATAGACCTCTGGGTTAAGAATATTAAAACTCAAACCTTTAGCACCTTTAATAATTATTTTTTCAAATTCATTTGTTGGTTTAAGACCCATCTTCTGGATGATCTTTTTATTTTTTTTTTCAACTTTGTTTGTTCTAGATCGTGAAAAGCTACTACCCTGAGAAGTACCATGAGTGTCTTCTTCTGATGATGTATCACTGGTGTGATCATCTTCATCATGAATTTCGACAATTTTAGGTTCTTCTACTTTGGCCATTCTCAACAAATGTTTCGCTCTGGCTAAATTTTTAATATTCTGTAAAAACTTGTTTAACTATTGACCGGTCACTATTAGGCATCGACGAGCCATGATCCAAGTTTTTGTATAGGCTAGCTGTTGCAATATACAGCTAAACTAACAATCTAACATTCCTTATACTAGAGACTTAAATATTCCGCATAATGGCTAGATTAATAGTATTTGAACCTCCCGATACCGTATTAGTATTAATGAAGACAGGACAATATATAACCGCCTAAATAACTATATAAGTTTGTTCCACTAGGAGTTAGGATTTTGTTTTATAGCTTTCAGAGTGAGAGTTGTAAAGTTGAGAATACAGGTAATGCATATTTTAGTTTGTTAACATAGTTCTTGAGAATTGGGTTATTTAAAGCTCCTTTAATTTTAAATTATTTAAGTGGTTCCTAATAATTTTAGGTTAAATATTTAATATTACTATTGCATTCTAAATAATTTGTGTTACTATCTAATTTTATGAATGGATAGCAATAAGGAGGAGGCAAATAGGTGTAGGAGAATTGCTGAGAATGCAATTAAATCTGGTGATATTGACAAGGCTATAAGATTACTTGAGAAGTCTTATCGTATGTATCCATCTAATGATGTAGATGATATACTGAAAAAATTAAATGATCAAAGAAAAGTTAGAAGTAATTGTCAAAATAAATCTCCTCAAGGTGATATGAATTCGAACTGTATGAGATATAATGCCTCAAAGGTAATAAAGAGCCCTATATCAAATTCTGACACAAGTAATGGTTCTGCATCTAGTAAGGAGTCCCCAGAGTTATTATGTAAACGTATTTTGAAAGCAAAAGATTACTATACAACTTTGGGAATTTCAAGAGATGCAGATGATGTAGCTATTAAAAAAGCATATAAGAAATTAGCACTATTGCTTCATCCAGATAAATGTAAGGCATCCAGTGCTGAGGAGGCCTTTAAAAAGATAGCTCTAGCTTTTCAGACATTGTCTGATACTGAGAAGCGTCAAATATATGATCAATATGGTGAGAATGGTCCTCCTATTCAATCAAATTCAAGTGATGTTAGATACTACCAGTATCATGGAAGTATGGATGGTTTTTTAACTCCAGAAGATTTATTCAGAATGTTCTTTGGAGGTATGTCCCCAAATATAGCATTTCAACAGCGTCAAAGACAAGTGAGGCATAATAGAAGCAATCAAAACTCAGATAGAGATCAGCAACGTCAATATAACAATGGAATGTCTAATGGACATTTATGGCAGAAATTTGCTGGAATTATTCAAATAATTCCTATTGTTTTGATGATATTACTTGCATTATTAGGCAATTTTATACCTTCTTATACCCCAAATACTAAAGCTGCTTATAGTTTATCCCGAAATAGGGAATATTACCAACAAAAGTGGACTGGGATTCACAATGTACCATTTTACATTAATCCTAAAAGTGGATTTGATAGACAATATCCTCAGAACTCCAGTAAGTTACATGAACTAGAAGTACAAATAGAAATGTTGCATTTCACTAGGGAATGTGGAATAGAAGAAAGGACTCTATTACAGGATATCGCATATGCAAAGTATTACCAAAATAAGGAGAAACTTCGAGAAATACAAAGTAGACAAAAGCCAAATTGTGATAAACTGAAATGGCTAAGAGACTCTTATCCTAATATATATAGACAAATAATTAGGCATTGATATCTGAAGTGGATTTATGAATTCATAGAATTTAGTCTAGATAGGAGTTATTCTATATAATTCCATTGGAATGTTTTATATATAAATAGGCTTATAATTACATATAAATCTGTGTAGTTTATTGAATAGTACTTAGAGATAAAAATCTAGGTTTTAGCACTTTACCAAATTGTTATATCTATAAATTTACATTAGAATAATTTTATAAGTCAACGAGGTGTATATACAAGATGGCTAAATTGAGGATGATTGTAAGGAGTTAAGGTCACAAAAATGTGAGTTATTTAATAATTAAAGCTAAATATTTCAAAGGAGTTTTTGAATAAGAGATAGTTTTTAACGTAATATAAAGCTTTCTATATTGGATATAGTCAATATATCAAATATAACTCTTGCAATTAAAAAGATTGAGCCTATAAGAGTTTATAAAATATAAAATTTGATACAAGCATTTGAATTTGCATTATGATTAGATTTCTATTTGATCTCTTATTTTTAAACTGCAAAATATATTTGTTATTAGATAAATAGTAAAAAGGATTTATAAAGTAATTTATTGTTCTGAACCTTCCCAACTAGAAAAGTGCTGACGTTTTTCATCGTCATTTGAAACAGTTTCAGTAGTTGGTTGTTCATAACTCTGTGTAGGATCAAGGCCATAAAGTTGTAATAGAACTCTTCGAGCATTTTGAACTCTTTCATATTGATCAAAGTCGTACAAGTCCGTTAATTGTTTATATTTCAATTTCCACATCCAAAATATTATTGTTACAAGTACAGCTATGATCGCAATTATTACAGATACTCCAATTAAAGTGGTTAATGAAAATATATGTGAGAATGTCACTTCTATTCCACGCTTCACATGGCTAAAATCAGTAAGGGATCCCTTAACACATATGAGGGGTTGCGATTCCCAATCTCCATTCTTACATGTAAGTAAAAAGTATCCCCTTTTAATGGAATCCTCAACATCTGAACTAGCATCAAAAGAATAACTTTCACTTTTCAATACTTCATTTCCAATATTCCCGGATTTGGGAGATAAATAATGACCATTGGAGCAAGATACTTTTCTTTGATCACCATGGCGATATTCTATTCCCGCAACAATGTGACCTTCACCCAAACTTCCACTACGTAAGTTAATGCATCTCTTTTTGCATTCAAATTTTGGGTATATCCATTCACCATCAAAACACTTTATCACGTCTTCTATAATATGCGTAGTACTAGAGTATCCAGATGAGCAAGCAACATTTATTGAAGTTGCATGGTTAATTAGGGAATTCCCATCTGTAGTATATTTGTTAAATTTTCGAACAAGTCCATTTGGAAAATTCTGTAAAGGTTTACATGGTTTATTACACTGAATATTCGTATTTGTATCCCATCTCCCATTATTACAGTATATTATATCTGGTGATCTACCTGATGAAGCATAATATTTATTATTTGAGCATTTTATTGTAAATTTTGTTCCATGAGGATATGAGATTTGTCTCATTTCTGAGATATTAACAACATTAGTAGTAATAATCATATATCTACTATTATCTTGAAAGTATGGATTGTTTAGTGAACAAGGTTCCATTGGTAAGTCGAAATGATTTTGATTAATACTTTGAAATCCTACAGAATTCATCCATGGTAAGGGAGGAGGTATTGACTTATTTACTCCAATTGAAGTTACTATTTTTGTTGATATTGAAATAATTTTTACATAGCATGAGATATTCTGTAGAATATCCCCAGTTTCACTACAAAAATCTATGGTTAATTTTTCTTCAAGACGTCTATGTTCCCAAAGTGAGGGTGTTAGAGGACGCATATCGATGAAGTTTATAGTACCCAAATCAATGACAACTTCAATAATATATTTATATTGCTTTACAGTATAAGATTTGGGTTCTGCTGTAATAGTGACTTTTGTAATATCAGACTCTACAATCCCTAGTTGTTGACTTACAATGTGAGTAACCATTTGAACTGCATTGGGGTCATTAGATATTAATGTGGATTCAGGTTGGTTGATACCTAGTAAGAGATGATACACAGGTCTTGGTGAACCATGAGAGCATGTTCTGTCAAATGTCATACTACATATCTGTTCAAGTCTAGATATAGACCACCACCATGAATGGTCCGAAGGTGTGATAAAGGAATATGAAGATGTTATTGTTGGTAAGTGTTTATCTAATATATTAAGGGAGTGATAAAGATCCATTGCAATGGCAGTACAACATCCTAAAGTATCTGTTAGTAGTGAATGGCGAGCTTTACATATTGAAGAGCACGATGGATAATAAGGGGTTAAGTTATGATATTTAGTTTGGTCACCCAAGTCATTATAATTTGTTGCTCCTATAACTTCTGTTCCAATACCAATACAACCATTAAAAAGTTCTTGAAGTGGAACATATATTTCTGGGTACATAGATGACACTCTGCAATCATCCGCATCCCAGTTACAAGATTCATTAAAGCAATGTGAATCACACATTCCATCTCCTACATACTGACTAAAGCAACTTGGGCTGCAGTATCCGGAATTATTTATTGCTTGAAATCCAGACACTTTAGATAAAGACTGCATTTTTGATGTGGTATTTATTTCATTGCTTTCATTCATTTCTTTCTTCGTCCTTCCACTATTAATATTTGAGTTATTGAAATTCAAAGATGCTTCAAGAGCTGCCGATGCTCCTGCAAACAATAAAGGTCCACAAGTTTGTCCTTTTTCATTTTTTAAGCAAAAATGTCTTGAATAGTGCCTTAATAGAAGGCCAAGTGATTCAGCTTGAGGATCTCGAATAGTTTTCCCATATCTTTGTAAATAAGTCCCTAACTTTCCGGCAACTATAATAAAACATTTTGAATCACAAGGATTAAGAAACAGAGTTCGACTTTTAATAGGGTCTTTTTCTAGAAGGAGTGAAAGGGATTCTTGACAAAAGGATCTGTCTGAAGTTTTAGTACACATTAAGTCAAGCCAGCTTTCATTTGTTTCTCCTAATATCACATCTAATCCGAGAGATGCAAGTGAAGGATATGAATATCCAAATTCAGAATATCCACTTGTTGGGCCTGAGCTCCCAAAATCTGTATTTCTCATCTCTAATTCAATTTGTTTTTTTAGAGGTGAAGGAGGGAGAGGATAACCCCAAGCATAATGGAGTTGAGTTACCGAATCAAAATATTTAAGATGAGATCTATAACAACCATAAGCATCACATCGAGACTCAATTTCACTTAATTGAGATGATACGAATTCTTCTGGGTCAATTGCAGTGTTTATTGTGGTTTTAATTTTACTAAAACAATAACGTTCATTATCTTTTGGCTTATCAGGGTCTGATTTAGGAGAGATATAGCACCATGAATCAATTAGTTGTTGTGCATACTTTATTGTATTACACAAAGTCCCCTGTTTCATTGAATATCGTTTTATAAGGTTATAAAATTTGTGATAACAAGAAGGAACTTCATAAGGATCATCTATATTAGTAGAGTGAACTGTAGAAAATTCATCTTTTAAAGAGGTTTCAATGGACTGTAAATTCGAAAAGAAAGACTGTTTTGAATTGCTACTTGAGTATTTAGATCCTATGAAGGAACTTGTTAGTGGTTTAGAAGATGATCTCATCGATATTGTATCATTAACTTCTTTTTGCAGTGCTCCTCCCCTACAAAATAAGTCAACTTGAGCTCCTGTTGGTTCTCTATCATATAATAGGGATCCACATCCTCCTTGAACGAGGATTCTTCTAAATTGGATGGGAAATAAACAGCAATCTTCATATTCAACAGATTTCTCACCTTTAGCTGTATTACCTTCACGATTAGTGTCAAAGTAAGTAAGTCCGTTTTTATTAATAGGTTGACTGTTTAGTTTACATTTTAAATATAAATTTCGCAGATATGGAAGAGGCCTTTTTAAAAAAAGAGATTCCTTTTGACCAAAAGTTGCAGTAAGTATAAATGGCATTGTTATTCCGCTCGAGTAAAAGAGATTTCGGGCATCTTCATCTAAATTCATATCATTGGATGGACCACTTTTAGGACCTGCATATAAATTATCCCATCTACTTTTCAACATCCTTATCATCCTATCAGAGTGGAATTTCGCTTTTATAGGTCTTTGATCTATAGCATCTGCTGCTAGTCTGTAATTTTTACTTGTTAGTAAATCCAAAATTTTGGAATTTCCATCCGCTAAACTCATTGTGTTTTCTGTATTTAAGATATTAATTGTGTCAATATCTTCTGTTTTAGGGGTAAGCTTTACATTTCTAGAAGCAAATTGAGTTCTTAGGCTAGTAATAAATCTTTGTGATACGCTGGGATCCTTAAGAGCTTTTTTAAAGGAAGCTTCTCTTCCTGCAGAAGATGAGGAGAAAAATCCGACAGCAAACATTATATATAAAGGACCTATAAAAGAATAGTCATCTTTATTTTGTACATTATCTTTAATATTCGAATTTTTCAACCCACTCTTGCTATCTCTCGTATCAGATATTTCGGCGACATCTTCGACTTCTTCGTTCTCTTGATTCTTTAGCTTATTTACAGCTTCTTTAAATTTATCACAGCTATTACAAGTTATAGGGCAAGCCACTGATACTTCAATATCAGCAGAAACATCTGCCGGAACTTCGCGATTAAATTGCTTTGCCAGTTCTGCAAGAGTTTTGGAGCAAAATGGCTTTAGCATTGAACAAGAAATCCCAAATGATTCGAGTTGATTATCCTGATCAGCACATTCTATTGGGATATCATCTATAGGATCTCTATCAAAAGTCCCAGTACTAATAGCTTCTAAACGTAATCCATTGTGTTGATATATAGGTAGAGATGAATATAAAGCTGTATAAATAGATGATACACTTTTATAATCTAAATCTGCAGCTCTTTCAAGTTGAAGAATTACTTGCATAACTTGAACATGAGGTTCTTCACATTTGAATTGTTCTGGAAGTACATAAATATTCTTTTCAAGGTCGCAGACAGCTTCCACAGTAGAAGATGATAAAGATGGTGTTGTAAAACCTGTAGCACAACTTACTAGTAAATTACTTTGCACTTTAGAAGTCTCATCATTAGATACAATTAAATTTGTAGAAGATTGGTCATCAATACTCTTGAAAGAGCTTAAATTACTTTTTTTTTCTGTAAACTCCATATAGTACCCTGGTCCCCATTGTTTAGTAGAATGAAATGAGCAAAAAGATCTATTTGGCTTAGAAAGATAGCTTACTCCATAATTAGAACAATAATTGCAAGATCTTGCACAAATATCACTTAAACGTAAATTTTCCTTATTATTGTTAAATCTTTCAGCTAATGACACGCTCACTTGTAGTAGTGGAATATCACATCCATACCCAAGTATATTAGCAGTTTCAATTGCAATTCTACATTCGCCTGGCTGTATTTTAGGGTCATCATTACACTCTTCTCGGCACCTACCACAGGATTTAGGACAGTGGTCGTAAATTTTCTTTGAAGAATATTGTGAAACAAGTTTGGGGTTTTTGAAGATAGCTCTATTTTCAAGAGATTCATTGCATACTTGTCCAATATAAACTGCATAATTAATTATATCTCTGCATTTGTTTTCTATTATGTTATATAAGACGTCATCCTTACAAATAAATGAATTGGACAATTTTGTGTTACCATCTATACTAGTGTTGTCAGTATTACAAAGACCACAAGATTCAGCACAAGCATGAAGTAGTAAAGTATTCTGTGGAATATCGGGTGGTAATTGAGACCCAGGTAGGTCTTTTAAGGGAGTACTACAGTCAAATACTCCTAGTATTTGTCGGCAAGTAAATCCAGATGCCTCTTCAACTCTAGGGTCGTCTTGACATGGGTATACATTAGTGTCTAATGCTGAAAAATCTGGAGATACAATTTCAGTATCTGTTTGCTTTTCATTATTTGAAAATTTTTCATCTTTCAAATCTTCATTTCTAGTGGAAATTTTTGGAGGGACTGTGTGTATCAGTGAGTTGGTGGTATTTATCTTGTCTTCGTCTCTTTCCATGTTTCCATTGTCTAATAAATGAGCACAATCACCACCATCAAAATCGCAATTTGAATTATTGCAAGCTTGATCACATACAGTATTTCCAATAAACCAAAGTAGGCATCCAGGTGAACACTCTTCGCACTTTTGACATGTATAGGGGCAAACACGCCATAAATGAGAGCCCTCTGGAAGTCCATAAGATTTTGCACTTGGTATAGGGGTATTACACATAACTGCAAGATCTGCACAATTATATCCCTTTTCAGCTACTTCAGGTTGATCCTCACAATATCTTTTTTTACCCATAACTGTTGTAAATGGTTTGACTGGAGCTATTATGGATGATGGTTTATTTTGTATTAATGAAGTTGAACATGCGTTACATGTGTACTCACATGCTTGTCTTACTGTTGATTTAGGAGTCAAATCCTTAGGAGTGATTATATTTGGTTTTATTTTATCTAGGGTAACATTGCAACCATAACGTGATTTTATATCTTTGCAAGTTGTCTTGAACATTAATGGTATAGCTGGATGATCCATACAAAGTGAATCTATATTCACTTTGCTTGGTAAAAGTAATTCAGGTCTAATTATTGATAAAGAATGAGATGAAGGAACCATATTTTGTAAATTTCCATCATCACAATCTCCTTCATCGAAGTGACACTGGGAATTATTGCAAGATAAGTCGCAGTAATTATTGCCAAGAAACCACTTAGGACAACCTGGAGCACATTCTTCGCATATTCCACATGTCATAGGGCATATTTGTTTGATTGTAGCTGTTGTAGGTAGTCCTGCTTCTTTAGATGATGGTGTTAGTGGTAGTCTTAGCAAACAAGCCTGTTTGAGAGCTTTACATTTAGCTCTTGAGTCCATTAGTTCAGGAATATCCACGCAATTTCTGAATTTACCTGCAAAATATGTAATCGGTCCCTCAAGAACAGGAGAGTTGTCGATTAAAGAAGAATCAGTTGAGTCAATTGAATCAGTATGACTAAAACTAACATTCGAAGAGCTCTGTTCTGCTTCTTGAGTTGGAAACTCTTCTTCTACTTGCTTCTCATCTTTAGCTTCAGTACAATCTCCCCCATCAAAATTACATTCCGAGTTATTGCAAGCTTTATCGCATACTGAATTAGCTACAAACCACTTCGGGCACCCAGGTGAACATTCTTCACACTTTTTACAGGTTTCTGGACATATTTGCCATACATAACTATTTGGAGGTAATCCATATGTCTCTGGACTAGGTATTGCAAAGTCACACATTGAAACCAAACTACTACATGAAATTCCATTTTCTGCAACTTCTGGTTGGTCCTCACAATATCTAATTTTACCTAGAACTTCTGTTGATGGTTTTGTTTGTAAAATCCTCTTAATTTCAGATGAAGATAAATTTGTATTAGTTAAGATATTTGAGTCTTCATTTACTTCAAACTGACTATATACTTGCTGCAAGAATCTCAACTTATTCTTATTTTTCCTCTCTACTTCAGGAGCTTTTTTACTCATATTGCCTTGTAATTCGATATAATTTGATGTATTTTGCAAATTATATGTGCCATTTATATCAATTAAACCTTGTAAATTCTTTAAATCTATAATATTCGGAATTTCTGGAGTTCTTAGTAGTTTAAGTGTGCCAGTAAAATTAAGAAAATCCAATTTATTTCTATTAGTATAAGTAATTCTAGAGTTGGGTATATTCTCAAAATGTAAATTATATGCAAGACTTTTCAAAAGTCTTTTTGGCTGAAATTCTTGCTCTTTTAGTTGTCTTTCTAAAGTGTCTTTAGAACATATAGGATGAATTTCTACAAATTCCTGTAGAACTTTTTGAATACCAATGTCAACAAGAGACCAAAGTGTATATTTTTCAGTTTGTGGATCATTATTTTCAGGATAGAATGGCTCAATAGATATGAGATATAAGGTCCCAACAGGTCCAATAATTAGTCTATGGTGATCTCCAGTTATGTAAATAGGTTCACCTATATCTCTAAACATTATATAAGTATATGCATGTTTTGAATCTCTTTTGTAAACTGTATTAACAGAATTTAGAACTTGGGGGGCATTTTCAATAATAATAAAAGGGCATTGATCTTCTTCACAGCTAGGAATACGAGGAATTCCATCACCATCTACATACAACAAAGGAACACCACTTGGCTCCATTTGTTGCACAAACCCGCTTTCATTACATTGATACTTAAAGAATGGTATTGCTGAGTATCTTCTGAATCTGTAGCCTGGATTACATTGCACAATGACTACATCCCCTCTTTTATATTCTGGCTGTAAAAGAGTAGAAGATGTTAGTGAGTCTGGCACACTAAATAAGTTGTCTTTATTATTCAAACTAGTCACACTATATTGAGCAGTTCCACTTATTTCTATTGCTGAAGTTGACGTACCAGGTTCTATAGTGTCGCTGATTTCCTTTGTAGCTCCTGCTAGAATTAGCTTATAAACTACACCTTCAGGAGCTTTGGGAAGAATACAGGTACTTCTTGGATTTCTAGTTTCATTATTTTCACAATCTCCATCATCATACCTGCAATTTGCGTTGTTACAAGCTATATCACAATGAAGATTCCCAATATCTCTTAATTGGCAATTAGGGGCACATTCTGAGCACATTCCACACGTGGCTGGACAGCCATCCATAATTCTAGCTTCAGTTGGTTTATCATCCGGATAGGGTACTCCATTAGCTTTGGCAACATCAACAAGACGTTTTTTACATCCAAACATAGCTTTTAATATTGCACAAGGTACGACTTCTTGGGCTTCTGGACGATCTATACAAGCTTCATCAGGGCATCTAAAGCCATTGCAACCAACTTTCTGAGTTAAATCAAATTCACAGCGTCCTCCACCTGTGGCTGCTACTTGGATAACCCTCTGACGTCGCTTAATACCTCCTCCACAAGTTGCAGTACAAGGAGACCAAGCTGACCATTGTCCAACTTCACAGTCACGTGTAGCAATGCACTGAAACTCGTTACAAGATTGAAATTCTCTAAGGTGTCCACATGGTAGGCCATCATTTGGTTTGTTTAGTATAGTTCTAGTCCTAGATTTAGAGCCACTACCACATGTTTTGCTGCAAGTTGACCATTCATTCCACTCACTTAAGGTGCAGTCCATTTTGCAGGCTCTCTCAGCACAGGGACGGTAATCTTGTAAAGATGGACATGGTAGCCCATTATCAGAATTATATTTTAAGATTTCCCTAACTCGATTTTGAACTCCTATCCCACAATTGACTCCACAAGCACTCCATTCACTCCATTCTGAAACTTCACAGTCCTGAGGACATTCTATGAATTCTGGACACTCCTTATCATCTTCTTTAGTTTCTATTAAATGAGGGCACTTTTTCGAAGTTATTGGAAGTTCTAAAACCAGACGTTCTCTGATTCTTGTAGGTTTCATACCACATATTCCTAAACAAGAAGACCATTCTGACCAGGATGATACAACACATTCATTTGAACATGAAGCCATTGAACATGGTCTGAAATCTTCAGTAGAAAAGTTACACTTTCTATTTATAGAAGGGATTATTAGCTTTCTTTGACGACTCTGAAAACCTTCACCACAAGTTACACTACATTCTGTCCAACTTGACCACTCTCCCACTTCACAGTTGCTCTTGCAGTCTGTAGACATTGCGAAGCATTTAGAACTGTCTTCTAAAACTCCGCAAACAGTAGACAATACTTTTTGTGAATCTCCAAAATGGTTAGGAGAAATGACTTTTCTTGTTGTTTTTGTAATTCCAAACCCACATTTAGAGGAGCATTCAGATGGTTCTGACCAAGATCCGAAAATACATCTCTCAGTACAAGGATAAGTATTACACTTTTCAATAGCTAATAATGCAGGACAATTTAATCTATTGGCTGGAAGTGATTGCTTCACTCCTTTTATATTCCCAGTTTTGTTTATTATTCTCCTTAATCTTCGTCTTGAACCTCCACCACATGATGCACTACATTCTGACCATGATCCCCAGCTGGAAACTTTGCAATCATCCAGATCTTGTATGTTGCATTCATCAGAACATTCTATCTTTTCCATATAATTGTTATATAATTCACAGTTTAAATTGTTTGGATTATAAATAATTGTGCGATGTCTATGTCTGTTTACTTTGTTTGGTTCTAGTATATTTTTAGTATCTAAATGTGAGTCTAATACTGTTCTACATTCATCTTCACAACTAGACCATGTAGACCACTCTCCCAAATTACACTTCCCGTCATCTAATAAAGACAATGCATCACAACTACCAAAACAATCCTTGCTTTCTTCTAGAGGAGGGCAACTCCCTTTCTTGGGATATGTAACAATACTTCTAGATCTCTTTGATAAGCCTGCAATATTGCATATCTTACTTGAACATTTGCTCCATTCATTCCATTCTGATACAATACATCTTTCATTCAAACAAGCCATTTCATTGCAGAACTTTGTTTGAAATAAAGGTCCACAAATACTATCTGTATTTAACCATTTCTCAGTCTCTGCATTGTTAGGTCCACTTAGTAACCAGCGAGTTCTTAAACGAGATCCATTGCCACAAGTTGAAGAACAAGCTGACCATGCTGACCATTGACTCATCTCACACTCTAATAGTCTTTGTACACTAAGTCCTAAGTCTGAACTACAGTCTTTAAATTCAGTTACATCTTTGCAATTTAAATCATCTTCTCGCCTCTCTATAACATAGCGAATCCTCCTCTGAGATATTTTGTCTTTATATTCTACGTCAAAATGTGTACAAGGAGACCACTCAGACCACTCAGATAATTTGCATGTATTTGGACAATTCAATTGTTCCGTTTCACATTTAATTGGTCTTTCCTCTACAATACATGTATATTCAGGATCTTCATTCTTAAATGGAGGTGTAATAATTTCTCGTCTCTCTATACAGGTGTCATCTTCTTTACAAGGATTTTTAGAAATCATGGATTTAAGTGAAAAATCTCCTAAGGTACAATTTGCAGCACAGGTATCTAGCATGCACTCTCTTACTTGTCTTGTTTCAGGACACTGATACATATTCTGGTCTTTTGGAGCCATTATAATAGACCTTTCCCTCATTTGTCTTCCTATTCCACAAGATGTTGAACAGGGACTCCATTCAGTCCAATTTGAAACATTACAACTTAATGGACATGGTATGTGAGAGTTACAACCTGTCTCCTCAGCAGTTAAAGCTCCACAAGTTTCTCCACCATTTCTAGGTTGTACTATAACTTGCCTTGTTCTAGTTATCCTTCCACCTGGTCCACATGATACAGAACATGAGGACCAGTGAGACCAAGATGATAGTTTGCAATCTACTTTCCAACAATCTCCACCGTCAAATTGACAATTTGGATTGTTGCACTCTTTATCACATACTCCATTCCCAATAAACCAAATAGCACATCCATGAGAGCATTCTTTACATTTATTGCAAGATGCAGGACAGGCGTCTACAACACGTGTGTTTCCAGGAATCCCAGTTGGTAGGCTATCTTGGGAAAGATCTTTCAATAACTTTTCACATCCTAAAAAACCTCCAAATCGTCTAGCTAAAAAAGAACAAGAATATCCACTTTCCGCAACAGCTGGGTTGTCTTGGCATACTAGTCCAGAAGAGCTTACAACCGGGCTTTTCCAGCTCTCTGATTCTACAAATTGATCTAATAATACCACCAAACTGTGTATAATAATTGTAGTAATATAAGTAATTGATGAGTATTTCATTAAATTTGAATTTATAAGAAATTTAAGCAAAGTTTTGCCAATATCGTTATGTTAGCTTCTTCACTTAGTAAAAAGTCCCAAAACTTTATAATACTCATAAGATCACTAGATTTCTAATTATTCATTGATGAAATAGGTCATTACAACAAATTTTGTCGCTAATCAGATGATTATTCTTCCTTTTTTGGTTCTTAATCTAAGGAATCTTGAAAATACACGCAATAATTGGCGTCTCTTATATCCATGATAAATATGCATACACTCTAATTCGAGGTTATTTCACCTTTTAAGATCCAGAGAAACTTAAAAGAAATATAGAAACTCATTTTTTTAATCCTAAATTATAAATTTTTAGCTTTGAGTATTTGTATTGTACTTTATCCATTGATACCCCAATGGAATATTTTCTTTCTCGTTCTCTCCCTTAAAAATATTATCAATAGCTAGTTGATAAGTTGTATCAAACATAAGATCTATATCTATTTCTTCTTCTGTTACTATATTAGTTAAGTTATTGAAGTTTTCCTTTTGGTTTTCTAATATCACTTTGGGTATATCATCTTCAATTAATGAATTAGCTTCACTACTTAAATCCATAGTTATAAATCTACTTAAATCTACTGAATCACTTTTAAAGTCTGAACTCATTTCAATATTATCTTTTTCATTACATAACTGAGGTTCCTTAGTATATTCTATGTTTTTTGAGTCAATAGGGCTGCATTTGCTCATAGAATACCAAGTAGCACCTATACTTGTTAGTATTATACCAATAATGAGCTTGAATGTTATTGGATTTTTGAAAATTATACATCCTATAAGGCATGTAAGTATTTGTTTTACGTTTCCAGCTATATTCATAGTTAAAGGAGATATTACAGCAGCATTGCTAAAGCTTAATATATTGATTAAGAATGCCATTATTCCTGCTAACATGAGTGATCCAAACATTATTATTGTTTCAAATAAATCACATTTATATTGTAATATAAAACTATATAATTCACCAAATATTACAGTAAATAATGCCAGAGTCATTGTGGCTACTGGGCTAACGTACTGCAACATGATTATTGGCGAAATTTTGATATTATCAACTTGCAATTTTTGAGTAATGATACCTTTTAAAGACGAAATAATACATCCAAATAAAACTATAATAATCTCATTGAATTTTACAGATGGAGTAACATTTACTGTAATTGCAACTCCTATTATAACCATAATAACTTGAGGTAATTGTGATAATTTATATTGATGTTTGAAAAAGACAACACCTATTCCCATAGTAAATAGTGGAATACTTGTACGCAATATTTGATGTAGGGAAATAGAAACTGCATAAAGAGATGCATTTGAAATCCATATATTGATGGCAACTATAACACTGAAAAGCAAAATTTTTATCTTTTCAGATCCAGTTAATTCATGATCAACACTCCATGTAGGATCCTTCTTTTTTTTATATACTACTACAATATTACTCAGTATTGAGCTTGTAAGCATATGGATGAAAGTTAAAATTATTGGATATGGGAAGATTGACTGCATTAATAACTTTGAGAATAATGTAAATATTAAGCTCAGAATTAGCCATAGATTAAATAGTAACTTTTTTTGTTTAGCTTTTTCTAACAACTGAGTTAACATTACAAAACAAATATCTTCAGTATATATTCAAATAACTATAAATACTAATATTTCATAAGCTCATTATGATAGAGAAATTAAAAAGTAAAAGTAGAATTTTTATGAAATATTGAATAATTAACACTAGATATGGTGGGGCTTAAATATTATAATGTAAGTACCATTTTTGTGGGGGAAATGAAATACGGAAAAATGATCAAAAAAAATTCAATAATTAATGAGAGAATTAGGATATAGTTTGTAATAGAAATAATATTCGTTGATATTAAAGCTATTTATATTATTTTAAAAGATTTTTTTTAACTATGAACGAAATGTAAATCTTTTTAACATTGCGATTTGCATGTAGATACAGATCAATAAGTATCGGATACTCTTAAAATGCATTTGTATAACGGCGGCAATTTTATTTGAAGGGTTGCAATAGAAGAACCTATATACTTTGTTTTTGTATTCTTTTTAAGTAACAAAAACATAGAGGAGCAATTTTAGGTGAAAATTAATAGTATCAAAATACAATGGTTAGAATATTAACCAAAACTTTAAATTTACGTTCTTTATCTGAATATGGACTTAAAAGAAGTGGTATGCCTTTATTTAAAACTATTCAGCACATGATTAGTTATAAATCCCATACAGATGAACTCAAATCAAAAGTATCCCTCAAGGATTTATTTACTAAACCATATTATAATACATCTGTTCTCAGAAATGGCTTGCGTGTTGCTACATATGAGACAAGTGATTCAGCTATAACATTTGGTGTTTGGATAGATAGTGGAAGCCGCTATGAATCTAAGGAAAAGAACGGTGTTGCTCACTTTTTAGAACATATGATATTTAAAGGTACAACGAAAAGATCAAGATATCAACTTGAATCTGAAATCGAGAATTTGGGTGCTCATTTAAATGCATACACATCACGAGAGCAAACAGTGTATTATGCTCGATGCTTTAATAAAGATTTACCACAATGTATGGAGCTATTAGGTGATATATTGCAAAATTCAGTATTGGATCCTGCTGCAATTGAGGCTGAAAGATTTGTAATTTTGCGAGAAATGGAGGAGATAGAAAAGACACCGGAGGAAATTTTATTTGATCGTCTACATATGGCTGCATTCAAAAATAACTCTCTAGGATACACGATATTAGGCCCACCAGAAAATATAAAAACGATAAATAGAAATGATTTATTGGATTATATTCAGAAAAATTACTTAGCAGAAAGAATGGTAATAGTAGGTGTCGGTAATTTGAAACATGCAGAATTTGTTAAACATGTGGAAAACAACTTTTCAAATATACCTAGTAAATCTAAATTTGAAATTCCTTTAGATTCAAGTTATCCAAATTTTAGTGGATCAGAAATAGTTGATATGAATAATAATTATGATCAAATTGTACATTTAGCAGTCGCCTATGAAGGAGTACCATGGGATCATCCAGACATGCCGGCATTTATGTTGATGCAAAGTATTATTGGGAGTTATAGGAAGAATGAAGATTACTTAATTCCACCAAAGATATCAACTAATAAAACGATTTATAATATAGCCACAGGATCTGAGACGGGAGATATTCATTCTTTTAGTGCATTTAACACTTGCTACAAAGATACAGGTAGGAAATATTGATTTTTTTTCTAAATATCATACAAATATAATTCTTAATGAAACTTAATAATTTCAGGTATTTTTGGATGGTATGCTGAGTGTGATAGGAAAGCTGTAAATTATTGCATAGATCATATGATGCTAGCTTTCACGTCATTATCATACTCCATAACTGATGAAGAAGTTTTTAGAGCTAAAAATCAGTTAAAGTTGCAGCTATTTAGTTCTATTGAAACCCCAAATAGTATAGCAGAAGAAATTGGTCGACATCTACTCGTATATAATAGATACGTCCATATGCTAGAATGGATTAAGCGGATAGATGCAATAAGTGTTCAAGATTTAAAGAGAGTAGCTTTTAAATATCTTTATGATGCAAAGATTGCATTTACTACAATGGGAGCTATCGATAAAATCCCAGACTATACAACTTTAAGGGTCAAGACTTCTCAATTAAAAAGTTAATGTGTACTTTATAAAATTAGAATTTATAATTTTCTAATTATATAAGTTGTATATTTAGTTAACTTTCTGCCAACCATATTTTAATGTTTACAAGTGCTCAATTGAAAGTGACTTTATATAATGAAATGTTGGGATTATTATATCACTTATTATTCTGTTTATCATAGTAGTATAGTTTACTTGCTCTTTATTATGTATAGGGTTGCAGCTATATTTTTCCGTAGTACTTATATTCTGGAAATTCCTTTTTTCTATTGTTGTAATACAGTGTAATTTTTCAATTTTCAACTTTAGAAGGTTTTCTTCTAACTCAAAAATAAAGGTAAATTTTAAAAGAACAAATTTAAATGTAGAATCTTTAAATATAGCAAAAACTTGCACTTTAATTTTTGAGCGTGATAATAATCCACAATAATTATGTATATAACCAACATTTAATGCACCATTTTTTTCAAAAAATTTTTTTAATGGAAAAAAAAATATTTTCAATTTTTCCCAAATACTTATAAATCGTAATTTTGAATATAGTTTATAAGGAACTTCTAGTAAAGTAATTTCCTGTAAAGTTGAAAGTCCCAATTTTCTTTTAAGTAAGTTCATTAAATTAGCAACTGTTGTGAATTTATTAGATAATAGCTCGTTTATAGATCCTGAATTAATCTTTAAACCAAATTTGATAATTTTGTCCCATATATTCCTTGAATTTATCCTCTGTTGAGAGTGCCATAGAATATTTGTGATTTTAAAAATAGTAAAAGATCTTATAAGCTCTATATTGTTGGTTTCATAAGTATCTTCAATTTCATTATTAGTAGTATGAATAGGATTTCCATTTAATGAATTTAAAATGAGACAAAAATATAAGATAGAATGAGATTGTTCCTTTTTTTTCCTGTATTCATAGTTATTAGTTAATCTTGATTTTGTACTAAAAGTATTTAAGAAACTAGATTTTGATGTTATTAAAAATGAAATAATAATATTATCATTTTCAAAAATATCTTTTACAAGAACAAGTAAATCTGACCCATTAAATGATATGGAAATAATACTATTCTCTTCTTGATTGTAGAGTAAGTCATTTATTATTGTGTTTAAGTCAAAATTATGCATAGAAAATGAATTTAGAATGTAATAATTTCTGACAACATCTTCTACAATAGGAGAATTATCAGAAGTTAAATTAATAGCGTCATTAGTTGTGAATTTACTACTTTTTTCGAAATCATAGTATGAGCTAACAGTATTATTTTTATTAACTATTGTATTATTTAAGTTACCCCAAATTGACTTTTTTTCTAAATTATTTCCCTCAACTTTATTTTTTAATATATCATTATTGAAAAACCACTTTATCATCAAAACTAATTGTTTAGGGGAATAAAATGTTGGATTAATATTTTTATATTGATTATTAACCAGTTTGTGAAACACTATACTATTATTGCAATACTGATTCCATACCTCTTTTAAGCAATCATGAGATTGATTCATAATATGAGTCATGAAAAACTTTCTTAAATTCAATTTAATTAGAAATTGTTTAATAGGGCAGCTCTGATCTGTAGTTTCAAGCTCATCATCTGAAAATAAATGTAGCTTAATATTAAGATGTAAGTTTAAGCTAACATGATTATTTCCAATTACTGTGACAGTTATATTTTGGGAAGTTACAGTAAAAAGTAAACATATAATATGTTTAAGACCAGTATCATTGTATAAAGTTCCAATATAAATTAATTCTTGAGATATTTGTAAAGGTATAAGCGGAGCTTCTTGAAATATATTCTGAGATAAGTGTTGTAAATTATCTTGAAATATGTAATTGGATCGAATTAGTGAGAAAGTTCGTAAAATTCTGATGATTATATAAATATTTGAACTATTAGAAAGTGGTTGACTAAAGCTGTGCTTTATACGAATCATATTCATCATATTCATATGTCTATCAATTGCTTCTGTTAAACTATTTAGTACATTTAAATAATATGACTGTGAAGAGGAGCAAAAAGGTAGATCCTTAAATATTTGCTTGTATATAACGAGAGATATGTCATAACTCTGTTTATCAGAGTATTTGTAAGAAGTTTTTGCTTGTTGGATTTGGATACCTTTTTTAATATTTACTCTTTGAATTTTTGTTTTGGGACTTTTATCAAGTAAAAGAATTGCTATAATTAAACTAATTGATATTGTTTGGAAATCTTCTAGACATTTTAAACACCCCAAATCTTTAGGAATATAACAGGTAGTTTCATTATCTAAAGTTGCGTTGTGTATATTCACTCTATTATAATAAGTATCGCTTTCAAAATTTTCTTCAAGTTCTGGGTGTAAAAGCCAATTGTGGTAATGTTGAAGATTTGGTCTCGTAATATATTCCAGTATTTCAACTAATTGACTTTTAAAGTCTGATAATGTGTATAATAAGTTTAAATGAGTGGAGTATTTTTCAATATTTACATTGTTATTTTCATTACTGTAATTTAACAATTTTGAAGGAAATACAGAGAGATGACTCATTTTCTTTTTACTAAAAAATAAAAATATCAATTCCATTTCTTCCAATAGGAATTCTAGTGTATTGTAAAATTTATCTTCAAAAATATCATAAATATTTAATAGTTTATGTGAGAAATTAAAATCTACTTGATCAGATTTGAGTTTAATTAGATTAACTTCCCTATTCCAGTTTGAGAGTGTTGAAGTTAATAATAAGCTAATATAATTCCAAAATCTATATTTTGAATATAAAGTCATCCATTCTTTAATAAACTGATTGGCCTGTTGTGAGATAAGTTCTTGTAAAACAGAAGGATATAATGATTCAATCTGATTATATTTTACATATTCATTTGTTAAATGATTTTCTTCCAAAAAAAAATCAAATCTTTCCAGAAATATGGGAGTAGCACCGTCCATTAAAGAACATATATTATGGCATGACTTGAGGTTATATATCTGAATATTCAATGAAACACATACGTTACTAAATAATTTTTCTGGAGATTTTAGTGGGTATAAATGTAGATTAAAATATTTACTCCATATAAAGTAAATTATATATATTGGTAGTCCACATAAAACACCATAGTTTGTATTTAATAGTGAAGAGGATATATAATCCCAACTAACAGCGAATGGAGATAGATCAATAATAGGGATATAATTATCTTTAATAGAGTTATTCCATCCTATTAATTGATAGAGCCATAGGGTATATAAAGTTGTATTCCAAATATAATCACTGAATATATTTTTTAATTTAGATTCAGTACTTTTAGGTAAATACCAGCTTAAAAGTAGTATCCCATTTGGTGTAATATCTATAAAAGCATAATATCTGAGTGAAATATCATTGTAATTAGCATAGTTTAAACTAGGACTATTGTTTTCAATTTCACAAGTTCCAGTTTCATCAGATGAATATAATATGATAGTTATTCTTGGTCTAATCCTTCCACCACAAAGTTTAAATAGAGAACAAAAAGTTGAGTTAAAATCCATATCATTACTTGTATTCTGTTTTAAATTTCTATAATTTTTTTCATATAAAGAATCAATCCAGATTTGTATATCTTTAGATATAAATTCACAATACTTCAAAGAACTTGTGTATTTAGATACATGCCACCCAGATTCACGTGTTTCTATAGTTTGAATCTTATTTATAAAACTTGAAAAATTGATATTAAGGTATTCTCTAGCTTTATCTGGTTGTAAATCATCTACATTAAAGTCGTCATTTCTAATTTCAACACTTTGTTTTGTATTGGGATACTGAGGATATCCATCATTTTGAAATTTATCTAATTGCTCTAAATCATGTATAAAACAAGAGTGGCCAATTAAGTAAGCTTTGAAATTCTTGTTTTTACTGAAATTCTCTCTTATAACTGTTTCATAAATATTATTTAGTAGACTCTGAATACTCCATGAAGGATTATATAATTGTTGGGTTTGAAAGTCGTTTGAGCTACTTAAATTGAATTTGCTCAATATTGGTACTGAGTAGTGCATTATTTGTGAAGTTTTAGTGTGAGATAATGTGTTGGTTTGATTATCATGCTCTCCAATAGAGGAAGAAAACTTATGGACTAAATTTTCATGGAATCTGATATTTTGCAAAATATTTTGCAACTCTTCTTTATATTTAAACAAGTGACGAATAGATGAACCTAAGCTAGGTATCAATATATCTCCATTATTTAGTAATGATGAGTCATTATTTATCTCATGTACAAAACCAAAACGTAGTTCTTCAGATTTCTCTCTATCATAAGTTGGAAGCTGTGGCTCTTTATTTGAGTGTTCCTTGGTAGGTGTTGCTTCTTGTTTCATAAAACGCAATTCAAAAGCGAGATCTAGTAGAGTTAAATTTAATAGCGACTTAACTAGCTCTAATAATTCCGTATGAAACTTCGAACTTTCTCCAAAATTATCTTCGTATAAAGCAGACTCATAGTCAAGTAGTTTGGAAAAATTCCAGATATCGGCAGTAATATATAAGCAGGGCATTAACCAAATATTTGCTTTTTTATAGCTATGGGTACTATTTAAAGAATGATCTTGAAATGATTCTGGAATAATATGTACTGGTAATGATGGTTGAACCTGTATTGAATGGCCTTCATGATTACGAAGAATATTCCATGGACTGTATGAACCTGTATTATTAGGTATATTTGCTCTAATAGTTCTATTATTTGTTGTGAGATCGAGTAAATCCAAATTTTCATTAATATCCCATATTAACTGTTGCCATTTATCAATATCATCTTCATAAATACTTAACAGTATTATTGAGGAGTTTATTTGTTCACCAAGACGAACCCCTCCACCCCAAGCTCCATTCATAGGAAGTGGCATTCCATCTATACCTGAAAATATTGCAATATCAATACAATATTCAGAGAGAATCTTTTGTTTTGAGTTTAAATTTTCAGTAGTGGGAGATACTTTAAAGTTATAAAATTGCATAATTACATTCTTTGGTATTATAAATCTGACTCTAGATCTATTATTTTCTAAGTCTTCATTTATTATGTCACTAAAGCCCATTATATTTAGTCTTTTTACAAACCTCAAAAGTATATCCTTAATACAAAGTTTTATTTCAGTTTTTTTTGCTATATTCCACAAAGAAATGGCTATATAATTATGAAACGCCGAGCTCATTCTCCAAATAGCAGATGCCACAGGAAGTGGAATTTCTTGTAATAATAGCTTAGGTGAGTAGTTTTTATCTGTAATATTGTTACTATTAAATTTAAGTGATACATTGCTATCATTAAAATAAATTGGAGAAGTATTTATAACAATATTGCTAGCTCCAGTAAGATCGGATTTACTCCAACTATTCCTTCTAATCAATGTTGAGTCATCAATTTGTTCTTCATCATTTCCAATTTTTAATGAGCTCAATTGAAGTACCTCATTAAATTCATTTTTAGAATAGTCTAAATTGTTTGTCTTCTTTCCGAAGTTTTGTAAAGCTATTTTTAAATATTTCATAAAGTGCCCTTTTGTACCTTTTGAAGGTTTTCTCACTCCAAAAAATGTCAGCGAAAGTCCTACTGTGGAAGAACTTTGTTTCCCATCTTTTGATTTATTCATTAGTAAGTATCCAGGTTTAATTAAAAATACAGAACCTGTACCTGATGTCAGTGGATATGTGAGTATAATATCATCTGAGCAGCATAGCCAACCTTCAGGAGAGTTTATAGTGAAAGATGCAAATTGAAAAGCTAAACATGATATGCTTGAGTTATATATCTTGTTGTCAGTAAAGTTTGTAGTAAGAAAACCATCAAGTAGTGGAATATTGAATAAGTTATAAGGTATTTCTAGGGATATTTCATCTTGAGGATTCAACCAAAATGTATAATGAGGTATTTGCACCTGTTTACCATCCCAAAGTGTGATCTTACCAAAGTTAGAAGTGTCTTCAATTCTTGATGACTTGTGATATAGTGAGTTTTGAGTCTGTAAGTAGTAACTAGGAGTCATGCCGAAAGGTATATTATAAAGTGATGTAGTGTTAGGATTTCCAAATATCCTCATATATAAATTAGCTTCATAATTGTTATGGACAGATTTTGCAGTCTCAAAAAACTCTATTGGTGAACAATAATCATTAATTGATGCAAAAGGCTCTTCTGATATTATAGGGATTATATAAGGAGATGCAGTTTTCGTATTAATCGTATTTTTAAGTAAAAAGTCTATAGAAAATTCTTTCCACATTTTAATAAAACGTTCTTGGATTGAAGAAAAGCAAAAAGAAATAATTTCATTCAAACTTTGACTTAAGAATTTGCAATTACAAAATTTACACCATATTTTACTAGAATTATTTTCCTGAAGCTTAACTAGTTCAATTGAGGAAGGTGAATATAAAAAAAACGAAACTTTTAAATATAAATTATTGTCATCTAGACTCAATAATTGATTATTCATACTTGATACACAAGTAAAAGAACCATTATTTAGATAATTCAACTTGCATTTAATTTCTGAATTAGGCAGGTTTTCAATTTCATCCACATCAAATTGCATTGAAATAAATATTCTAAAGTGATTTTGTATAGAATTAAGATCTAAATATTCATACTCATCTTTTTGCAAATTTATTTTTTCATCTTCTTCATTCAAAAGTATTTTTTTTTTATTCCTATTCCACAAGAGTATCAGTGGATCTCTCTGTATTGGTACTAAATCAACTTTAGAGGAGAAACTATTAAAAAGAGAAGCATAGTCATCCTTATTTTTTTTTAAAAAAAAGGGTAGTAAAGGAATATAAATGCTTGATGTATACATTATAGAGCTTCCATGAAGATGTTCTAATTTTTGCAAAATATTGAGATCAGGATTATTCTGATTCCAAACTACTCTTTGGGTAATTTGAATACATTCCAAAAATAAGTCCTTTCCAAAAAGTGACAAATTGTCTATAGAATGTCTATGACTATTTATCCCAATAATTTTTTCTAACAAACAGCTATCTGATTTATGCGTAAAGGATAGTTCCATAGCTGTATCAATAATCCAATGATAGATAGTGTATCTTAATTTCTCAACAAAATGTTCATAAATATCAAAGTATTTACTTGTACAATATTCTTTCAATTTAGTACATTTGTTATATTCATATATGAATATATCTATATTTAAATTGCTAGACTCCAAAATACATAAACAAGTAATTAAAAATAGCCAATATGTCAATGCATTTGGATTTAAGCTAGTCATCACTTTTTCCCCTTTTAATTTAATAAATGAATAAATAAGACTCTTCTGTTTATCTAACAATTCAATTGAGCTACTAGAAATTTTCATCACAAGCAAAGAAGGTCTATATCCATATTTTTTCAAATTATATAAATAAAGAGGTCTTTTTAATTTATCATTTGCTTCTTTTCTAAATTCAGTACTATTAATACAATTGATTAAATCATCCTTTTTATTTATAAAGGAGTTATCAGTTATTTCTATTTCACCAAATTTATGATAATTCGAATATTGACTAAATAATGTGATGAAATCGCAATGATCTAAACTACTAACTGTCTTAACTATTTGAAATCCAAAAGTCTGTGTGCCAATTCTGGCTATTAATTCAGATTCCATACATTTTATCATCTTTAATATATCTTGATTATTAGAAACATAATGTAATATATTACTTGATGGTCTGAGTTTTTTGAAGGCACTGTATAAAACTTTCTGAAAAATGGATATAGGAACTGAAAACTTAATTGGTTTATGCTTCATTTTAGAAATAGTTTCATCTATATTTAATATATCCCTTGAAGTATATACCATATTTGCAATATAATTCTTAAAAAAAATTTCACTTTGTCGATCATCTAGTAAAATATCTATATCCCTATAATGGACTGGAATATTGTGAGTGCAATAGTCACATATAGCTTTAAATCTCAAAGTATTCCATATATAAAGCACATCTTGTATATAAAGATTTACTGAATCTTCTATTATACTCTCATTAAGAATTCCTTCACATTTATTATCATTATATTTGCAATATAATGAAAAATCGAAATTATCAAAAAATATCTTTTTCAAGTTTGATGTTACACCGCAACATAGAGCATTGCAATTCCCAATATAAAAGTCTAATTTAAGGATATTTAATTCAATATAATTATTTGTATCATTAATTGTAGTTTCTATATACTTTTCTTTCTTAAATTGTTCCTTGCTCCACTTCTCAGGATATATGTGTATAATTAAAAAGTGTTCATTAAATATATGTTCAGATTCCGTATGATTTAATGTTTGGTTGCATCTTAAATTGTAACTAACCTTTGCAGAATTCAAAAAGTTAAATAAATACCACTCATATTTTTTGATTCTCAATGAATATTCTGCTCTTCTATTAATCTTATTAATAAATTTATCCAGCAAATCACACGCTATTTCTCTCATTTTACTCTTCCAAAATAAATATTTACTTTTCTCCATTACTCTTTTTTCATGATTATCTGTATTAAAGTATTCAAATGAATAATCTTGTTTAAAAGGATTTATTTCAATTGAACAATAAGACTCAAACTCCTTAATTATGTGCTGAGTTTTTTTATTTTCAAACACAGAATATTCATTGTCTGAGCCTATTAGACACTTTGAAAATTGATCTATACAATTTATATGATCTAAAGATTTGGTGAATTTCCCCGTATCATTATTAAAGTGTTCAATTTCCTCAGAGCTTCTCTTACTTAGAGCTAAAAACAAAATTGACATTTCTTCCAAATTTAAGTTAACTCTCCTATTTATTGTTGACCTACTTTTAAATATTCGAGTTGAATTTCTTCTAAATTGCACTTTATTTTTAATATTATTAAAGTTTGACAAATAATTAATTAAAGAGATTGCTTTAATTATATTGTTATCCTGGTTTTGAATGTAATCAAGAAAATAAGTAAATAAATCACAATAATTTGGCTCTAGAGAATTAATAATATTGTTTTGGTTTATCATATATAAGGTACAAACTATTGGAGATCCGGAGCTATTCCTATCGAAAATTATGGAAATTTCATATACTAATATTATTATTTCGTCTTTGATTTCCTTTTGATTCATATTTCCCTGATTCTTACCAGTTACAAATTTTATCCATACAACTCTTATATTTGTGCTAATCTCTTTAACATATAATAAGATCCAATTTTCATGGTATCTTGCTTTTCCTAAAGTAGAAATAATACGATGACTTAAAAACATGGAAAGGTACTCCTTGTTGAAAATTTGTTTTCTTCTATCAAAAATATTGCTAGACGTATTCCATAACATATATTTCCATGACCTTTTCATTTGAAGTTGATTAACAAAGCAATTTTGTGTATTTATAATAGAAAATAGAATATATTCTATTGATTTTACAGGAGATAAAACTCCTAAATGCTCCGGTCCTATCTTCAAATTTTCAATATAGCTAAATTTAGCAGAAACTGAATTGTATCCACTGACCAAATAATTATCTCCAAAATTCATTATTTTAATATATATATTATCAAGTAGCTTTTTACTGTTTTCTTCACATATCTGCTGGTTAAGACCATGATATAAGCTGTAAATTGTAACTAAACTACTCAACTCTGAATTTTCTTCTTCATCCTTAGAGAGGTATCTATAAAGCTTTAACCACTGAATATAATAACGATTATCTTTCTTTATATTCTGAATTTGTTCATATAACTCTAAATTTATGTTTTTGGTACAAATATCACTGCACCAAGATCTCATTATATTCCATATTGTTTGATCCTCAAAACAAATTTTCTCATTTATATTTGAAAAGTACATATTCTCATTGCCTTTTTCCAAAAATAATAAATCCAAACTTCGCAATTATTTACTTCGCTACTTTTTATAGGTTCCATACAATTTGTATTCTAAACTAAGTATCATTTCCTGGATAATTTTCCATGTCTGATCAAATGAATTTGAATCTCTGTTTATTTTCAACGTATAATCTAATATATTTAAAAAAATTGTATTTTTTATTTTGAATGTATGAGGTAATAAATTACTATCTATTAATTTTTGGGATTGCAAATTTAAATGTTGCCCCGAGAGTACTTTCGAAATATCATTTAGTAAATAATCTATGTTTACCATCATGTTTATGTATAAGTTGATATTTTGAAACAAAATATCCTTCTTGCTATATAAACTTCTGCCTGAACTAAATAATTTCCTCCCAAATATTATTTCTGGCTTATTATCATCTACTAAACATTCAATGTCACAAGTTTGTTCATCCATACTGTAGGTGCTGGAATTTAATTCAAAATTAGCTATTTGAGATTGTTTGTAACCAGTTCCCGATTCATATTCAGAATTGTATAAGGTATTAAATTTAAATATGCCATTTATATCTTGTATATATATTTTAACTGACCATCTATTATAGTCGTAATCATCAACAGTATAGTAAATATTAACAAAACTATGAAATTGAGAAACTAAAATAACAGGTATTGATATTAATTGATCTTTAAATAAAAGATTATATCCAATCATCATCTTAGATGCAAATATATCTAATAATGAAATTCTTTTATCTAATAAATAAGATTTATACAGAAAACAATTCAAATATAATTCCTCAATACTTAAAGTATCCACAATACTCACTTCAGTATTTCTGAATAAAAGATTCTTAACAATCTGTTTTAACTTTAAATTATCTACTATTTCTTCGTCTACAATTGTCATACTACCATTGCAACAGCACCTCGTAAGATATTCTAATGTTTCAATAGATGGTACCATACCATAGCTAGTTTTATATTCAGGCTCAGAATCTTTAACTAATACTATATGAACCTGAATATCATTACTTATACATGTCCGAATTATGTCATTATTTAGACAAAGGATCTGATCGTCCTTATATACTTCAGTAGCTGCTTTCAAATTTTTAGATATTATACCATCTGTTATTATAATGACTGATTTATCAAATTCACTAGGAAGTGAGTCTAAATATAATTTTAATTCAAAATTCCACCAATTATTTGTTAAATAGGAACTATTATAAAATTCAAGACTTTGATATAACAACCTCCCAATTTCTTCTTGTATCTTTAAAATAATCAAATCCAAAAATATAGATGTCACTTCACAATCAGATATACAAGTATCATGTAATATAAGTTGGTAACTAGAGTCATTCGTATTGATGCCAAAAATAAGAATTGAGATTCTTATGTTAATATTACTAGTTGATTTACTATCTTTGTATATACATCTATTTAGGGCTGATATAGCCTCAAAGAGCTCTTTCAAAATCTCAGAGAAATATAAAATAACCAAATCTAATTTTGTATACTCTCTCCTTCTATTTCTAATTAAATATCTAAGAGAGAAACTTAAATCTAGGATGAATGAAAAGTGCAAATTACTATGTATACAACACATGCATGTACCAGTATTTATATATGATATAGAACCATCATTATCACTATTATCCAAGATATTCAGTTTTGGTTTTAATACTATATAAATTGGTAAAAATAAATCTGAAAAAAGTGACAGAGTAAATGAACCAACTAAAACAACTCTGATTGAATTCTGACCACTTTTTTGATATTCTATTAAAAGAAACTCGAGATTTAGAGCTTCCAGACTATCAGTACTATTCAAGTTTTCGAGTATCAAAATTGAAGGTCTTATACATAGCTTCAAGAGCTGCCTTTGTATAAATTGTAATTGAGGAGTCAGTAAACATAGTTCAAGACATTCATTTGAGCAGTTGATATGCAAAATATCTTGTCTCATGAAGTGAAAATGATAAGGCTTATAGCTTACATAAGATAAAATATATAAAATTTATAAATAGTATGTAATGTGGATACCATTTCTTAATGGATATATTATTCAATAAATACTCCAAATAATTCAATAAGTTGCGGTATTTTAAGTTGCTACTATCTTAAGTCATGTGTATACTATTTGAAAAATAAATATGATTAATATGTAAATTAAAATAATGGCTTCCTTATATTCTTATCTAAATAATACTAAATCAAAATCATACAATAGTTCATTATAGTTATAAAATATAGAAAGTTCTATATAAGAGTTTAATTAACAAAACTAATTTAAGTATATGAATGATACACCAAATAATATATCAATAAAAACAAAAATAAAGAAAGAAAGTTACATATTATATCTTCTTGATGTTCAAGTTAGTGAGGATAATATGAGAAAGTACCTATATTAATGGGACTTAGTATCAATATCTTATTTTTATTGTCTATACATTGATTGGACTTCATGGTAACTAAGACCTATACTACAGAAAAATATAATACATTTCATTCTAAATATTTAATAATAGATTATATTGTAAAAAAAGAAATATTTTAAAGACAAACAATACAATAAGAACTAAAAGTTGCGCTAAATTTGAACACAAAATTTGTGATTCCTTGTACATTTAGTGAAAAATAAAGTTACTTGTACTACTTTAATTCACTGCTAATTACTATGATTATTCAATTACATTATAAATAATTGAACTAAGAAAGCTCAAATATGATCATCAATATTAAACAAAGAAAAAAAAGTACTTATTTATATAAAGTAAATAATGTCATCTTTAATATTGATTCATGAATGCCTTAATGGTGGGATAACACATTCTCCATAATTTATGAAAATGAGCTTTGGATTATTACATTGAGCATTTCTAAACTCGCAAAGATTCATATACTGCTTACCATCACTTCCACAGTGTGGATCAAATTCAGAAGTACATCTTATTGTACATCCTCTTCCTCTAGTTCTATTGAACTTTCTTGGAAATTCACGTTCAATTGGATATGCATTTAAATCAACTATATCAACTAACTTTTCATCCAAATATTTATATATTGTAGCATTATTAATATTGAATATATTATCATTTTTATTAGATGAATTAGCCGAAAATGAATAATTTGATACCACTATAATACTCTGCGAATTAGCTTCCTCCAAAAAGTCTGGAATAATTTCCTTTGGTTCTATTGTAATATTTTTATTGGATAAATTGGTAGAATAATATATTGGGTCTTCCAAAAAAGTTGAATTATCTGGTTTAACTATATCAATTAAATATGTCTCATTTCTATTATTAAATCCACTAGGATTACTGTCATTATATTGACTGGCATTATCATTTGGTAATATAATTGATAAATCTTCAACTGAATCATAAATATTTGGTCTACTTTGTACATTACTGGATATATTATATTTTATACTTTCTTCTACTGAACCTATATTACTGACATTACAACTATATTTAATTTCATTATTGATAGAAGTTTTATTGACATTAGAATCATATATTCTCCAGAGTTCTTCAAGTGAAGTTGCTATAAATGTTACATTTGATAGATCAGATGAATTATTATAACCTCTAAGATGTGAAGAGGTTGATGAGTTATTTCCTTCTAAAACAGTCATCTTCTGGTTATCATTGATCATTTCAATCGTCTTTTTATTATATATATTTGAATTATTTAAATCTTTATTATTCAATTTAGCTTTACTAAATTGACATTCATTGGGGTATATTATTCCATTTGAAGCAAAAATGGGATCTGAATCTATTCTACAAGGCTTATTTGCATATATTGAAGTTGAAAATATATATATATAAGAATACACAATTAATATAGTTTGTATCTTCATTTCAAAGATATTTATATTTAATAAAAAAGATTTCCTTACTTTCCTAATATGAAAAAAAAATTTACAAACTAGTAAAATGGAGTGGGGGGAAAGTCCCTATAACCTAATCCCTATAGCCTAATTAAACAGCGCTTCTACGGTACTTGTCAATTTTACCTCTTTGGTATCTATTAGTATATATAATAATATAAAAGAATTTTTGAAAAACTCAAGATATTATATTATATTAAATTAATATATAAAGATTATTTGGCTTATTACTTAAGTACTTAAATTAGATAAATATATTATGTTTAATTATTATATATAATAAAAAGATCTCATTATTTATTCAATAAATTTAAGATCTACTCTTTAAAAGTATATTCAGAAGATCTTATGAAATCAGTAAATTGTATGGTAAATATATTTCAATATTAATAATGTTTAATAGGTGTCTTCTTAGCATTACAACAAATTTATTATTCTATTATATTAAATCTATAGATAATTCAAAATATTCTTTAAATATCTCTTATTTTAGAATCATATATAATAAGTTAGTATAATATTAAATTATGTATTTATTATCAATTTATAACTGAAATTTATTAACAAGGATATTTCTAAATAGTTATTAGTGAAATTAGTTCTTATATGAAAAGCAACTAATAAAATTTAGATTAAAATTTAAATCTATTCATTACTTATTGAACCAAAAACTTTATCTTTAACTGTATCCTTTAAGAGATTAGATACTTGCCAAATTTTCTGTTTATCTATACTATTATCTTGACTACCAACCATTGAAAACCATCCAGATAGTTTCTCACTAAATATCTGAGTAGCTGATGAGGGATAATCAACCATATGATCTTCATTCTTTTCTAATTTATTTACAGAATCATCCTGTATATTGTTTGTAGAATTGGATTTATTATCTCCCTCTATAAAATCGACTTTCTGTGTATCAATATTACCAAAAATAAAATCTTGATTTATATTAGATAAAGTTTCAGGAAATATTTTAGAAGCTTTATCTGAAGCTATATTAATCTTTGTAGATAATAATCCTAATTTTGGGGGAGAAATAGGCAAAGTAGGAAAACGTTGACCACTTTTTACAAATAAAAGATCAATTGGTAATAATTTTGTTTGATTATTAAGATTTGAAATATCTTTAATATCAAATTCCCAAATTTTAATAGCTTCTTCAAGTTCCATAAGAGTTTGTTTAGATAAAACTTTTTCTGATAAAATATTGAACAATCTATTTTTATCTTCAAAAATAGATTCAAGAACTTTTTTATCAATTAAATTAAAACTAGTAATACTATTAGATATTCCTTCATATTCTGATTGCATAAAATTATAACACCAATATAAATCGCAGTAAATTGCTATACATAATTTATTTATAAGAATATCTATATTCATAGACTTTTTTTCATAAACTCCATTATCTAAGTTATTTCTATTAGATATAAAACTTATTGTTTTATTTAGAATTTTATAAAGTATAGGTATAATATAAGATTGTAGATAAGTTTGACACACTAGACTATATATAATATTTTGTTCTTGAGATAAAATATCCATATTAAAAGCTATTAGATCAGCACTTAGTTGTGTTAAAATAGTATATGGAGATTCTGGATATCCAGATATACCTAATTGACGGTATAATTGGCAATATGATAAAATTTGTATAGGACAACTATCCTCAAAATTAGTATCAAGATAATTCAAAATATCCAATATGATACCCTGAATTTTACATGTGGAACTCATTATTTTGTCTAGATGCATATAAATTGCATAAAAAAGAGCCTCTAATATATATAACTTATCAGCTTGAAACCTTCTAAATTTTACTTCTGTATACTTTTTAACAAGATAATTTAAAGAATTAAGTGAACTTTGTTCCGATGTACTAATTGCAGATGCTATTTCATGTATTATTGTTGCAAGTGATCTCCAACAAATATTTTCAGATACTATTGAAGTATCCAATATTAATGAGTTCTTTTGATCTGTACCAGCATATTCAAAAAGAAGAAGTTCAATTTCATCAGACTTTTTTCCTTGAGATAACAAATTTACAAAAGAATGAATGTTAAATAGTTCCATAGATTTATAATCATTAGAATCAATTTCAAAAGAAGCAATATTTTGAGAAAGTTTACCCCTTATAGACCATATAATTGTACTAATTGAATTTAATAACTTGTTCATAATTGTAGTAAGAAATAACTCAGATATATAATCTAATATTTTATCAAATTTATGAGTAGGGAGAACTTCAGGTGATGAAGTATCAATAAAGGTATCTATTTGTATATTAGATTGGTTTATAGGATAATATAATCTATTGTATATAGAAATTTCAGATGTACATTCAATTAAATTCTCAATATATTTAAATTCATTAGTAATATCTTCAATATGTTCATTAAACCTATAAATCCAGTCTTTAATATTATTATTATATTGTTTAGTTGAAGGTATATTAAATTTTATGTTCCCTTTAATCCGAACTATTGAAATAATTTCATCCAGTGGCCCTTTACATATAAAATTACTTAAATATAATTTTATTTCATCTATTATTGTTGGAAAGAACTTTTTTTGTAAAATATCATAAACTTCAGGTATTTTAAGATTATACAAAGCTATATATATATCACAAAGTAATCTATATTTATAAGAATAATCACTTTTATTAGAATAATTTTTATCTTTACCTTCATATAATTTCATATTTATAAATGAATTAGCCATCTCATCGATTAAATTATCTACACATTGCTTGCAAAACTCTTTTGATTCATTATTAAGTTCTTGTATTGAAAATTTTAGTAAAAGTGGATTAGATTTATTTAATTCTATTATCTCTTTAACAGCATCAAAAAGTTTCATCAAACAATATATATTATTCATTATCTGGCAAAAAGTAGAACAAATATCCAAATTCCCATTTATTGATGAAATCAATTCAAGTTGAGATGATATACTTGATACTCTAGTTACTATGACTTCATGAAATAAGGAATCAATATTAGATTTCAATGAATTATTATTAAGGATTTTTTCAAAACAAAAACATATAATAAATAATTCTGCCAATTCTTTTTCAGATAATACAGGAAAATATTGAATTGAAGCCCAAAAACTATTAAACAAATTATTTGCATAATGATAAGCTATACTAGTATCAAATGTATATAAGTCATCTATATAATTACTTACTTCCAAATTATCACTATCTTCCTTTAATGATAAATATAAAAGGAAAGTATCCATAAATTTCTTTTCTGAAATATAGATAATAGAATCATAATATGTTGATTCTTCCTTATCCTCTTCAAAATTTATTAATGAATTAAAATCTGGCACATTGACTTCAATATTAGGTACATGATTATCTATAACATCTAAGGACTTGTTTATATCATCAATCAAACAGTTTACATCAATACCAAGTTTCTTACAACTATTATAAATATTTACAACACTTTCACCACATTTTATCATTATTTCAGGATTAGATCCTATAATCTTTTTGATTTCATTAGAACGGATAAATATATCCTTCTTCATGTGCTCTAAAATTTCAGTTATTTTATCCAGATCATACTTTTGAAATAACTCCACTATGGAGAGAGACAAATTATTCACCGTAATTAACATTATTTCTTTATTGATGTAATAGAGATCTTGTTAAAATATCCAATATAGTGTTATATTACTTAACTTAAGCTAGACAATTTCCTATATTAAAAATATTTACCAAGTTATTATTACATTACTATCTCAGATAATTTGCAGTTTTATCTAATATTATATTGTACTGGTAAATAATTATGTAAATCTAAATATAAATTTATTTTAAAAGCTAAACTTCTAGCACATTACAAAATAAGGCGCTCTATTTTGAGACAAAGAAAAATAGGTACCACACTCTGGCGCTACTATCAAATTTTTATTTTTTCACAAAACACTTGGTGCGTGAAATATTCCATTAATTTTGGTGATCGAATTAGAACATTGCAATATAACGGTAATAATTCCCTCTTTCTAAATTTCTATAAATAATTCTTTACTTTAATCTTATTTTTATTCATCTAATATCCTAAATATTATTATTTACTAAATTAAAATGCAAAAGTCTTCAAAACAACCATTAAATATTATCTTAATTGGTGCTCCTGGAAGTGGAAAAGGTACACAATGTGAATACTTAAGGCGTGATCTTCAACTTGCTCATCTAAGTACTGGGGATATGCTTAGAGAAGTAGTTAAATCAAGTTCAGAAATAGGCCTTAAAGTTCAAGAAATAATGGCTAGAGGAGAACTTGTAGATGATGAAATAGTCTTACAACTAGTATCTGATAAATTTGATTCTGGTGCTTGTGAAGAAGGTTTTGTGTTAGATGGTTTCCCACGTACAATTACTCAAGCAGAAGATTTGTCTAGACTTCTTAAGTCTTCTGGAAGATCACTAAATTATGTTATTTACTTTGAAATATCAGATGAATTACTTATTGAGAGAGTATCAGGTAGATACATACACCAAGGATCAGGTAGAGTCTATCATATTAAGTACAATCCACCAAAAGTTGCCGGTATAGATGATATTACTGGTGAACCATTAATACAAAGAAAGGATGATAATATAGAGTCTTTAAAGATTCGTTTAACTGCATTCCATGAGCAGACGACACCGTTACTTGAATATTATCAAAAATTGGGATTATTGAAGATAATTAAAGCTGGCCTATCTCCTTCTGAAGTACGGAGTCAATTATATTCAATCTTAAATAAAAACTAGATATATTAGTGAACAAGAGGATATATCAGATTAAATAAGTTAAAAATATATATATATGTTCTAGACTTCTCCACAGTCAGAAATAACTATAGCTACGCTTGTTTTACCACTACTTGAACCAAACCTTTCCATACTAGCTATTACATCAATACCACTTACAACCTAAGATAAAAGATTAGCTATTTTAATTTGGTATCAAATATTATAAATAATTTTATCACAATTATAGGATATTATAACTGTAGATTTATTATAACACCAGACAAAAATTGTGAAATTTGTTATAACCCATCTTAGACCCGTATTGCTAAGATAAAAGAAAAAAGTCAATACGGAACACGTCTGGGTATATATATATATATATAATCTTGTATAAACTTACTTTTCCAAATACTACATGTTTCCCATCTAACCATGGACATGGAATTGTAGTAATAAAGAATTGTGATAAATTCGTATTTGGACCAGTATTTGCCATGGATAATAAACCAGCAGAATTGTGTTTCAAGGTGAAGTTCTCGTCTTCAAATGGTTTACCATAAATAGATTCACCACCTGTTCCATCTCCTGCTGTAATATCACCCCCTTGACACATAAATTCAGGGATAATTCTATGAAACTTATTACCTTTATAATGAAGATTTATACCAGATTCTCCAATACCTCTTTCTCCAGTGCATAGAGCCCTGAAGTTCTCAGCTGTTATTGGAGTTATATCGAAAAATAGCTCAAAAATAATTCTTCCTGCTGGAGTTCCACCAATAGCAATATCAAAGTATACATAAGTATTTCTATCTATAAAGCCTACTAGTGAATTACTTTGAGAATCAGTAGTAGGAAATACTTCACTACCACAGTTTAATTCCATATCAACTCTTCTAAAATATACAAGGATCTCTAAAAAATATCAACAAGTCTATAATTTTAATTCCTGAAATATAGTTATTATAAATTATAATTCTAAAAAGAAGTTTGCCTAGTAGTGTTACTTATTTCAATCTAAAAGTATTTATATCTAACATTTTAGTCTTATTAGCGCCTCCAACAATATTTAAACCGCCTTTTTTTCGGGTTGAAAATTTTGATTTACCGGTATATCTCACATTTGTGCTGTATTTGAATGAATTTTAGGACTTGTCAAAAAAATATACCTTCATGCAAAAAATATTGAGAGAAAAAGATATCTATGCACTATACTGCTACAAGGCTATTTTGTAAATTATTGTATTTGAATGGTCATATATGTCAATTACAAAGAAATTGTTTTTCTAGTACTAATGGTAACATATTTAATTATTCTTTGCCAAGTATAAATAAAGTATTTTTAAAATATAAAAAAAATCATACTAGTGAAAATTCTAAGGTGAGATCATTATATACTTTTGGAAAGAATAAAGAAAAATTGATATCAAAGTTGTACTATAAATCTAAAACTAGAGAAAATTTAGAAGGAAGTACAAATATAAATGAAAATAGATCTACAAGTCATAATAAATTGTCATATTTACCAATGATAAATGAATTTCAAGAACTACTTAATATATATGCATTACCATTATATAGGAAGCCAGCATTTCCTGGATTTTATCAAGTATTACATATACATGATCCAAATTTGATGAAATTTCTTTTAAGCCTTAAAAAAAGAGGTGAAGAATTTATAGGAGGATTTTTAACAAAATATACATATTCTAATATGAAATCTAATAATAAGAATAACTGTCAAGATGGAATTTTAGCAAATTTGAGAATGGATTGTGGTTGTATTGATTCAGTAAATGATCTATATAATGTAGGAACTTTACTCCATATCCTTAGTTTATTACCACATCCCATAGTTGGTGGAGGTCAAGCAATAGTTGTACCATTACGCAGAATACGTCTTGTAGAAACTATTTCAGAAGGTATGAAAAGTGAAGTGAACATAACTGATATTAATACAGAATTAAGTAAAAGTATTTCAGAAGATCCAAGTGAATGGTTAGGTTTATTTACTGAACTAGGGAATAATACAGATTTTAATAATATAAATATAGATAATTCGAAATATCAAGATATTACAGATTTTAAAAATAAAATATACTTAACAGATGAAAAGTCAGAAAATAATTTGAAGGAATCATTTATACCACTTCCTTTAGTACAAGTTAAATATTTAGATGATAATATACCAAATAATATTGAATCAAGAAGTACTTTAAGGGCATTACATTTAGAAATTATACAAACTTTAAAAGATTTATTAAGAAATTCAATAATGTATAAAGAACATTTTGAACAAATTATGAAATTCTATAATTTAGATAACCCTCATAAACTTACTGATTTAATATCTTGTATATCATTTGGACAACGTGAAGAATTACAACAAATTTTGAGTGAAGAGAATATTGAAGAAAGGTTAAAATTAGTTTTACATATAGCCCAAAAAGATTTAGAAATAGCTAAATTACAAATGTCAGTTAAAACACAAATTGAAGAGAAGTTACAGAAAGAGCAAAGGAAGATTATACTTATGGAACAATTGAAATTTATTAAACAAGAACTTGGACTAGAACAAGATGAGAAAACTACAATTTTACAAAAATTCCAAAATAATATGAAAAAATATTTAAATATAGAAGAATCAGATAATTATGAAAAAGAAAATTCAAAATTAAATAATGATGTAAAAGATGAACCAAATTTATATTTAATTCCTGGATATAATCTTCCTAAAGAAGTAAAATTAGTATTTCAACAAGAACTTGATAGAATATCACTTTTAGATATAAGTAGTGCAGAATTTAATATTATAAGATCTTATTTGGAATGGTTAACATCTATTCCTTGGGGAAAAGTTACAAAAGATACTGAAAATATAGAATATGCTAAATTGATATTAGATAATAATCATTTTGGATTAAAAGAAGTTAAAGAAAGGATACTTGAATTAATGGCAACTAATTTATTAAGAAATAATAATATACAAAGTGAACAAAAAAAAAGTGATGAAAATAATCAAATAGTATCTAGTGGTAAAATTTTATGTATAGTTGGACCACCAGGTTGTGGAAAAACATCTATTGTAAAAAGTATTTCAGAAGCTTTAGGACGTAGATATTATAGAATAAGTCTAGGTGGACTTTTTGATGCAGCTGAATTACGTGGACATCGTAGAACTTATGTTGGTGCAATGCCTGGAAAATTTATTCAAGCTATTAAACATACAGGAACTACAAATCCAGTTATCCTATTGGATGAAATAGATAAATTAGGTCGTGATATACGTGGTGATCCTAGTGCTATTTTATTAGAAGTACTAGATAAAAATCAAAATAAAACTTTTAGAGATCACTATTTAGATGTTCCACTAGATTTATCACAAGTTATCTTTATTGCTACTGCAAATAATATTGATACAATTCCAGCCCCTTTACTAGATCGTATGGAAATTATTCATATTGCAGGATATGTCTTTGAAGAAAAGCTTCAAATTGCAAAACTTCATTTACTTCCTTCTATACAAAATGAGACTGGTTTAACATCTGATCATATCAAATTGGAAAGTTTAGTATTAGAGAAGTTAATTAAGGATTATGCAAGAGAGGCAGGAGTTCGTAATCTTGAAAAATTATTAGAAAAAGTATATAGGAAGGCAGCACTTGAAATAATAAAAAAAGAAAATGAAAGATTATCTTTTCCATTTAATATTGATTTAGAATCTCTTTATAAATTTATTGGTTATCCTCCATTTATATCGGATAGACTTTATAGAGTAATGCCACCTGGAGTTGTTATGGGATTAGCTTGGACTGCTCTAGGAGGAGCTACATTATTTATAGAAGCTGTAGCAAGAATTTCAAATTTAAATGAGGAGATTCATGAAATTAATTCGACATTATCTCCAAGAGTTAAAGTTACTGGTCAATTAGGAGATATAATGACTGAAAGTACTGAAATTGCTTATACATTTATTAGAAATATTATAGCAAAATATTCAACATTTTTTGATAAACATTATATTCATATACATGTACCTGAAGGAAGTACACCAAAAGATGGTCCTTCAGCAGGTATAACATTAGCTACATCATTATTAAGTTTGGCAATAAATACCCCAGTAAAACAGGATATAGCTATGACAGGTGAACTTAGTCTAACAGGAAAAGTTCTTCCAATTGGAGGAGTTAAAGAGAAAATATTGGCAGCAAGAAGAGAATCAGTTAAAGAAATTATTTTACCATATGAAAACTTAAGGGATGTACAAGAACTCGAAGAATTTATTAAGAGTGGAATCAATTTTTATTTTTGTGATAACTATTTTGATATTATCCCTATAGTATTTCCAACTATCAAATTTGACTTTTCTAATATGAAACATTCTGATTCTCTTCAACCAATAAAATTGGAATTCTTAAATTAGTAAATAAATAAAGGTAATATCTTACTGAATATATATATATATATATATATATATATAATAGTATTAAGAGGAATAGAAAATAAAATATCACATTACAAGCCTTCTATTATGTTATATATTCAAATATAAAATTAATCAAGTATTGTTATCTTATATTAATAAAACTATTGTTATAATAATTATAAAGGAGATGTAATATCTTAATTTTTTTTTAATATAATGATGTAAATAATAAATATCTAAGTTCTAAAATCTAAAGAACATACTAAAGATAATATTAACATTACGATCTATTATAATAACTATTATTCTAAAAAGAAGAATTCATTATTAACTCAGAATTATTTAACTTTTTTTATTATTTTATTTATTTATTCCCTAATATAGAGTAATATAATTATTATAACTACTACTTAAAATAATCACAAATTATTTTATTTAAATATAACGGTACTATTTACCGCTCAAATGCGGGAATATATTGCTACCCTCTATTTGCCTTTAAATTTTCTTAATAAATTAAAGGAATTTTTTATTCTAGAATATTATCTAAGATAAAAATGGAAATGCTTACATTTAATTTAAAAGATGGCCATTTAGAGGCTATGGTAAGAGGATTTCGTTCTGGTTTCTTAACAATGGAGGAATATAACTTGATAGGACAAGCAGAAACATTAGAAGATATGAGGACAGCTATGGAAGAAACAGATTATGGCACATTTTTACAAGATGAACCTTTATCTTTATCCGTAACTAGAATTACACAAAAATGCCGTGAAAAATTTGCTTCAGAATTCCGCCTATTAAGATCTCAAGCTTATGAACCACTTGCTACTTTTCTAGATTATATTACATATGAAAAAATGATTGATAATGTTATTAATGTAATTCAGGGTGCTATTAATAAAAAACCAGCTGATGAATTATTAAGTCGACTTGATCCCTTAGGTTATTTCCCAGAAATTCGTGCATTTGTTGCATTAGATCTATCATCCTCATTTGATGAATTGTATAAATCTATATTAATTGATACATCTATAGGACCTTATTTTGATCAATTTTTACGCTCATTTACTGGTGAATATGAGGATGTAACATCTATTGTTAAAGAAACTGATTTAGAAATTCTACGTAATTTTTTGAAAAAATCATGGCTCGAAGATTTTTATGAATTTTGCCAAACATTAAATAGTACTACTAAGGAGGTAATGAGTCATATATTAAAATCTGAAGCTGATTTTCGTTTATTAGCAATAACTCTAAATTCACTTAATTTTAATTTAGCTAACACAGCTTCACTTTATCCAAATTTTGGTTATTTATATCCAGAAGGTACAGAACAAATTAGAAAAGCTTGGAATGATACAAGAGTTAGAGCAGCTTTAGAACCTTATACTAAATATTATGCTTTATATGAGCAATGTAAGACATTTTATGTAAGTGATAATGTTAATGATTTTGGTTTAAATACTGATATATCAAGAAATGAACATACAAATCGTAGGAATTTGGCTGATAGACAATTTAAGAGTTTAGAGGATCTCCTTTATGCAGAAATAGTATCATTATGTGAATTGGCATTTGAACAACAAATGAATTATGGAGTATTTTATGCATGGACTAAATTGAAAGAACAAGAAATTAGAAACATAACGTGGATTGCAGATATGATTCTAATGAAAAGGAGAGATCAAGTTGATGCGATTGTACCAATATTTGCACCTAGAGTATAAAATAAATAATATTGAAATTTAGTATATGATACTACTTAAAATTTATGTAGATATTTAGATATTTTCTTATATAGGTTGGATCTATATATATAATCTTTAATATTTGAGTATCTTTAAAGTAGAAGAATTTCAAAAAAAAATAATTAAACTTCTTTTACCATCATTATCCTATTTTAAATATTTAATATGGTAATATTTAAAAAATCTTATTAGGGGAAAAAAAAAGATCTTATAATTGGGGTGGGGAGGGGGGGATGATGAAAGGGGGTTTATATATTTATATTCATTAAAATTTCACAACTATGAGCGGTATGAACTTGCCGGCCATTTTTACTTCAAAAAAGTTATTGGCGCTATTAGCGGGATTTTTTTGTTTTTATCCTTTAAAAGAAAAAAAATCTGTAAATAAAAAAGGTTATAGTATTATATAGTCAAATATTTTAACTAATAAATTGTCTCCTAATATGTTAGGTCATATTCCTCCTGTAACAAAGGCTTACTTAACTATAGCAACAATAGTAATGGTCCTATGTACATTAGATATATTGTCTCCATTTAATTTATATTTAAATTGGTTATTAATTACACGTGAATATCAATTTTGGAGACTAATTACATGTTTCTTCTTCTTTGGGAATTTTGGCTTGCATTTTTTTTGGAATGCTTATGTATTAATATTTTATTGCTCATCTCTGGAAGAAGTTGTATTTCATAGTAGATCTGCAGATTTTCTTTGGATGTTATTAACCTGTTCTTGTATGCTTTTGTTACTTTCTTATTTTTTTGGAGCAGGATATTTCTTTAGTGGAGCTATTATTAATGTAATGACATATATATGGGGTCGTAGAAATCCATCTACAAGAATGTCAGTATTTTTCTTTACAGTTAAAGCACCATATTTACCTTGGGTTCTAATGGGAACAGCCTTATTAATTGGTTGGAGACCATGGGATAATTTAATGGGTATTATTGTTGGGCATACATATTATTTTTTTGAAGATATATTTCCATTTATGCCTATTTCAAAAGGTTTCAAATTACTTAAAACTCCAAAAATATTATGTAAATTATTTAAACAAAGAACTGATGAATATAATAGGCAAATATATTGAATTTATTAGTTAATATACATATTCAACTTTATATTCTTTTGTTTTTATATTTATATGTATTTATTTAAATAAAAGGATTTATTTAAGAAAGTAATTTTTTTTTTTTTTAATTTATAAAGAATAAAGAATAACTAAAAGTTAATATTCAACATTAATGACTACTATTATATTATAAGAGAAGTAAATATTATATATATTAGTTTATATTAAATGTTATTTAATTAATCTAATTATTCCTATTATTTACTTAAATAAAAATAGAAATATAAAATTTAATTTGACTATCAAATTAATATATAAGTAAATAAATTTTAAGTACATTAAATTTATTTCTAAATTTTAAGATAATTTTTTATATCTTATTATTATTCAATAATAAATTTATTAAGTTTTTTATTTACCTAATACTTATTATATATTGAAATATTATTATTACATTAATAAAATTTTATTATGAAAAATAAACTTCCATTCTTCTTTTATTTTAATTTTGTAATATTATAAATTTTTAGTATTAATTGAATAATTGAATAAAGTTATCTAATTAGATTATATTTATATGAAATATTTATTATTGTTATTTCTAAAGAAAAGTAATTACTATATGTAAATAATATTTTAATAAAAAGTTTTATTTTTATTCCTTAGAATTTCATTATTTAAATTTCAAAAATAAGTAATCTATTGGATTAAGTTAAATAATATTATTTAATATAACTTTTTTTTTATTATATATTAGACTTAATATAACTTAACCTTGTATATTAAATTTTAATTAAATTTCTTTAATTATATATATTATTTAATATATTGTCTAATGTAAACCTTAGAAGAAAAAAGGTAATAGATTTAATATTGAATAATATACAACTCTATATTAAACTAATTAATAGAAATATCTTAATAATATTTTATATAAAATACATTATTCATTAAATATTATATTCTATTATATTAGTCATTTTTTCTATATTTCTATTTGAAAAAAAAAGAATCTCTACATTATTTTATATCCAATTAATCTATTTAATAAATTAATATATATCTGAATAGTACTAGATACCTTTAGATCTTAAGATAAAAAACATAAGAATAATTCTTTATAATGAGACGCTAATTATTAATTAATACCCCCAGTGATAATTACCTTGTAAAGTCTAAATAGAATAAGTTTATGTTAAAATTATTAAGAACAAATTCTCAAAAAGTTAAGCTAATTAAACTTTTTAAATGGACTAAAATATATCATTTTAAAAATCCCTTATTATATTATATTGATAAATATAATTTTTATATTTGTAATAAAGAAATTATTTCAAACAAAAAAAGTAATATTATAGATGGTGATAAAATAGCACAATATGCACATTTTCAAGAGAATTTATGGAATAAAATGGTACCAGAAAGGAATATTCAATTATTTTCACCAACTTCTTTTTTATTAATTTTTTCAATAATTGGACTACATTTATATAATAAAAGAAATAGAAAATATAATGAAATATCACTTAAAGAATTACTTTTAAATGATTTAGACGAATCTACACCACTTGGTAAAGAAAGATTAATAAGAGAAGCTATGTTACAAAAAATAAAAAAGGGAATTTAATAAAATATTAAATTTTTTTTCTTCATAAGATTAATATAAAATTACATAATAAAAATAATTTATTATAATATACAAAATATTTAAATTTATTATTTAATATCTTAAATAATAAATTTAATCTTTTTTAATCTTCCTTCTTTTTAATATTTTTATTTTTAATCTTTTTTTTTTTATTTTCATAGATTATATTCAAATAATTAGAACTAATACATGAGCAAGTAATTCTAGTATCAAAATTATAAGAATCACAACATTTTAAATTTAAAATAAAATGAGGATAATCTTGATCTATTATATATGAAAATAATATAAATAATCCATTAGAATCACAAATTCCAAGAAATCCATTATATATTATGTTCTCTGCTACATATATAGGGATAATACCCTTAATTCTATGAAGATTTTGTTTATTATTTTCAAATTTAGAATAATTAAATATTATTTTAATTTCTAAAAATTCATTCAATGTTACATAAAAGAATTTAATAGATCCATCTGAAAATCCAACAATTATAAAATTATTTGAAATCCAAGAGAAGGCAGTTATAGTTAATTTTGATGGGATAACAAATAAATTAACATATTTATTACATTCAGTTAAACTATATACTATAATATTAAATTGTGAAATAATTGCATATAAATAACCATCTCGATTAAAATTGATTTTATTTATAAATCCATATTTACTTTTATGAGTTATGTTTGGGATATTCGGACCTAATATATGAGCTGTAGTTGTTAAACTACAACATCCTTTAATTAAATCAATTAGACATATAGTCCCATATTGATCAATACTTAAAGCTAATCTCATTGATGGATGAAAATCAACAGATATAGGATTAAATTTATGGATTTCTGATAATTCTAATAAAGGTTGCCAATTTATACAATTCCATAGACATATAAGCTTATCTTCACCACAAGATATCATATATTTTGATTTTGGACTTAAGATAATTTTATTAATATTTCCTTGATGTTTAGTTAATATTCCAGAATCACATCTTGTAATTAAATTATATATTCTCATAGTTTCATCAGAACTAGCAGTTAGTAAAAAATGTTCATTCGCAGAAATATCACGGATACTTGACTATAATTGAAAAAAAATAATAAATAATATTCCAAATGTAAAGATATTAAAACTTACTGAATGAGCTTTAAATGCAAATATTGGATGTAAATACAAATTTGGGATATTATTTTGTTGTAATTCTTGATTATTTTTAATTTCTAATCCAACGATATATCCATCATATGTACCTAATTATAAATTATAATAAGATAATATAAAACATTATGAATAGTTTATAACTTACCTGCTATTAATAAACAATGAGATCTATTTTCTGACATTTAGTCTATTTTGACAATAATTTTTATTTTTATCAATTAATAAAATAAGAAGAATTTGAGCGCCTATTATAATAAGGCGGTGAATAGGTGTCGAGGAAAGTACCGATAATAGGGAATAGTCAAGTTTTCACTAGTATTTATTTAGTAATATTTTTGGATAATGCGAAGAATTTCCGGTTTTTGTTATGTTAGATTATTTTATTTAGATAAATAATCAATCTGAAAGGGGATTTAGTCGAATTTGATTCCTAATTAAATGGAAAATTTTGTAAGTGAAGTAAGAGGTACAAAAAGTACTAAGATATCCGAGTTACAAGCGAATAATCCCCAGTTACAGAATAGGAAGATGGTATCAGAGAAACGTAGAGTTACTAGATCTATGAGGAAGCAGATAGTAGATAATGAGGTACTTAATTTAACAACAGATATATTAAATACTACACCAAGTACTAAGAATATACATAATAATGAATATTTAAGTAGTACAAATATGAAGAAAAAGAAAAAATTGACTAAGATACATGCAAAAAATAAGAAAGGAAATATAGTATCTAATAAAACTTTGGATATATTAAATAAAGATAAGATGAATTCTAAATCTATTAGTCAAGAAATAGATAATGAAATAACATCTGTTACCTTTATTAATGAGAATTCTCAAAGTACTAAAGTTATAGGATCATCAAGATTAGCAAAAATTAGTTGGAGTAAATTTGATTCATATTTTCGTCTAATTCCTATTGGTAAGAACAAAGAGAAAATAATGAATACATTACCAATATCTAATGTACAAAGAAAAATAGCTTTAACTGAAATATCATATGTAGAAGAGCTATTAAGATCTGAATTCCCTTGGGGTCCAATAGGAGAATCATATCCTTATCTAACATTAAAAAAACTTTCTTTACCACCATTATATTTACCTAATTGTAATATGGAATATATTTTGGATTTGATATCTAGATATATAATTAAGGGTAGGTCAAATAATATAAAATCTAATTCAGAGATTCTTAAACCTTGGATTGTATTATTTAAGCTTCCTCATTCTATCTCTATGGTAATTTTTGATTCTAAATTACCAATAGAACAATTTAAACAAATAGAATCAGAAAATTCCATTAAATTAGAATCTTCTTTAAATATATTAAATTTAAATTCTTCAGATGAATTATTAGAATTTGATTCTAATAAGAATATTACAGAATTATATTCTAATTGGGATCTTCATTGTTTTATAGAATTATCATATTATCAATATTATTATATCTGCAAATTTTTAGAAAATGTATATTATAATTATGATTCAATACATAAAAGAATCCTATTTAGTATGGTAAGGGATATAGAACAATATCCAAAATATATTAATGTAAATGATGTTATTAAGAAAAAATCAGAAGAATTTCAAACAATAGTATCAAATTATTTAGGATATCCAATAGATTTAAACCATTTTTTTACATATCCAGAAGTTCCAAAGTCTGATATTATTGATGTGGATAAAATTAAACAAGAAGTTAAATTTAGTGTATTTGATAATTTAAATTCTATAAACAGTACAGATTTATTGGTTGACAATATGTGGGATTCTTATCATACTTATGATCCTATATATTGGTGGATTGATTTTGTTTTATCTCAGAAGATTACTGAAACTTTTAATGGATGTAAATATATTGGGGATTCAAATCATAAGATAGCTATACGTCCTGATTATCAAACTTTAGCTGAAATTCCTTGTTGTATTTATCTTGGAGGATTATGGTGGCTAGATCCTACAAATCCTTTAAAGTTATATTCAAATAAAGATGAATCTTTATATGATTCTAGTGATATAGATGATAATAAAAAAGTAGAATCAGTACCATATTGTAATTTATTACACCCTTATACAATGAGAATATTTGAACTTGATGAAGATTTTAACTTTGTTCAGGCAAATTTAGAGAGATTTGTTCCAATATATAGTGAAATTGTGGAAACTTTAGGAACTATGAAATATAATATAGAAGAACAAATTTCAAGAGAAAATGACAAAAGTATACCAATTGCAAATATTCCAACTTTATGTACAAATATTATTCAACGATATAAAGTTGTAAATTCTTGGTCAAAATTAAGAAATCAAATATGTCTAGGATATAAAGACTTAGAAGTTAAAAATATATTATCAAATACAACTGTACAATCTAATACAAAAGTTGATACAGAAGAAGATAAGAAAGATATAACAAATCTTACATCAATAAAAGTTTCTAATATAGAAGATAAACCTAATTTAACTTCTACAGAATTAACCAATATTTGTTGTATTTGTTTTGGTTCACAAACAGATACAATTTGTCCATTTGTAGAATGTGTACGTTGTGGGATTGTTGTACATGCTCCATGTTATTCTATAAATATACCTTCACATGAATTATTAGATTTCTATGGTTGGTTATGTGATCGTTGTGAATTAGAAAAGAAGAGCTTAGGTACACAATATTTAATAAATTTTACTGCTGGTAATATTAAATGTTCATTATGTTCTCATAGAGGAGGTGCTTTTAAACGAACTACTAATCCGGGTGAATGGGTACATATAGTTTGTGTTATTTGGCTTTTACCTTTAGTAACTTGTGAAGATTGGTTGAATTTAGATTTATGGAATATTTGGAGAATTAATAGGAGACCAAAACAGGATCAATATATTGAAGAATTATTACAAACATTAAAGGTAGCAAATTATACATGTAATACTGAAGATCAACTGAATACTATTAATAAGGATGAAATAACCAATAATTTTAAATGTAATAGTAGCCAATGCACATTTTGTCAAAATGAAGCAACAGCAAGCCTTATTAAATGTAGTTTCTCATGCTGTAAAGTTTTTTATCATCCTATATGTGCATGGTTGAATGGAATATATATTTATATTGATGAAGAACCCAACTATAATTCTGGTAGTTCTCTATTAGAATATTTATATAATAAGGAGAATTTATTAGATACATGTATGAGGATGATTAATATACACTCTTATTGTATAGAACATAGTCAATATTTAAGACCTGAGCGTGATGTTACTCATCAATCAAATTTACGTAAGAGGAGGTATGTTAATCGTGATTTATTTCCAGATTTATATAGCAGTAAATATAGCCAAAAGATAAGTAGAAATTCACAAGGGACAGTACAACGTTCAAGAAATAGACCTGTAACTCGTTCTAATTCTTGGGAATCAACAATTCCATTAGAAACATCTACAAATAATATAAATGATGGTACTTATAGCAAATCTGAATATTATGCTACAGCATTAATTCCAGATAAGTACAATCCAAATATTTGTTCTGTGTGTTTAAAATCTAACATTATAGATTGTGGAAATATAACATCTAATTCAAATGAATATTTATCTTATACTATTTGTATGGGTAAGGATGAAATTTTAGATTTAGGTTTGATTAGATGCAAATGTTGTGGAATAACTGTACATTGGACATGTTATGGACTAAATTTATTACCTAAATCTTTTGTATGTCAAATTTGCAAAATTGGACTTAGATCAGAAAATATACCTTGTATTTTATGCCCAAGGAGAGGAGGCGCATTAAAGATTGCTCAAATATCTACTTATAAAGAAAATATAAGTTCTTTTGAGGAATGTAAAAGATCTTTTGTACATATAACATGTGCCTTGTATACACCAGGAGTTTATCCTATAGATAATGAGATATTCACTGGAATCTCAAATTATCAAGGAATGGTATCTCTAGTAAAACTTCAAAGAAATGCTACAATTAAGAATAAGTCGTATTTTGTTAGGAAATTTAGTTATGCTGAAGGAGTAGTACAACAATTTCCATTTAAAATATTAACACAAAATATTATGAATGAAACAAGCCAGATAGATATTCCTGCTATATTTTGTTGTATTTGTAAGAGTTGTTTTGGAGTGATTATAGCTTGTAGCTATGCAGGATGTAACCGTATGGCCCATGCTTTATGTCTTAATCTTCACGGTTGTTTAGTTGAAACTATAGCTGATGTTTCTAATATATCTTCAAAGTCTTATGGAAATCTTGATATCCCAAATAATTCATCTGGGGTATTATATATTCCTCCTGGGTCACCTCCTCCATTTGTAAATAATGAACAAGTTATATTTAAATCTGGAGAAATATCACAACATAATTTACAATATTCAGCTCTAACAGAATTTTCCCAAAGAGTATATTGCCCTGAACATGGTCTAAATTTAGCTAGGCTTAACCCAGGTGGTAAATTACTACTTTCAGTACATTCTTCTTTAAGTATAGCTCTTGATGTTATTGAAAAATTACAAAGATGTGAAAAAATTAAAAGGACTCTTTATCATGGACAAATTGAAATATTAAGTAAAGGATTTCCTTTAATATCTCCAGATATGACCCAATCTATCGATATTTTACAAGCTTATTGGAATCACTTTAGTAATAAGAATTTATTGCAATCAGTTAAAATTAAAGATGGAGTTATTTCAAAATTTAAAGATTTAGGTAAATATAACCCTAAAAAAATACAAACTAAATCTTATAAGAAATATATACCAGTAGGAACGCCTAAGAGAACTAGATCATCTGGAGAAGTTATTTCCGTACCTTCTTTAGAGGATGCAATTAAAGAAGCAAGAAAACAACGACAAATTTATAAACAAGAACTTGCAGCAGCAGGAATTGTTATTCGCAAAAGATTACCACCTAATAGAACTCCTACTATACCTTTCACAAGACTTAGTGAAGAACAACTTAGAGAAGCTGCAATTAATTGTTTAAATTCAATTGGGCGTAATCACACTAAAATAGGAATGGAGAGATCTTTAGAAATCCCTTATAATTCTCAATTCACTTCAGAGATATCTAAAATTTCAAATATATCCCCACCAAATACATATGAGACTTCAAATATAAATAAGTCTATTGAAAATAATTCTATTAATATATATCATTCACATAATAAATCAGATAAATGTACTACAAATAATGAACTAAATATAGAACAAAGTCAATCAATAGAAAGTACACAGGACATATCCCAAACAGATCATCAAATTTATACTGCTCAAAACTTACAATCTAATGTTTATTCAACCAATTTACAAGTATCTCGTCCATTTTGCCTTCGACAACACCGTCATGATTGCTTTAGACGACGTATTGCAGAATTCATTTTGAATCCACCAGTAATTATGGATCATAGAAAGAAAATGATCAGAAACTTTACTAGACAATTACGCCAGTATGGTGTAACAGCCGAAGAAATGTTAGTTAGTGATGTTGCTCTACCAGTCATCAAATCAAAGCCTAATATGGCTTTAAATGAAATAAGTAAACCTATTATTAATATAAATCAACAAACAATTCAAAATAACATTGATCATAAACAGATCACTGATAATTTGCCTATTACAGATATTACAAATCAATATCCTATTAATAGATAAATTAATAATTAAAGCTTAGTAATTAAAAATAAGATCTGATAAGACTTAGGTCAAATTCCAAAATTATATCCCAACTTTTGCACCTTCATTTTTATTTTTTTAGACCTTGTTTGTAGATTTGCGATCATTTATATTTAATTAGGCTTCCACATAACCTTGTTCTAATTACATGTCTTCTCAATCTTCTTCAGCGCCATCACGTGTTCTGATGTTTAGATTCTGTGTTCTACAAATATGTTTCTAAACATGATTTATTTAATATTTAATGTATTGAAACTCCTATTTGCCATCTCTCCCATTATATGTATCGTATTTATATTTATTTTTAATAGAGGTTGTGAAAGTGATCCAAGTTTAGCGAGAAAAGCAGATTTCTCTATTGAAATAGACTAAATAGTATATTATTACTTCTTATTAATAAGGAACTAATTTACTAGTATTATAGTACTTAATATATTTACGTTCATATCTGACTCTTTATTTACACAGATTACCACTCATCTACTAAAGACACAAGAAAAGTACAATAACGAAAGTAAAAGAAAAGGGATTTAGAATCTCAGCTACCACGGCGCCTAATATTACAATGGAATTTAAGGCATGTATTGAGCGCCCAAGAATATTACAGATAGCTGGCACTAAGAAGTTATATTTTGGTACCAATTCAATCCAGTCTAATCTTAATTAAAATGAGTTCTATGCAGCGTGAATTAATAAATGCGCTAGGATTAGGGGTAAATGAAAATTGTCTTAAAGATGTAGATGTAGTAGAATTAAGCAGGCTTATAGAGGAGGATTTTCTAAGGACTACAAGTGGCCAAGATCAACGTATAGTAAGGCAAAGGAGATTTGAATTATTAAGTAATTTAAAAAGAATATCTAATCCTGATTTACGTAGAAGAATTTTGGTTGGTGAAATGTCTATTAGACAATTTGTTACATGTCCTGTAAGTGAATTAGCTCCTGATTCATTAAGACAGCAAAGATTACAAGAACAAAAACGATACTTTAAAGAGGAATGTATATTAATGGGTGGAGTATTAGATACCTTAAATAAGGATAAGCACAATGAAGTTGTAAGGGCTGAAAAAAAAGATGAAGATGATGTTAATGAACTTTTTAATGATAAATCTTATGAAGATAACCTACAAGCAGCTTCAAGCTCTAAGAAAATTAGACTTAATTCCTACAATAATGATAGGCTTTACAGTATTGTACCTAATGTATCTTTACTACTTAAATCCCCTCCAAATTGCTTTGATATTACTCCTTCATATGTGATTAATAAATTTGTTAATAGATACAAACAACTAATAATGAATATGGATATACAGCATCAATTAATCAAGCAGGCAAAATTAAGGATCGTCACTACTACATAGAGTAATTAGACTAAATTAGATAAATCCATTTATGGTATTAAATACATATATATATAGAAAATGAGTTGATTATTTGGGTACTGCTATTACTCGTTTTTGTTTAGACTTTTTTAATTTCTTTTTTTTTCTACTTTCCGACTTTTTTAGTGTAGATTTTAGAAAAGCTGAGATTCTATCACTTCTACGCTCATCAAATTCTTTTTGTTCTTTTTCCTCCTTCCGTTTGAGTTCCATTTTATGGATTCTCTCATTCTCAGCTTCTTTTTGCTTTCTATATATATGGAAAAAATCACTTCCTGCACCAGCATTACTTCCACAAGTATTTTGTAACTTTTCTTCCATTATATCATCATCTCCTAAGTTTTCTACTGATATTTGTATAGTTTCACCTGTAGATAATAAGAGATCCTTTCTTATTTTGCTTTGATATTGTTTCATTAGTTAAACCATATTTTTAAAATAGAAATAGTAACAATTGGCGCCAGAATTACATTTTGTCACTTTTCTATAATATAAATTTATCATGGCGCATTACTTATATTAATAGAAAGAGGGGGGGGAAAAAAAACTGTAAACTTTTTATATACATCTCCAAAATATTTTTGGATCATAATCTGAAGAAATAAAATAATCTTTGAAAAAGCTCAAATATATAGATATTATATTAATTACAGGAATAATTTGGCTTCTATAAATTGATCTCATTCAAAATAAATTATATATTATTAATAATAAAGAAAAGTGGAAAAGTTATACCGCAGTAAAATTACAATTACATGATAATTGCATGAAAATCTCGGAAAGTAGAAGTAAAAAAGTAATATATAGTAAGAAACTTAATAATATAGTGGAAAAATTAAATTATTAAGGCTATTAATTATAGTATCAGCTTAAAAAAAGAATTAAAATATATCACTTAATGAACCCTGAGTCAGGCAAAATTTTTGTTGGTGGCCTTCCCCAGCAAGTGACATCTTCGATACTGTTGGAATATTTCTTACAGTATGGAGTTATATTAGATGCAATAGTAATGTATGACAATATTAGTGGAAGAAGTCGTGGTTTTGGTTTCGTAACTTTTAAAGATCCCAGCGTAGTTGATCTTGTACAAATATGTAGCCCTCATATCTTACTTGGTAAAGTGGTAGATTGCAAAAGAGCATCTCCGCGTGATGTTATTCCACCAATAAATATGAATATATACACAAATAAAGCTATATCTAGTGAAATTAATAAGGATCTTAACTCTACTACTGAAAATGAAATGAATGATAAACTATCTAAAACTAGTAGTAAAGTATTTGTTGGCGGTCTTCCTGATCTATCACTAGAAGAGTTTAAAATTTACTTTCAACGTTTTGGTTGTATAAAGGATGCAGTACTGATAACTGATAAGCATAATGGGCGTCCAAGAGGTTTTGGTTTTGTTACTTTTGAGAATTCGGATGCGGTTGTAAACGTAACTAAGCATTATAATAATCACTTTTTAAAGGGAAAATGGGTTGAATGCAAAAGAGCTTTACCTAGAGAAGGTATGCCAATAGTATCGACATTATGTAAATAGTAAAAAGATCATTTTACATATATGAATAGATGTATATAAAATTTCAATTTAGTTGAAGTATATAAAATAAGGATCTGTAATTTTAAGTAATGTAAAACTTATTATTTATTAATATTATAAGGTAATACTTATAAAAATTTATAGGGAAGTACTTGTGATCAATGTAAGGCAAAGATCTTTACTTTATTAATATTAGACTTAAATAATTATTAAGGACAATTCAAGTTAAATTCGAAATATAGATAGAAAAAAAAAAAAGTTATTTTAATTAACTTCTCCCAATTTATTAATGAGTTATTTCATATTTTAAAAATTACTACATTACTATATATATTATCTAGTAATTAGTTTTTTATTTCTCTTTTTTATTTTATTTTTCATTATTTAAGATAGCTCATTATTTAATGATTGGGCCACTTCAGCTACAGCTTTTCCTACAATTGTATGAGCTTCATACATCCTATCCATACACTTTGCAAGGCAAATTTGATCATTTCTTGTTAGCGAATCCCCAAATTTCCCATCAAAGCAACGACTAAAGCATACTTTTCGAGTCTCCTAAAAAGTTTAGATTTTAAATAAAATAAAAATAGATTGAAATAAATAATAAGACTTACATTATTCATCATTTGAAGAATTACTGCACTAAGAGTTCCTTGAACTTCCTTAACTATAGACACTTCCTCATCCATTTTATCTCTATTTTAATATTAACTTTAATTTAAATTAAATTAAACTAATCCCCGCTATCTCAATCACTCATTGGAAATAGTTTCTTTTTTATTATAATATTTTTATTAAATAATAAACTTTTCCTTGAGATTTTATTTCAAAAATTTAATATTAATCTTAAAATTTAATCAGAGCTTTATATTTCTACAAATTCTTAATAATTTAGATATTTCTTCAGCTTTATTTTTGATCAACACAAAGAATATTAAAAATAAATCTCTTTATAATACTTCTACATATATATTAGTACTTCTATTTATATATAAATATTCATAATTGAAATTTATTGTATATTTCCAATTTTATATAAAATATCTTATCTTAGATTTTCCCTCTCGATACATAATCTAATTCTACCTGTCATGATTAGCCCCACAGATCATATAATTTAATTGGTAATGCAAATTTACAATAAATAAAAAAAGAATTTTCAATATATTGGATATTGGTTAAAGAGTTTATATAATTTAAATAATAAAGTTTGATTATAATGGAAGACTTTTCAAATGGTACCAATTAGTAAAAAACTATCAATTATCTTATTATGCAGTTTTGTATGTATATTATATGCTATAGTCATTGGGATAACTAACTTGGATTATTTATTTAAACATAAAAAAATCATATTATTACTTTCTAATCCAGATAAAGTTTATCAGATAGCATTTTCAGCTGATAAGGAAGTATTCCAATTATTCCCTACTCTGTTAAATTCCATTTTTAAAAATTTACATGAGTATGAAAAAGCCAACGTTCATATTATTACTATGCCAGATATAAGTGAAAAAGATATTAAAATATTACAATCATTTTCTATGAACAAATTTGATAAGAAAATTGCTTTACTATTTTATCCATTTAATTATAAGTTGAAATATACAAGAACTTTGAAACACGTCTCGGAGGCCACAATGTGTAGGCTCCTCCTTCCAAATATTATTGACAAGTCTATAGATAAGTTACTTTATCTTGATACGGATGTTATAGTTAATACACCACTAAGGTAAGTTAAGTTTACAATTAAACCAATGCTATTATATCTATTTGCATGCATTTTCTTTTTTGTTCTTTGATGAGAAAAAACACATAAGTTATTTTAGAGGGAAAATAAGTTAGCACTACAATAAATTCTTTATGCATGCATGCAAACAAATAGATATATTAGATTTAAGCAGTTATTATACATGATTAGGGATAAACTATTTTTTAGAGATACAAAGAACATTATAAATATTCTTTAGGGAACTATTTGGTATTAATATCAATAGTCAATGTGGTATTGTAGCTAGATCATCAACAAAAGCAGACTTAATAAATGAGTGGCTAAAAAAAGATAAAATTTACCCTCATATCATTTATAATGGAACAAAATCATTTAATGCTGGGGTATTATTGATAAGTTTAAATGAGCTAAGAAAAAATCACTTTACTGATAAAGCTATGGAATTTGTTGAAAAGTGGGGTCTTAATGATCAAATAATTTTAAATTTATATTGTAATGGAGAATATGATGAACTACCAATGCAATATAATTTTTGGGCAGGACGTGATGACTATAGAAATACTTCTGCTCATGGAATTGTTCACTTTGCAGGTCCAAATAAACCTTGGCAACCAAATTATCAACCTTATGAAGAACAGGTGAGTATATCTAATTGAAAAAGAACACATTTACATTTATTTTGTGTTTTTTTTAAATGTATTTGATTATACGAATACAAGTACAATTTATGTAAAAAGTGTAAATTGTCTTAAATATATTTTATTTTTTACATTTAATTAATTCTATACTTTTTTTTCTTTTTTTTTTTTAGCTTCTTTGGTATAAGTATTCATTGAAATATCCAACAGGAAAAAAAGTACCTCCACCTGACCTCCAATCTATTTAACAATATTATCTACAGCTATAGAAAATCTGAAATTTTCTGAATTAAAGAATTTAACCTGTCGTTGCATGATAACAGTCGTTTCATTAGACAAAAAGAATAATTTAAAAATAAAAAATAAATCAGAGATATCTGATTTATGGATTGACTACAAAATAATTAAAAATAAAGAGATGAATATAGATAAAGAGAACTCTATTAGCTATGGACTGCTAATTATATTGCCAAGCATCTTAAGTCCCTCTATTAAAGGAACTTTTTTCACTTTAGAAACAACTCCTTCAACAGATATTTGTAATTTAAGCAGAAATATCAAATACAATAAAGAATCGTCAGTATGCTCAAGGATTTCGGGTAATATTTTCTATTTAAATTTAGAAAAATTAAGAGATACTCATGATAGTTTATTGCAAGATATAACTAAAATAGAACCCAAAATTTTATTTGGAAATATATGTATATGATAATAAGACTAGTGTGGAGTGAATATAGATGATAGATAATAATTGATAATTTTAATACGTCTTTTTTTCTTATAATTTAATTGTTGGGTTAAAAACAGGGAGCCATCTACGGGGATCGAACCCGTGACCTTTCGCTTACTAAGCGAATGCTCTGCCATCTAAGCTAAGACGGCTCTCGGTAGGGGGGGGTGTCTAGTAAACTATATTAGCAGTAGTAATATTACATTATGAGCGGGAATAGAGCGCTGACAATATTACTACTATTAATATTTTATTAGTGGGAATTTAGCGGGTATATAGTATACTAAAATAAGTGAAGGTTTTCTTATTTGGTATTATTGGCTACATATAATTTTAGAAATATTAAAAGGGGGTAGAGTAGTAAAAACAAAAAGGCATTATTATATCACTTTAAGGCGGCACATATGACTTACTAGGAGTAACTAATAGTGTATTCAATGTTATTAATAAAGCCCCCCATTATTATACTGCTTTGGTAGGTAGCAGGAATTGGGATACATATGTCTAGATATATAACAAAGTATTTATTAAGTCAATTTTTGATAAAAAGAGCAAATTTTTCAACGATGGTATTTGAGTTACCACCACTACCTTACCCTAAGACAGCTTTATTACCAGTAATATCTTTAGAAACACTTGATTATCACTATGGCAAACATCATGCAGGGTATATTAATAAATTAAATATGCTGATTAAAGGTACAGAGTTTGAAAATAGTAAAGATTTAATTGACATTATTATGAAATCTACAGGTGTGATATATAATAATGCAGCTCAAGCTTGGAATCATACTTTCTATTGGAAATGTTTAAGATCTCCAAGTAAAGAAAATAAACCAATAAATTGCACCCTAATAAATAAGATTCAGGAAGCATTTGGTTCTTTCATGAAATTTAGGGAGGTATTTAGTGCTGCAGCTACGAGTCATTTTGGTTCTGGCTGGGTGTGGTTGGTTTTACAATCAAATAGTGAATTGGCTGTTGTACAAACCCATGATGGTGATAACCCTTATAGATTGAACTTAGGAGAACCAATATTAGTATGTGATGTTTGGGAACATGCATATTATATTGACTACAGAAATAATCGTAATGATTATGTTGAAAACTTTTTCGAACTTGTTAATTGGGACTTTGTTGCAGATAGATTGAAGGAAAGTCTAAATTAGGAAATGAATTTTGGGAAAGTGAGTCTTTGTTATGTTCAGGAGTGATATAAATTATTAAATTATTTCTTTTTGAGTGTTTTAATTTGTATTTTATCTGCTAAACATAATATTTACTATATATCTTTTTGTGTTTCTTATTTAAAAATAATTCATATTACCTAAAATATCTTAGATATAATTATTTAACACTATTACAAAATTCCCTTTTATTATTTCAATATCAACTGAGACAAATCAATTGCTTTTTTTTTTTTTTTTTTAATTTACTGACATTAATTCCAAAGATTATATTAGATTCGAAGGAAAAGTCTTTATTAGAGGTATTACGATATAAAATTGTCTTATATTTAGGGAATTTCATTCTATGTTAAATGGATTGTTTAAATTAACTAAAGGAGTATATATTCAGTATAATTAATTATATAATATTATAGAACGAAGTGATTAATTTACTCAAATGTTTATATCTAAATTATTCGAAAAATACAACACAATTATATATTGAGAATATTGTAATTAAATGAAAGCTATAGCAATAGTAAACTCAATTTTCCTTGTTAATTGAAATATCTTATAATCCATAAATATTAAAAAAACAAAAATACTTGGATCAATTAATGAACAATATATATTTCTTAACAGATTACAAACAATTTCCAGAATGTACATACTTATTTTAGTTAGCTACATATTAGATTTCGTGTATATGTAAAGTAAATTTGCACTAGACTAAATAAGAAGTGATTAGTTAATAAAGTAGCTAAATAAATTCCAGATAGTTTAAATATTAAGTTCTTAAATATCCTATTAAATTTTATAATATATTACATGAGAATTTAACACAATATTATCCCATGCTAATAACTACTGAATTATATTTGTAAATTACATTCAACCCATAGTCAAGAAATTTTAAGGGTACTCTAGTAATTCCTTATTACTATAATACTTAATTTTACTTTTGGTAGGATTTTATTTAAAAGTATTTAGAGCCAAAAGAAAAAAAAACCACACAGCTAATAATACATAATACTTCACAATATAATCCTCATTAGTTTATAACTTTTGGAAAAAAAGAAATCTACAATATTGTTCTTACTAAGTTCACTAGTCATTAATCTAAAAAATATCTTAAATTTTTTTAATCATGTATATAAAACTTATCAAAAGCCAACATAATCATGTCTATCATATTGTGGCTTCATATAGTTTTCATATTTCCAAGTAGTCTCAACTGGATATGCTGGATATATTGTAGTACCCTTTAATGTTATAGTAACAAATTGTAACATACGTGATCCTGTACATTCCAAATAAAAGATATTTCTCATACATTCTTCTAGTAAAGACTTTGCTTGATCTTTGCTTATCCCCGGTACATATTTCTGTCTAATCAATGAAACACCATAATATCCAGATGAACCACTTCCTACATAATCATCAAAAAATAAAGTCCCAAACTGATCAACAATACTTAAATAAGATTCAAATTCACTAGAAATATTCTTCTGTAAACCAGCAATAACTATTTGATTATATAATGGCTTCATCTTATTTCTCTTTTCATAATGTAAATTGCTAATAAAATTTGAATATTCCTTCGGACCTTTTAATGTATTATTATAAAAATCATTCAAAGACTTTTCTTCAACTTGTTCAATCAGATATTGGAAATCACTATATTCACCAGTGGAAGAAATAACAGTATAAGCATTTGGATAAAATTCCACTTTGTCATTTAAATCTACACTTGAAATTTTCTCTATTAATGCAATATCATCATTACTTATCATATTTGCATCTATTCCATTCTTGTTATCACTGGACTTTGCACCAATTACGTGAAAACGAGATATACCTCCGAACATTTTAGATGATCCATAACAAGCTAATGTGCTTGCTACTAACATTACTCCCTCATTATATTTAATTCCAATAACTGGTCCAGAGCCTACAATTACGTTTCTATGCATTGTTATTGGTTCAATCTCGGTACTAGTTTCTAAAGTCGACTTATATCCAATTAATTATAATATTTATCAAATACTTAGTCTTCAGCTTGCTCACTTTCTGTCTCTTGTTTATGTCAGTATTAGGAAAGGTATTATCTAAATTTAATAATTATTCTATACAAAATCCCACAGTTGGCCTAGATTTATCTCCTTCGTAGATATACACACAAATCTATATATATCAATTAATATTTTCGAGTTATAAATACTCTACTTTCTTTCTGTAAAATACCTCTTACTTTGTCTACTTTCCTCTATGTTTTCTCCTCTTTTTTTCTTTTTCTATTTAACGACAAAAAAAGAAGTTATAACGGAAGTTTCAGCCATACCCACAATAGTAGATTTTCAGTAGGGGGGAGGGGGGTAAGCGGGTTTTTTTGCGCCATATTTATATTTTGAGGATTAAATCTGGTAATATACACTTTATTTTTATATTCGAGTGGTAATTTTTTCCTATTAATATATTTCCATCTAATTAAACTAACATATTTATTCATTTTTCTTCCATGCAATTACCTTCTTTTACTATTAACTCTTGCCTTGTCATCTGTGTAATATACTTAGACCTTTTCTGAATTAAATCCTTTAATAACTCATGTATTGAGGTATAATTTGGTTGTAATGTTCTGTTCATCTCATTATTAATTAGTGCAATTTGCTGAGTTTCTAAATTATATTCCAAATTTCTGAGGATTTGCTCTGGAACTATAATTAAAATGATTTTATCTCGGTTTGTTAATTCTATAATAGGAATATTCAATTTGTCTATTTCTGCCTGGATAATTTCTTGAAATTGTTCATATTCTTTAATATTCTGTATATATTTTCTACTAGCATACAATAAATTAGATTCTGGTAGTCTTTTTGCAGCTTGATTTATATTCCATCCTCTTATATTAACTTGGTTAATAAATTCTAAATAATCTGGAGATTTATTTGATATATATTTAAGAAACTTGCTTGGAAGTTTTTTATATATTTTAACAATGTTTGTTGCTACAATAATATTTTTAATTAAATATTTAATATCATTTAAAGTTTGTTGTTGTTCAGTATATAATCTAATAGATTGATTTCTATATAATTCAATTTTTTTAAATAACTGGGTATATTGAATTGAGATATCTTCCAATGATTTTAATAATTGTAAAATATGACGTGGTGATTTAATATATTCAATTTCTGTAGATCTATATATAATATCATATAATTTTGTAAATATAGAACTTACTGTATTGTTTACATGATTACTATCAATAGTTAAAATATTTTTAGTAGAATCTGGATGATTTAATAAAAGTTGAGAATCATTACACAGAAGATCATTTATAATTTGTTGTACTTTTTTATTCATAATATCTAACTGTTCTTCATTATAATTAATATATTTTACTTTCCTATTTCTTTCATCTAATATAAGTTCTGATAATCTTTTCATTTTTTTATAATATCTTTTTGCTTTTATATACTTTTCAAATTTAAAAACTCTCTTTATAAGTTTTTTAAATGAATGAGATTTATTAAGCTGATTTTCAACTTTGAATTGTTTAACTTGTTGAGTATATTTTGATATAACATTATCTAAAATAAATACAATATTTTTTAGTATTTCATTATCTGATATATACTGCCTTGTTTGAAGATTAATAAGAGATGTTAATATTTTTGTAGATAATTTTCTATATTTTTGTATTTTAAGTTTCATATCTTGTGGTATATCTTCAAATTTACTATTTTCATCAATAATCTTTTCAATTGACTTAATATTATTAACAAGAGAACCTTCAAATAGTTGGAGTTCAGTATACATTTTTTTTCCAAGCTGATATTTACTTATCATAATTCCTATATTTTTAAGAATATCTTTATATTTTGCTCTTAGTAACTGAATATCTAATTTATTATACTGGAATTCATTGTTGGAATTAATAGACTGAACTTCACTGTTTTTTGAATTAAGATTTTGATGACCTAATTCTAAATTTTGACAATTATTTGAGTATATGTCAGTTTGAGCAAGTATAATTTGAAGTGGATAGGTACTTTGATCATATAACAATGATGAAACATTTGAACAAAGCAGTTGGAACTCAAGTTCACTATTTTTCAAATTTGTAAAATTAGTTTTAAGATCCTGAACCAAACTGATCAAATTAATCCTGCTTGTACGATCCTCTATTATATTTATTCTTGTGATAATATCATCTATCTGATATTGTAACTTTTCTAATATAGGGACATATGAAAATGGAATCGGCATATTTTGGTTATTTATTTCCATTTCATTTAGTAAAATAATAATATCCTTATAAGTATCATTAAATGCATTACTTATATGATCATATGTTTCAGTTATCTTAACTATATATTCATTAATGATAGATTCAACTTGATTTGCATATTCTTCGACTTTCTTGAATGATAACTGAACATTTTTCTCTAAATAATATCTTACATCACGTAAATTCTGATCAAATAATTCCCTAGATATATCAAAATTATTTGAAATATCCATTAGATATTTTCTTCTTTTTAACTGCCTTTGTTTGAAATTTTCATCCAATTCTACTTCAGTTATCTCTCTTTGTAGCTCTTCTAATAGTAAAATTATTGGTGAAATCTGTTCTTTCATATTATCTTCATTATTAAAAGATTTTAATGAACTTGGGTGTAAAAATGATATCAATTTTTCTAATTCATATTGTCTGGTAGAGACTGGATCATTATCATGATTACTTTTTGGTAAATATTTTGTAAATAAATCAATACATTGATTATTATTTATATGGGTATCAAATTTCAATGGATAATTTGTTCCGTAATCATCATATATTTTCTTTAAACAAACCATAGTTTGAATTGATAAATTAATGTTAAAACCATTATCATCTTCTTTAAAATTATCTATATGTTTATCTAAATTTTGATCTATATAAGTCATATTTACAATAATATCTTTTATTGTTGCACTTATACTATCATATAAAGTATCATAGTCTTCGTTAATATTAATTACTTTCAAATCACTAATTTTATTAGTACTTGTTATATATTTTAAGATTGACCAATTTTCAACAATCCTATTTGAAGTTTCATTTAATATTTTATTATATGATTCTATTGTAGTCTTCAAACTTAATGCTTCTTTTATTGGATCACTTTTATCAATTGTTACTATTGTTTCAAATTCCTCTAAATATTTTGGAAAGGACGTAGTCATTATTCTATTTATAGAAGGTAAAAATTCTGTTTTCCATAATATTTCATATTCCTTAATACAAAGTGAATCTAAATCTATTTTTTCAAATGATAATACTTTAATCAATATACCTTTACCATCCTCATAAATATCAATTAAACTCTTTTTTATTTTTTTATTTAAATTTATAATCTCACTTTGCATATCATAACTAGATGTTGGACAACGGCGATTTCGTTCTGATTTATCCTTATTAATTTGACAATTATATTTTTCATCATCTAATATTGGATTAAAGTGATTTTGAATTAATAGGTCAATTTCACTAATTATCATATCCCAAACAGACACCAATACATTTAAATTAGTTATATTCTCATCTATTTCTGATAAAATATCACTAATTACATTCGATCTTTCTCTATAAGCAGCTAGTAATCTATATCCCTTTGCAATTTTTGTAGGAATGTAACTAGTAGTTCCCAAATCCAGAATTAAATCATTAATGGGTGTTTGTAATATTTCAACTATACTTTTGTTACTATTAGCATCATTTATGAATGAGTTTTCAATTTCAGAATTTAGTAATGAACAAGCATAATTTAATAAATATCTTGTTTTATTTAATTCCATTAAACCTGGTCCTAAAATACTTTGAATTTCTGGTTGTAAATATAAATTCCTAAAATTTGATAATTTGTTCTTCAATTTTTCATTTAAGTCATATATATTTTTATTTTCTTCCTGATACTTACTTAATCTAGCCTCTAGAGTCATAATCAGAATATCAAATTCATCTCCTTTCACTTTTGTAATATGATGCAACTCCTCACTAGACCTACTTTTCTGTTCAATTGATAAATGTCTCCAATTTATTTCTGGAAGGCTACAAGTTTTCCATCTATGTGCATTTAAAGGAGTATATATATCATTAAACAATGTGGAATTATAAGAATCTGCTATAGATATGTCCAAAATTACAAATAATATAAATATCCAAGTATATCTTCGTATTGAAAATTCATAATAATACCTCATTTGCTTATTTTTAACATAAATAAAAGAATAATCACAATATTCTCTTATTTAGAAATGTATTTCTGGATCCAAGACAGACATGATTAATACCGCGGAAATTTTAAAAAATTGAGTATATAATCCGCAAAAAGGTTAATAAATAAATGCATGCATTTACCTATATACTTACAAAAATTAAAAGATTCCTTTTCCCTTTAAAGAATAAAAGTTAAAACAAATTATATTATCAATTACTAAAAGAATAAAGAAAAGGAAAAAACCAAAATACCTTTCTAGAAATAATTATTCTCAAATCTTCTTAGATATTTCTTGAAGCTAATTTAGAATTAACCTCATCATAAAGTTCATCTATTACTTTCTCATAATATTTTATGGCTTTATGTCTAATGATTTTAAATGTTGGTGTCATCATATTATTTTCAACTGTAAATTGCTCAGTAATACATCTAAATGCTTTAACTCTCTCATAACCATATAATTCATTAATATCTTCAACTCTCTTTAATTCATCGGCAATCTTTTTAAGTAATTTCTGATGTTGGACAGCTTCTTTAAAAGTCAAATTAGTACCTAAATTATTAGTTCTCACATAATTCATGGTAAACTCTTCATCTAAAACAAATATAGCTACAATTGAAGACTCTGTAGATCTCCCTACTACAAGAACTTGAGAAACTAATTCACAAGTTAAATATATATTTTCGAGTTTCTCTGGAGCAATATATTCACCTTGGGCAAGTTTAAATATACTTTTCCTACGATCTATTACTCTAATAGACCCATTACTTAATAATTCACAAATATCTCCAGTTTTAACCCAACCATCAGAAGATATAATATTTTTAGTTCCTTCTTTATCTAGAAAATATCCTATAAATGATGCAGGACCACGAATATATAATTCGCCACTTGGCGGATTATTCTTAATATTATATCCCATATCACTTACTGATACAAGTTTAAATTCATAACATGGGGCTGGTCCACCAATAGTACCAAGGGAATAATCATCTATTTCAGGTAAAAATGCAGCTAATATTTCACTCATACCATATCCTTCAAAGCATGGTACACAAACAAAACTACGGATTCTTGATTGAATTATTTTATCTAATGGAGCAGAACCGCTTAAAATCACTCTAATATTACCTCCAAGTATATCTTTAATTTTCCTGAAAACAATATTATCCCATAATATATGGTAAGGAGAATTCCTTCTCTCCTTCTGTTCTAATGCCAAATTAAATAAAAATCGTAATATAGGTTGCTTTTCTTCTAAATCAGTCATTATTTTGTCATAAAGTCTATTTAATAATCTAGGAACAGTTACAAAAAATGTAGGTTTTAAAGCTTGGATATCTTCAACAATATTTTGTATACTTCCACTACAAAATCCTATCTTACCTCCACTATAACCTAAAACCATATGTACAATACGTTCAAAAATATGGGCAAGTGGTAAATAACTAATGTGAATATCTAAATGAGTTACACCATTATCTCTATGACCTAATTGAGATCTAAGAAATGCTGATGTACAAGCTATCCAATTACCATTAGTTAAAATTGCACCTTTTGGAGATCCTGTAGTTCCAGATGTATAATGAATACTATTAATTGAATCTAAATTACCTGGAGTAGGTTTCTTCATATTCTTTCTGCCAATATCTCTTAATTCACTAAATGTCATAACTGTCACTCTACTACTTATATCTGATGGAATAGAACAATTTGGTTTAATATTATCCAATATAATTAAAAATTTTACAGATTCGATTAAATTTAGAATTGAAATTAAACGTTTAGCACATAAACTACTACAGAATACAGTTAAAGGCTTTGTACTATTTAAAATATGTAAAATTCCATCACTTCTCGTGACATCATACAAAGGAATAGCTGTTAAGTTATATGCATGACAAGCTTGTTCAGTTATAGACCAATTCATACAATTCTTCCCAAATATAGCAATACATCTTAATTTTAATTCAAAATCGTCATAAGAAGTATCTTCAAATCCCTTTATATGTATTAAACCACTTCCAACTTCTTTAGCCATTGCAATAATTTCAGAATACTTCTTAAATTGATATTCACCAAATGTCCCATCCTCATTAACAATTCTCTCACCCAAATAATCCGAATCATTACTTACTTTAAGACCATGTAGAATTAATTCCCAACAACTATTTAAGGGAGTTTCAAAATTTGATATAAGTTCTGTCCCAACAGTTAGAGTATTTCTCCTTATAGGCGTTGAATTAGGTGTTTCAGTACCTTGAATAGGTACAGAATAAATATAACTAGTTTGTTTCTTTGATAAAACACTTCCCATTTGAGTATTCTGGCTTTGGTCCTTTGGTTCTGGTTTAATTTGTTCTTCCCTCACTATAAACTTTAATTTGAGACAACCGCACTTTTTTTAATCATAAAAATGATGCTGGCCTATTTTATAACAGGCGGTGAATATGCTTAGTATATCATAAAATAAAAATATTTCTATTAAAGAGGTAGAAAGTCATCATATCTTCTCTAGAGGAATAATAAAATAGATTGAATTCTTTTGTTTATATTACCAAATCTTCGGATATATCTACATTTTCTTAAACTTCAGGAATAAACTAAATTAATACCTAGGAATTTATAAATATATATCATTTACTTATTTATTTTCTAAAATATTAATTATTTAGATTACAAAGGAGATATTCCAAAATATTTATGGGGTTAAATATTCTACTAATTTTGTTTGGATTGAAAAATTGATCCCTGAAGAAAAAAAAGTCTTTGTAATAGCTAAAGGTAAACCTCCAAATATTGATCTAGTCTAAAAATTAAGAAAATAATGAATCTTTATTTTTTCTTTAAGTAATTATATTTAATTCTCTTACCTTATATAAATTAAAAAGTTTTGGGATACTTTTAATCCTATCTTGTAATATTGGATCCTTAAATAATAACATATTTGAGATATTGAAACAATAATAATATAAACTATAATAGAAAATTGTAATTTCCTACCTCTGAATTTAAAATAGATTCAACTTGTTTTAATTTTCTTAATGTATCAATTGGGTAAGTAATACTTAATGCTATTACTCCGGCAACTCCACCGGATAACCAAAGTCTCAAGCTATCAAGTTCTGAATATTTTTGCCAATATGATTTTAAAGAATGAAATACTAAAAATGAAATTCCACCATATGGTATAGATCCTATTATAAAATATAATATATATATATAATATAATATAATAAATAAGAATATATACTCTAATAAAAATAAATTGACTATATATTTGTTTCTTACCAAATAGAGTCCAAATAAATCCTGAAGATAAATTTTTCAAAGCTGGTTTGTGAGTTAAAGGAACTCCACATATACCAAGTATAGCTCTTCTAGTATTAAGGACATCTAATGGATATGTAGTAAGTAAAATAGATAATCCAGATATACTTCCAGCAATAAATTTTTTAATACTATTTTGATTATTTGATATAAATTGTACACTTTGTAATTTATCATCCATTAATTTAAATGTATAAAATCCAATTCCTGAGCTTATAAATGCTCTAAAAATAAAAAATAAATAATTTCTAGATTAGATAATATAAAGTGACAATAAAAATACAAACCTAGCAAGACTAAAAGAGCCTCCCTTCCATAATCCAGATACTCCCTCTGATTGAAAAACTATTCTAAATATATCCCAACTTTTTCTATTTTTATTTGTTTCTAGAGGATATTTTATTATTTGCTTCAATATTTTAACTCTATCTAATGGGTATATAATAAATTTAGTAGTAATTCCTGAAAATCCCCCAGCAAACCCTTCAATATATTCTCTAGATATATTATTTTCATTATAAAGATCTTTGAATGTCTCCTGTATTTTATATAAATTATTTTGAATATTAAGATGCATTAAATTATAATGGGTTCACTTAATATTACATGACATTCAATTCTTTAAGCCGCTCCTGATAAGATTTATTGCAAAACAAGCGAAAATTACTTAGCGGCTTTATGAAGCAATATAAAGTTGCATAATCTTATGGGAACAACTGAAAGCTATTGTAAGAAACCTGAAGAATCGGTTATAAGTAAAAATACTCATAATAAATCTCCTAATGGTTCAAATAAAGATGTATTATTTTTTTCAAATGGTGATGTTTATGTTGGAATTTCTAATTATAAGAATTTACCTCACACTGAAGGATCAATTGCAATTTATTTTAGTAATAAAGATTATAGTCGATATATTGGACCATTTGAACATGGCAAAAGGAGTGGCCAAGGTTCATTAATTTTAGCAAGTGGAGATATATATCATGTAGTTTATAGATATGGAACTCTTTCAAAAAAAACTTTAATTGGGGCATTTAGATTACCTCGAGTTGTTGAAGATTCATTATTAAATTCTGAAAACCATGATAAATTGAGTAGATGTGATACTAGAATATCACCTGGATTAATACCTCAAGTTATAGAATCTTGGAATTCTAGAATGCATACAATGGATCTACATAATTCCGATATTAATTGTTATATAAATAATCAAACTCAACCAAATAGTATAAATACAATAAATTCTGAAAAATCAAATAAATTAAGAAAATTATCTCAATCTGAACCCCTATTAATTGAGTTACTTGAAGCCACTGGACTTAGCCAGTATATATCAATTTTAGAAAATGAAGATATAACCTTAGCATATTTATTAATGTCACCAACACTTGTTAATCCAAGATTAATTCGTGATACATTAGGTATAATACCATTAGGTCATAGACTTAAATTTATGAATTGTATTAAAGCTTTCAGAATGTGCCATAGTCAAACAGTTCTACCAAATCCACTATTTACTAAACAAGGAGACAGTATAAAAGATTGTATGCATACAAATCATGAAAATGAGCTAATAGGAGATAGAATAAATCATATAAACAAGAGACAGACACATTTAATACCAGAACCTTTAGTTAGAATTCCAAACTTTTCTACATATCCTGGTTTAATTATACCATTTGAACAGTTGAGATTTGTTAGGAGACTTAGGAGAACGGATACTCCTTGTTATTGCAGCCAAAATAGGACAAATTATTTTAAGGATGAAGTGATATTACCAAGAAATAAAAAAATTTGCATTGATTCTGATCTTAAATTTTCCAAGGATATGCATAATATGGAGAATTCAATAACGCATTTATCATATGATTCATCTTGCTTTTACCTTGGAAGATGGCTTGGTAAAGATGTTGCTATTAAAGTTTTTCGTGGAAAATTACATCAACCATATTTATGGGAAAGTACTTGTCGTTTACTTTGGTCTTTAAGACATCCAAGTTTGGTTTTAATTCTTGGGTTCAGTTATAGTCAACCTGATATTCATTGTGTAGTAACTGAATATATACCTAATGGATCACTTCATAGACTCCTTTATAAGGAATTCTGTTTATGTTTATCAAATTGTAGATGGGATAAAAATATTTCAAATCAATGTAAACCTCGACTTGAAAGACCTCCATTTTTCTATTTAAAAAGAGATTTTAATGCTAATCAGGATATTAATATTAATAATAATATTAATATTTCAAGAAATTATAATAATTCCAATTTTAATACACCAAAATATGATGATGATCATATTTCAAATATATCACATACCATTGTGGATATCCCATTAGGTCTACCAATGCCAACTTGTTTACTTATTGCTAGAGGTATAGCAACTGGTTGTCTGTATTTAAAGCAGAGAGGGTTATATCATTTAAATCTTAAACCTTCAAATGTATTATTAGATGAAAATTTAACTGTTAAATTAGCTGATGTTGGCCATGTTCTTTTAGAAGCTTCATTTGCACTACCCGAAGGGGTTAGAACTAGTGAAAAATTATCAAGAAATGAGTTGGATATAATATTTTCAGAAAGCGATTTTGCAAACGATTCTGACTCTGAAAATCAATTTTTAGGACTTCCAAGAAACTTACCAAGATTTTCAGCAAGTGTAATATTAAACTATCTATCTCCTGAATTGTTACGTGCTCCATTTCCAACTTTAGAAGCTGCAAGGTTATTTCTTCAAGGAGCTGATGAGTGTCAATATTTAGATTCATATGCATTAGGACTACTCTTATGGGAAATGTTAAATGGTCAACCTCCTTTTGCTGGCCTTACTAACCTTCAAATACAAGCTTGTGTTGGATATTCAGGAGCTACTCTAGATATGTTTCCCTTATCTAAAATAGCAGATTATTCATTAATCGTCCAATTAATAAATAAATGTTGTAGTTTCCAAAGTCTTGATAATCATATACAGGGTAGTCAACAGACAAATAAAAGGCTAACAATGAATCAAATACTTGGAAAACTCATTTTACTCCAGCAAACTGTAAGTTCAATTCCTAATAATAATACCTCGAATAATTTATACTTTATTTCTTACCATGCATGCAGACTATATCCTCTGCGGAAGATGTATTGACTGGGTTTATGACAGGTTACTAAACTAGTGAAAATCACTTGATGTATATTAAATAATAAAAGTAGATATAATACGAGTATTAAATATAGATATCTTACAACCTAGTAGTAATATAAATGTGGCGTCTAGTGACGCCTGTATTTCTGGTTTATCGAACTTACACACCTGAAGACTACCACATAAAAGAAGGTAATGTCCTCAGCAGTAATATCTAAATAGCTCAAGGATGAGTCCAACTCAAATCGGCAATAAGAGTAAAGGTCCTGCTATTAGTGGCAAATTACATCGAATCACTTCTGTCCACCTGTAAACTTAGTAACAGCCTTAGTACCCTCAGAAACTGCATGTTTAGCAAGCTCCCCTGGCAATACAAGACGAACAGCTGTTTGAATCTCTCTAGATGCTATAGTATCCTTCTTAGTTGTTTGACATAACTGAGCAGCTTGTTGGGCAATCTTCTCAAATGTATCTTGGATATAGCTATTCATTATCATCATAGATTTCTTGCTAATACCAGTCTCTGGATGTACCTGCTTCAATACTTTGTAAATATAAGTGGAATAACTTTCCTTTTTCTTCCTATGAGATCTCTTTTGGTTTGATCCCTTTGAATGCTTCGATGCTAACTTTGGGGCCATTTTTACTCTTTATTTTTTAAGATAATAAATATATACAGAACCGCGGACTATGAAGAAGGTTTTTGTTAATCGTGAGGCTATTTTATGAGTAATCCACTTTGTAATCCACACTACCGGTAAGTATATATGTACAACTATTTATTGGAATACAATATTTCGATTAAAGACCTGTACGGGATGTCCTACATAATGTACCCCACTAAATTTGAAATTATAAATAAAGACTATAGCGCTTTTTAAGTTTAATATTTATTAATATTTTTATTAATATATCTTATTTAATTTCTAGGATCTATATTATTTTGCCTCTATCAAGTTTTAATGATAAATATGCGCCAAAATTATAAAACCCTTGTCAGAGTTTAATTTTTCATTATTGGCGATATATACCGCAAAATATATTGATCTAACATATAATGCATGTAATACATGTATGCATGTAATACATGAAGGTATCGAATTTACTTTTAAAATATTATTTCTGAATTTCTAAGTTTATATATATATAAATATCTTTTTTAGACTTTATTATTATCACTATAGTAAGATCATAAAGTTATTATTAAAATTTACATAAAATTATCTTATAAACTTGATTAATCAAAAATATAAATTTGTTTAAAATTGAATAATAAAGTATTTTCCTGTTATAAAAAATATCTTATCTATTGTTTTAACTATAATAGGTTATTATTGATTTTTATTCCTTATATTCTAATTCGAGTCTCCTTTTAACCGGTTACTTTGCAATACCAGAGTTAGCGCAGGCAACACAAGACATGTACGTTATACGGCGACATGTACTTGTATTGTGTATATTATATTATTGTGTACATATATTAAACAAAACAGAGTATAATTAATCTATTACTGATAGACATATAACGTGCATTAGTATCCTAATGAAATATTGCGTACATCATTACACTATTACTTGAGTAGCAACCTTTATTGTATTTGTATTAGATTTTGTTTTAGCAAGGATTATTCATACAGAGTTATTATAGTAAAGATTGTGATCACAGTATAAATAGAAATGAGTGAAGAAGAGACTCTGGCTTTAGTTGTTGACAATGGTTCAGGTATGGTCAAGGCAGGATTTGCTGGTGATGATGCTCCTCGCTGTGTTTTCCCATCAATTGTAGGGAGACCAAGGATGCCAGGTGTTATGGTAGGTATGGATCAGAAAAATTGTTATGTTGGTGATGAAGCACAATCCAAGAGAGGTATTTTAACTTTAAAATATCCAATTGAACATGGTATTGTTACAAATTGGGAAGATATGGAAAAAATATGGCACCATACATTTTACAATGAATTACGTGTAGCCCCTGAAGAACATCCAGTTTTATTAACAGAAGCTCCAATGAATCCAAAAGCAAATCGTGAGAGAATGACTCAAATTATGTTTGAAACTTTCAATGTACCCGCAATGTATGTAAATATACAAGCTGTTCTGTCCTTGTATGCATCTGGACGTACTACTGGAATTGTACTTGATAGTGGTGATGGTGTATCACATACAGTTCCTATTTATGAGGGTTATGCCCTTCCTCATGCTATCATGAGATTAGATCTAGCTGGTCGTGATTTAACTGATTATCTAATGAAGATTCTACATGATCGTGGTTATAGCTTTACTACAACTGCTGAAAGAGAAATTGTTAGAGATATTAAGGAAAAGTTATGTTACATTGCTTTAGATTATGAAGATGAATTAAAAAAGGCTCAGGAATCTTCTGAAATTGAGAAAACATATGAATTGCCAGATGGTAATGTTATTACTGTGGGTAGCGAGAGATTTAGATGTCCAGAAGCACTTTTCCAACCAAATCTATTAGGTAAGGAGGCTTCTGGTGTTGGTGAAACTACTTTCCAATCTATTATGAAGTGTGATCTTGATATCCGTAAGGATTTGTATGCAAATGTTGTCCTTTCTGGTGGTACTACAATGTATCCTGGACTTGGTGAGAGAATGACTAAAGAACTTACTTGCTTAGCTCCTTCTACTATGAAGATTAAAGTTGTTGCCCCTCCTGAGAGAAAGTATTCAGTATGGATTGGAGGATCCATATTGTCATCTTTATCTACATTCCAACAGATGTGGATCACAAAGGAGGAATATGATGAATCAGGTCCATCAATTGTACATAGAAAGTGTTTCTAAATAGAGAAATAGGTTACACTATGTCGATTTACTTTCAATAGATAAATATTGTGTAATTCATTTTTCTTTCTTAATTCTATTGATTTTCTGTGTAATCCTAGTTTAATTGCAATTATTGTTTGTATTGTAACTTCCAATTTTTAACTAGCAATGCTTATTAGTAAGGCGAGGTGATAGTTGTGCATCATAAATTTTGAATGTAAAGAAAAAACTCCAGGTCCGGGAATTGAACCCGGGTCATCCGCGTGACAGGCGGATATACTAGCCACTATACTAACCCGGAAGTGATGGTAGGACTTCTTTTGTAATATAGTTAAGGAGCATAATTAAAAATGACATTTCCTTCTCTGACACTCCATTGATTAATTATACACCTAAATTATTAAAAACTAATATCTATTTCAAATATAACATTAAGTATTTTAACCTTTTATATTCTTTTAGTCATACAATATAAAATTTATTTATTATAAATGCAATATTTTACTTGTTTTTCCTTTTTTATTATTTTTCTCTAATTGTCATTTTACTGCATTAGTACACACTTTTGGCGGCAAATAAATAGAAACTAATCATGCATTGGTAATTTTGTTATCTTTAGTAAAAACTTTCTATTTTATTTTCCTTAATATAAAACAAGTTGCAAATAACTACTTTAATTTGATTATTATATTTAATTAATTAAGTAATGTTTAATTTTTTTTATTTTTATATTAACTCAGTTTGGTATTATTAGAGAAATTATTTAAGATTACACGGTTTTAATATATATTAAATTTGTTAAAAATTTTTTTAATTTTATTTTGAAGTATTATTTCCTATTTAGCCATATCTATAGTCTTATATTTGAATATTTTTAGCAGTATCCCCATAGATCTATTCTTATAATAGAAAAAAAATTAGCTTTTAGTAAATTCGAGCGAGGGTAATTATTAATGACTATAAATACGCCTTATAGAAATTATCCAGTTACATATTATATAACAATCTATTACAGATAATTGTGTCTATTAGTTTATTATATATTTTCATCTTATACCTCGAAGTATATTGAAGTATTCCCAAAGTATCATCAAAATAGGTGCACACTTATATATCCTTGGTAATTATTTCCCCAGTGTGTCATCGACATACCATCCAGTATACATATTCCATTAGAATAAAAAAGTGAATTACTAAGTAATTAAACCCTAGGAATAAAAATAGGGGGATATTACTTAGAGATCTCCGTATATTTGTATTGTATATTTTTCATTGAAAAATTCTATTAAGCAATTCTTGGCTAATTTCGACTATTATTATATCAACAAAGAAATTTTCAAGACCCTATCCCCTAATAATTTAATAGGGGAAAAATCTACGATTTGTAATTTGGTTAGATATATTACAAGGAAATATCTGATTTATTCATATTTGGATTTAGGTTTTCTTTATTTCCAGTCTTTGTACTTGTTCGGAAACGAGACATACCATACTATATGTTTTATCGAGGCCTTAAGCAAGTTATTTTTTATCTATTTGGGCTCAGATAATTATAAATTAGCAAGATTGACAAATATTTGACTTTATTTGGAATGTATATTTAATACATCCAAATTCAATTAGGAGTTAAAATCTTTAATTATCAAGAATTGTCAAGTGGATCTTTAACATTACAAGAGGGAATCACAAGACTAGAAGAATTTTAATAGTTTACAATTTTTACCTAAATTGAAGCCTAGAATATCTAGTAAATTGGTTAATTGTCATTTTTAACAACATTTTTACGACTTTTTTACAAATATAAAAGTTTAATTTTTTCGCATTTTCTATTTTAAGATCCATTATTTTTGTATTTAAATTTGAAAATCTAAATTCTATAAATTATAATAAAAATAAAGATAGTGAAGAGTATATAAATATGATGGACAATAATGAAATATTTAATAATCAAGAATATAGAGGATCAGTAGAAGATATAAAAACTCATAAGACTGAAATTGATACAAAGTTAGATATATTTTCCAGTGATATACCTTGCTTAGACTGGTTAGATTGCAATCATAATTGTAATAAGTCAAATTGTCTAATAGATTCATCATATCCTATAATATTTACTAGGATAATTTGTAGAAATTCTAAACAAAAAAGGGAAATTTTGGGGCATATCTCAGATTTTTCTCAATTGGTAGTTGGTACAAGTTGGTTTGTACTAGAAGATTTTAGTGACTACAATAAGATAACAGTAATTGAATTCTTTGGATATTGTAATGGTTCATTTGTAAAAACTATATATAATAACAAAGATATGAAGTCTATAATATCAAATAAACTAGATATTTCAAAATGTGGAGATTTTGATATATTAAATATAAAAAGGATGGAAGGAAAATTTACTTCTCATTTAGATGTGATAATAAAGTCTCTTTTAGAAGATGAGCAATCATATAATTATAGTAATAATAATGGTATAATTCTGAATGGACATATAAAATCTCAAGAAAATGAGGTTTTTAACAAATATAAAGATAAGATGGATACATCCTTTGAAAAACTTGATAGTAAGCTATCTTTACAAACTTATAGTCCATCATCAATTGTATTTATAGTAAATATATCCTGTGAAGACATTAGTAAATATATAGAAAGAATTGAGGATGTATTTGTAAAGAGCTGGATAATGAATGAAGATATAAGACAAGAAATAATTGACTGTGATGGTCTTCCATTTTTAGCTATGTTAATTCCTAGATTAGATTTGGTTGATGGAGGAGAAATGTTGAGTAAGAATCAATTAATAATGTTGCATATGTTTACTTCCGTTTCAGAATATGCGTTAGTAACAAGTACAACAATATGGAATGATTACTTGGTCCTTTTATCAAATATTGGTAGTAGTTGTGAATATACAACAAATAAACTCATTTATTCAACTGAAAATTCTATTTTTGATGGAAGTATTCCTTTAATGAGTGATTCAGAAAGTTCTGGAAATGGGGAAATATGCAATAAGAGAAATGAGAGTAGTTCTGAAAATATTATAAATAGGACATCTATGGTTTCTTCGTTAAGTACATCTTCTAAGGGAAATGATAATTCGAACTATTTATCATCTACTGATGCTGAATCATGTTTAACTTCTGCTAATTGTAGTACTGAAGAGATTTTAGATAGAACGACAAGTATAGGATTTGATTCACATTTTATGAATATCAATTTACTGTTAGTAAGGAGACTAAGTGATATTTGTTTTTGGGAAACAGGTCTGATTAATGAAGATGATGTTATTGCTGCATCTAACCTTAGGAAGGGGATATTTATAAATAATAGTATAGATAGAAATATGATAGATAGTATGGAATTAAATATCAAAGATGATCATAATGCAGATATTTATTCAGTACATTTCCCGAAGCACTCACTACTTAATAATGGTATTCCTGTTGTAAAGTGCAAAAAATTTAAGTATTCAATGGATCATTTAAAGAAAATTCTTGCAGAATCAGTTACTGATGATATATATTCTTTTAGTGGAGATTTATCTGGTATAGATAATAGGTCTGATGATTCAGAAAAGAATAATCTGAGTCTTAATTGTAGAATAAATAAAGGCAACCGTTTAAGTAACTTACATATTGCTGCATATAGTCAGTTTTGTCAAATACATAAACTAATGGGTGTTATAAAACTTTTTAAACATAATTCTAATAATCAAGATATTTGGTTATTTAGAGAATTTATTTCTGATTTAATACCCCATGTGTCCTTTGATAATTTATGTAAACAAGGTGAACAACATATACAAGACGATAAATTAGATACACATAGCTTAGAAGAATGTAATTTTCAAAGAAAACAAATTGCTGTTTACTTAGTTGGTGATTTCAATAATTGGAATAAGACTTCACATCCAATGGTATTAGAGACAGAGGATACATACTCACAAAGAAATCAAATATACAGTAATTATCCAGTAATTCCAGACTTTATGAAAGGATATGTATACTCTATAGTGATTAGTTCTGAGGAATTTAGTGAAAATAAAGAAGGTTCATTTAGAATTCGTATAATATTAAAAGATAATTGTACTGGAGAAGAGCTAGAAACATATAGATTATTAAGCTATTCAAAGAGATTATCAAAACATGGTGACCTTATAAATTTTGTAATTCCTAATAATCCATTGGAAATATTATTTAAAAATAGAGATGATAAAGATAAGTCAGATAATTATAGAACTAAAGATATAAATATTAGATGTACAAATATGGAGTCTGAAGATTATATCGAAATGCCAAACCCAATACCAAAGTGCGTACTTAAAAATAATGTAATAGAAAGTCCTTACACTAGCATAGCAATTCTAAATTCATTAATTGAAAATATTAGAAAATCTCCTCTTTTTGTATATGAAGTACATATTGGATTAAGTACAGGTAATAGTAATAATATTGGCTCATATCGTAGCTTTGCTGAAAATATTCTCCCAAGAGTTTCTAGAATTGGATATAATTGTATCTTATTTATCGGTCTACTAGAACACTATCCTTACAATTTAAGAGGCTATTTTAATTATAATTATTTTAGTCCAAGCAACATATATGGTAATTTGCAAGATTTCCTGTATCTTGTAAGCGAATGTCATAGAAGAGGAGTGATTGTTTTGACTGACTTAAATCTTACATATGGTGACATAACAAGTTATAATGCACTTGTGTGCTCTCGAAATGAATCACAAACTCATAATTATGATTTTAAGAAAAATCACTATAAACAAAATAATGAAATGAAGGAGCAACCGCAAAATATACAAAATGAAGATTTAGATTCAAACTATATATCAAAATTATTTTTAAATGAAAGTCAAACAAATATAAGCCCATTTATAGCCACAAATATTGGCACTATTTCTCCATATTACTTACAAAATGATCCAAATATAGTTTCTCCATATAATATATACCATAAACAGGTAGCTCCCTTAAACTTAGGTTATATTCCTATGTTAGCAATTATTTTGTCATCAATACATTATCTCATGACTGAATTACATATAGATGGTTTCAGATTTTATATACTCCCTACTGAAGAAGAAACAGCCGAATATCCTAATGGATCAGTTATAAGATTAGTAAATGACCTTGTTCATTCTATCAAACCTTATGGTATAACTATATCCCATGAAATATCATTACCAAATACAAAACCATCTTTTGAGCTTACAATACCTATTGAGAGTGGTGGATTGGGTTTTGACTATGTATGGGACTCATCTATATCTTGTGCACTAAAACATATTGCACTCATAAATTGGCAAAATCTGAACTTGAAGAGAGATATCTTGAGTATATTTGAGGAAGATACAATAAGAATTGAATTATCTCGTCCTAGAAGAGCTATTTCTACTAGGTTATCTGCAAAGTTATTAAAAGATTCTGATTTATGTAATATAAGACGTATTTATAGTCTAGAATCTTTAGAAACAAATATTGCAAGTCAAAATCCACTACGTATTGCCATGTTTAGTTGGGAAAGTTTGCATACCCATGCAGTTGGTGGTGTAGCTCCACATGTTTCTGAACTTTCTGCTGGTCTAGTTCATTTTGGTCATGAAGTTCACTTATTTACAAGAGCCACAACATCAGTATATGTAGTAAGGATTTGTGATGGAGTTATTTACCATGAATGTCCATTTCAACTTCATTCAGATTTTGTAACTGAGATAACTAATATGTGCAATTCATTTGTATATTATATGCAACTATGGGAATCTGGTCTAACTAATGTTCCTGTAGGTGTACCTAAAAATGGATTTAAATTTAATATATGCCACTGCCATGATTGGTTAGCAGCTCCAGTTTTGACTAGTTTAAGAAGGATAGGGAATAATGGTAGAACTACATTTTTAACAATCCATTCTACAGAATATGGACGTTGTGGTAATCAATCATATGGAGGTCAAAGTCGCTGTATAGCTGATATTGAGCGTGAGGCTTGTCATACTGCAAATCGTTTAATCTGTGTTAGTGGTGTTTTAGCAGATGAAGTTTGTCGATTATATGGAGTTAACAGAAACAAAATCCAAGTGATATATAATGGTATTTTCTGCGAGACATTTGATAGAGTACATGTGAATGATCCAGGTGAAGTTAAAAGAAGATATCACATTGGTCCAATGGATCCTACATTTTTGTGTGTTGCAAGAATGGTTGTTCAGAAAGGTGTAGATCTGTTAATTGAAGCAGTACCTGGTGTACTTAAGTATCGTAGTGATGCAAAATTTATTATAGCGGGGGATGGACATCAAAAAGATGAGATTGAACGTCGTTCACATCAACTAGGTATTCATAACTCTGTAAGATTCGTAGGTAAACAGTGTGGAGATGAGTTGATCCGTTTATACAAGGCCTGTGATGCTATCGTAGTACCTTCACGAAATGAACCATTTGGAATTGTTGTTTTAGAGGGTTGGAGTGCTGGGAAACCTGTAGTAGCTACTACTAGCGGAGGCCCAAGAGATTTCCTCTCTCCAAATGTGGATGGTTATCTTGTAGATCCAAATAAAGATAGTATAGCTTGGGGATGTTGTGAGATTCTCAAGAACTTTGAACATTCACGTTGGATGGGTTCAAGAGGTAGAGTTAAAGCTGCCTTTTCTTTCTCATGGAATACAATTGCTAGACTAACTAGTAATCTATATTTTGAACAGTGCAATATTTTGGATGTATGCCCAAGTCTTAATTTGGATATCAGAGAACCATTCATTCTCCAATGCTTAGGTCAAGATGCCTTGCATCATCATATGACAGTATTTGATAACTTTGAAAAATCTTGTAATGGTCTCAGATCTCTGAAATTATCCAATTTAACAATGATGGCATTTAATAGATTTGGACTTCTTCACTCTATGGGTTCTGAATTTGGAAATCCAGATACATTCGACTTTCCTAGACCTAACAATAACTTTAACCGAAGTCGTTCATTCTGTAATTGGGATTTAGCAGATAATAAGGGCTTAAAGTTTAAACATATAGAATTCTTTAATGCTTCTCTTATACGATTTGAAAAACTTATGAATTGGACTTTTATATCAAAAAGTAGTAATCTTTCAAAATTAAGTCATCAAAGTCTTGCTAATTATAATCTAAGGGAAATAGAAACAAATTCTTGTATTAAACAAGGTTACAATTTAAATACTCCTTATTTATACTCTAATACATCCCAAGCATCATCTAATGGATTACCATCTACAGATTGTGAAACTCTCTCACTTGATGAAATCAAACACTGCGAATTGGATCATATGATGAAAAAAGTCCAACAAGAAATTAATAAATGTATCTATCGAACTTGTACATCTGCTTGCTGTGATATTACAGCTAATAAACCTTGTATAACTTTATGCCATGAAGAAGATAAAGTTTTAATTGTTGAACGTGCCAACTGTACCTTTGTATTTAACTATAGTGGTAATTATTATTCAAATTATGGGTTTGGAATTACAAATAGGAAAATTCAGACAATCATTTTAGATACTGAAGATGAAAGATTTGGAGGAACTAAGATAAATACTAAATCTTTCAATAAAGTTAATTATACTGAAGGATTTAATTTATATTTAAAAGGAAATGGTAATGAATACCATTTTAATAATCAACGAACCATAGATCCTCAACATTTTCGTCAAACAATTTTTCTTGATTTACCTGCATTTTCAGGTGTTATTCTTGCTCCATTTGATATTGTTCAGCGTATTCCTTTTGAAAATATTGGAAATAAATTATTGCTGGGAAATATAGATGAATTTATTGAACAGCTCAAACTATTTCAAAACTAAAACAGATTGATTATATTCAATTCATGCAATTTATTATGAATACTTCAAATTTTATCTATTTGGTATCAATATATATCATTATTAACGAACTTTTTAAGTGATCTTTAACATTATAAATATTTTCCTCAAATCTATTTGCACTATTATCCAATATTATAATCTTATCACTTTGGTTTATTCATTTAATCCGGTAAATATACAAAATCAGTACTATATATTTGCGACTATTGAGTGAATCTACAATATATACATATGTTTATTGTAATATTTTCTTAATAATTACATTTTTTTATAGATCATGGAACAATACTGCTAAATCCACTCCATATATCTTGTTACCTTACACTTTTCTAAAAGTATAAATGTTGTGAGTCTTACCGTCATAAGTGCAAATCTGTGTTTAACCAGTTGATATAACAACTTTCAGTCTTTCAATCACTATCATTAAGCTTATTGTAGTAGAAATTTGAAATCTAAGAAAATAATCAGAAATAGAACTAAGATACTAATGGTAGCTAATTAACTACTATAAGATATTTTAGTTTACTTATTTTGCTATACCTAGGACTTATTTAAATCTATCTTCGGTAAGAACTCAACTCTTTCTTCATATAAATTTTAAATCTAAGAATTATGGGCGGTTGCCATCTGCCGCTCAATGCGTTTATTTATTAAAGGGTGTATTTTATTTTTCTTATACAAACGCGTAAATTTCATGTATGTACTGAAAACTATAATAATATGAATATAGTTAAACTAAAGGAACAAGGTAGGTTAGTTTCTCTCTATAGAAAGTAGATAGAATTGGTTATAACTCTACAGGCTGAACCTCGCAAACATTTCCTAGAAACCTATTATAATACTATTATGAGATATTGCGAAGTAACTTTTGTTATACATTATAATGCGAAGTTGCGTTTTAATTATTTCAATATTATTAAAAAAGGTCCAGCCAATATTTCCTATTAGTATATTGGTGATGGAAATAGGCAATACAGATAAAGAATATATGAATAATCTAACTTTTACTCTTTTTATTTAGGGAATTTAAAATATTGCAGTGGGGGATATCTTGAAAGTATTAAAATATATAATACAATATTGGATTCTATAGAGATTGAAAGTAATCTTAAATTGAAATTACAGGTGTTATCTAATAGAGCTGCTAGCTTCATTAAACTGGCTAGATATGAAGATAGTATTAAAGATTGCAACGCTGTTTTAGAACGGGACCATTCAAATATAAAGGTTTTATATCGAAGAGCTACATGTTTTAAAGAATTAGGGAAGGATTTAACTGTGGCAATTAATGATTTAAAAAAAATCTTGAGCATAGATCCAAAAAATATATTAGCAAGAGGAATGCTAAAAGATCTAATTGAAGATCAAAGTAAACAAAATGAGAAAAATATTATGAATGAATCTCCAAATATAATTTTACTTAATTTAAAAACATTATTGTGTAACATAGATCTTAATAAAGATGAAGAAATATTGAAAAATAAAAATATAATTGAGACAGATATATCTGATATGCTCTTAAAAATCCAAATGTATATTATAGGTAATGGAACTGAAATTATTATGAATAATGATAATCGAAATAATTTAATGTTCATTTTGGAGAGATTAATTTATATTCATAATGGAAAAGACTTTTTTCAAAAAGGTGAAAATATTGATCATTTGAGTATTGGAGGAAATGAATCTAATTTAGTTAAAGAAATACCAAAATATGTAATTTTATCTTGGAATGTTTTATCTCTTTTGATTCAAGAACTAATTCCTAATCTAAATGAATTATGTGATACAAATAAATCTAATACAATTGGGTCGTATAATAAACTTAAAACTCTAGATATAAATGAATTGAGGGAAATTATGAATAATAAAAATATTATCAATATTGGCAAACTATCAATTTTTATGGATTATATTGAGAGGCTAAAGGATAATATGTATGAGGTCCAAATTTCACTATTATATGAGCATATATTTAATGTAATAAGATTTGTAGGGGATTTGAATAATAATGAATTATTACACTTTATACTAAAAATTTTAAAAAAAACTAAAACTAATTTTAAAATAATAAATTTATCATTAAATTGCTTAACATCATGGTTTCAAAAAAGAGCATCTATGGGTTTAAAAATTGAAGCTTTGGAATTGACATCTAATATTGAATATCTTATTAAAATAATGATGAAGTCAATATATGGAACTTATAAGCATTCTTTATTAGTTGGATATTTCAATTCTGAATACGAAGATATAATATTAAAATGTGGCTATATATTAAGTATGATTATAGCTTTACTTTCCGATAAAAATCGTAATAAAGAAATAGATATACTGAAGTTGACAAGACAATATATTATACATGATTACTTATTACCTAGTATAGTGGATCCAAACATTTTGAATAATACTAATAATAATCAAGGTACAGAAGAAATTGTTACATCCTCAAATTGGCTAATTAAAAACCCAATAGGATTCACTACAGGCCTTGTAGGTCTTAAAGTTTCTCACAACTCAAATAGAGATATATTACAAAATCACATTTTAGTATATCCACAAATTATGCACTGTTTATTACTAATTACTATGGTTAACTGTAAAGAATTTGAATCTATCATCCGAAGATCAACATTAAATATTAAGGATATATATGATGATTTTCCAAGTATATTTAAGGAGGATATTTATAAGACCTTGCTACAATATAACTGTATTGAAGTTTTATCTTATACTATGGAATACAAACAAACTCGAATATCACTAACAAAAGAAGACGACACTATAATAATGTTGTATACAATTTGTAAACAAACTCTCGGAGATGTTGTAAAATCTGAGCATTCATCAGTCTTAAAGTCATTGGATTCTACCTGTAGATTATTATGTGGTTTAGTAAAAGCTACAATGGAAAGTAATAAAGTTTTAAATATTTTATTAAATGAAATATTTATATCAGAACTTATTATCACAATATGGATTACATTGAAACAAGAATTTCACAAGATAATTTCAAAAGAAGACCAAAAGATTTTCTTTTCTTGTTTACAGAATTTAATTGAAGCTTTGAATATTTTGGCTATACATAAAGATTTCAAAGTAACATTATTAGATATCAAGATTGATGAATCAAATAAATCCGCAAAAAATGAAACATTTAAACAAGATTCATTAGAAGATACAAAGTCGAATAAAATTCTTTTTATATATGAAATACTGAATATTCCTCAAACATTTGAATTTAAACAATTCATAAATAAAGGTCAATCAAATCTTCCTCAGGTCCTTATTTATCTTTATGTAAGTTTCATTGAAAATATATTAACAAGCAATGAAACAGATCCAAGTGCGAATACATCCCAAAATACTAAAGATAACAAAGATAGTGAATTGAATAAAGAGGAATTTTCTAATAATAGGACCAATTTTTTAAAATCTCTAAGATTTTATGGACAAAAAGATCAAAATTTAGATTTTGATGAAACCCAGTTAAGTCAATTGGAATTTTTATATAGAAAACTTCCCGAACAAATGAAACCTGATCGTAATGGATTCTATGATCGTGGAGATGAATCTTTAGTTAACTCATTCAGACAATTATTAGTCTTTAGTACATCTACTGTAAGTACTTTATCCAATATTTTAAAGATGTTATCATCTCAAACTACATATACAATTATTATGAAGATTGGTAATAGTATTTGTGATCTTATATCTCCACCTGAAAGTTTAAATAAGAATGTAGACTCACAATCTTTAAATGACTGTATTGCAAATAGAGGAAGAATTATTCAACAAGGAGGTCTACAATGCTTATTAGATTGCATTAGTTTTATAGAACATCACAAGAATAAACCATCAAATTCTATTTCTGGTACTATCCTACTTAGTTCTAAATATATTTTGGATAGGCTTAGAGAGTACAGACAAGGAATAAGTAGATTATTAATTGCAACACCTCCTAAACTAATTACATATAAGACATTAATGACATGTTCTATACAAATTCAAGCTCTACTTGAAGATGATCATGAATTATTACAATATGAAGCTGCATTAAGCCTCACGAATATCTTAAGTATAAACTATAATCAAAATAAAGATACTGAATGTCAAATAGCTTTACGAATATATGACAATAGTAAATGTTGGAATTTATTTAAAGATTTATGCTTTAGTAATAATCAATTATTAGTTTCAGCTGGATTAGAAGGATTATGTAATTTTTGTAACAAAGATGAGGTTGTATACAGACATTTTATTCAATCTAAGCATAAGGGATTAGAAGATTTAAAATTATTCATTGCATTTATATTTGAAGATAACTATCGAATTCAAATTGCCTGTTTAGGAGCTTTAGCTATGCTTTCAGCATATATAGATGTATGTACAACAATGGTACTAAATTGGGATATATTTGGAACTAAAATGATATCTTTCGTACAAAGTCTAGTAGATAAAGAGGCTAATCCTGAACTAAATGAAAGAATTCTTTTTTATTTTAATAATATATTACTTCTGTTAAATCACATCGATGATAAAGATGAAAATAAAACTAATAATGCGAATATAAAACAACTTAGAAATAAACTTGGAGATCATGAACTGGATCTAATAAAGGTGAATTTATTAAATAGTATTTCAATTATACAATAAAATATAAGAAATTTAAATAAAATGACGAAAATTAAGCCATTCAAGATTAAGTAAATAATTATTACATAAATATAAAAATATACTTGATAATATTGTTTATATATCTACTCATTTCACATCCTATATATCTTAAATTTAGCTAACTATCCTCAAATCATCTTGTATTTTTTTTATTTTCCACTTCTATATTGTAATCTTTCTCTATTATACTTTTTCTTTTAATATTATTAGATCTAATTTCATCTATTTTAAACATAATCATTAATACAGCTGGAAGAATTGATAAGAATCCTACAATTTGTAAGGTTGCAGTATATTTAGATGGCATATTAGCTAAAATAAATGAAAGTATAAGGTTACCAGGTATTACCATTGAATAACAAAATGAATTTATAAAAGCAAAGTCTGTTTCTGAATATATTGCTCTTATATAAGCAGGTGCTATAGAGTATAACCCAGCATAAGAAACACCAACTCCAAATACCACAACTATCCAAACTGGTTGGAGGTACTTTATAAGAACTAGAGAAAATGTCATTGTAAGTATTAAAATAATTGTTTGAGTACTACGCTTTAACATATCATGCTTTTCCAATATATCACTAATAAATCCCACCAAAATTCTAACTATTAATTCCACAACTGTAAGAATTTGAGTAATCCTTACTGCTGTATTATGACTTAAACCTGGAACATAATAAAAAGTAAATGTTTGTAAAAAAGCTCCAAAAAATTGTCCAGTACTTATAGTAAATAAATACATCCCAATTAATGAAACAGTTTCAAGCTTTAGTAATAGATGTAGTTTTTGTTTTAGTCCATGTAATGTATCTCCACAATCAGTAATATACAGATTTGATATATTTGAATTACTAGATAAATTATCTGAAATATTCAATTCATTAAATGATTCTATAACTCTTAGCTTTTCATCTATTATATCAGATTTATTACTATTCATTACTAATAAATTGTTTCCTTTTTTTTCATCATATTTATTATTATCTGTTGGATATAAAGTAGAACTACAAGTATCACAAAGATCATCATTATGAGTAAAGTCATAATAAATTTCAGAATTTATATTTTTAAGTAAACTTGGTATCATATTCCCGTTTTTCAAATTAGAATTATTGATCATATTATCTAGTTTGTTATTCAAGTCTTCTTCATTATTAAATTCCAAAGATTTAGTTCTATTTATATCATTTATATATGAAACATTTATTTCTGAAAAAGAGTTGTCAATAGATATTTCTGATTCAGAAATTGTATTGGTAAAATTATCTCCTTTAATATCAGATACTGTATCCTGTTCTATTTGTTCTTTTTTTTCCATTTTTATATTAGAAATATTATCAATTGTTACTCTATATTCATTATCAGATGTCATCTTATTTTGACATCTTATATTTTTTTCTGTTAATACAATGAAATAAATCCCAATAGATCCAAATATTAGGGTTATTGAAGAATAGCAGATATAGAATGGCCATATATAACCATCTAATAAAAAGAAGTCGTGATATATTTCTGCCATTATAAAACCTCCTAAACTATAAAGTGTAAGTTGAACAGATGTTACTAAGCCACTATGACATGTCGGCCAACAAACTAAATTTGTCCATAAAGCACCTAGATTTAAAGATATACCTCCCTGTAATATTAATGCAATACTTAAGCCATATAACAATATAGCCCAATATGTTTTAGATAAATCACTATTTAAATTTTCCATATAACTTAAGCATCCAATATGAGAAACTACTAGAGAAAAGTATCCTAACAAAGTCACTAGCAAACCATATAGTAAAACACCTTTAGGTGAACCATATTTTGAAAATAAAAGCCCTGAAGGTAATAAACAATAACCTAATGCTCCAATACCATATATATATGCTAATGCTGAATCATCATTAAACATGGAAATTTTTAAATCATGGATTATAATTCCATATACTTTGCAAGTATTTGATATTAGGGCAATCAAAGATCCAAATACTAAACAAAGTACTTGGTTATACAAACTTGATTTACGTAATCGGCAAAATTTCATTTAGAATACAAATTTTACTGATCTTACAAGTTACAGATATCTATATTGACCGCATAAATGCATCTCTGTGCAAATTAGTAATAAAAATTTTGAAGTCCCCCCACCTCTCTCAAATAACTTCTCATCACTCTAAAAAAGCTCAATTTGCTTTGTTACTATTTATAATATATTATTAGGTTCTACCTAATTTCAAGATTCACAAACTAGTTCCCTAAAGTTTATATGACAAATCATAAATATCTAAAAATTATTTTACTTAGCTTCATTGTGAAAAAGAAAGTGGAGTTATATATATATAATTTCCCTCTATATACCAATAATCTTTAGCTAATCATTGTAGTTAATTTAAAAATAATTAGTATAAATATCTACAAATATTGCAAATATCTTGCAAAAGAAAAGGCGCCGATGCGGCTAAACTTTCCTTTTTTTTTAAGAGGAAGCATGGGAGTTTATGATGCATGGCGGGCTATAAGGTGATCCATAAATGACTAGCGTCATTAATATTAGAAGCTGAGTATGATAAGAAATGGCTACAGGAGTATATTCTAAATCCAAAATAATAGAGGAATCTTTACAATCTGAAGATCTAGTTGGTCTGATAGCTTCATTTATACCTTGTAATGAGATACATTGTAATTTGTCAAAAGTAAACAAGTCATGGACGCGTGCAATAAATAATTCATATGAATGCTGGGCAGATATACATTTCTCTGATAAGGATATAGAAGATAATTTACTAAAGCCTGTAACATCTAGAGCTAGATGGATAAAAAATATAAGAATTTCAAATCCAACAAATAATGTAACTGGATTCCTTACTAGACTTGTTACTAATAACCAAAATGTAGGAAATTGTAATAACTCAATAATATGGAGTAGGCTAAATTCGATTGAAATTTACAATCAAAGTATAATAGTTCCAAGTGAATTATCAAAATTACCAGTAAAATCTCTTTTCCATTTAGGAATTACAGATGGTATATATGAGATTCTTCAGAACACATCCAAAATGTACAATAATTCGAATAAATATACCAATCATCCACTTCAAAATGTGACAAGGTTAATTATTGATTATCCAATCAGTACAAAGGAACTGAAACTGTTGAAGGGATGTTTTCCTGCAATAAGAGATTTAGTAATTACACGGCTATTTCATTCAAAATCTGATGCAGTTTCTAACTATCAATTAAGTGAAAATCATAGTATTGAAGGGCACTATCCATTTGATGATATTGGTCAATGTTGGGAGGCTATTTATGACTTTTTACAAACAATAAACCCAAATCAATTGAGAATATTACAAATTAGTATTATTCCATCACCCCATCCATTATCTGGAAAGTGGGTTGTTGATCATAGGATTAAAGAACTTTGCAATCAGGCAACTTATAACTCACTGAGTGAGGACAAGGTTGAATTAAGCTCAAATAATATTAAAAGAATGAGGATTCAGGAATATAACTATTATGATAATCCAATTAATGAAATTGATGAAAAGGGAGATAAATTAATAAAATTCTTGATTGATAATCATTCTGAATCACTTATTGCTTTGACATGTCCTGATTTAGAAGTTTCTCACTTCTTGTATAAACGACTTATACAAGACTGTCAAAAACTACAACAATGGGATTTACCAGGTTGGAGGGCCATAGCAGCACTAACTCCTTTGAGGGAATTTAATAATTGATTATAAAATTACTAATTAAGAAGTTCCTCGCTGTTTGTAAAGTAATACTTGAATTAATAATTAAATAGAATATATATGAGTATTAATCAAGATGAGTATAGTGATGAAGTAATATATTAAACTTCATCTTTTAATTGTATTTATTCCACAATAAATTGAACAGAACAAAGAAAGAGTTAATATAGAGCAAATTATTGAAAAAATAATAATTGAACCTTTTGGATGATCAATTCTATCTTCTTCCTGTTCATTGGATCTCACAAGACGTCTTTTAATTGATTTACATCTATAAATATATATATGTAGACCATAAAACATCATGAATGCAATAACTGGAGTAAGGAAGTATCCCAAATATTTCGTAAATTTACTCATGACTATTATATTATCTGTTTTTGTTAGTAAGATTATTGTAAATGTTAGTACATATAAACTTTTTTGTATCCAATATAAAAAGACTCTTTCTGCTGCAAATAAGCTCTTAGGATCTAATTTTTTTATCCTCCTTGATTTCTCAAAAATCATATTATCAACATTATTAGGTGAATTAAGTACACTAATATATTCAATATCGTCAACTGTATTGTTCCATTGTATTTGAGATCCTAGTGCATCAAAAATTCGAATACTTGAGTAAGAATTTGTAAGATTTTCAATATTAAGTATATTACCCTGATTATTTCTTTTTCTATATTCATCACTATTCATAAATAAAAAGTTTTCACATTGCATTTGTTTCTTATCAATATATTTTTTAGAATCTGGATTACCATTACTATTAAAATTAGAACCAAATTTCTCTTCTTCAAAATCTTCAGCCCAATGTGGTAAAATTGGTACTTTATCTTTATGTAAGATAGCCATACCATGCTGAAATTTACTAAATTTATATACTAATGTTGCACTGCACCTTTTTAACATCTCTGAGACCCAAATAGGTTGTTCTGTTTGTAACTTCACTTCTAATATTGCATAAGGAAAACGTGTAACTTCATTTTTTGATAGTACTTCTTCTGCTAAACGACACCATGGTTCATTTTGATGCCCATTAGGTATATATTCATTTACCATACATAGATTTGTATCTATAGAAAATCTGATCTGATTATTATCTTGGTGTTGAAATGCAGCACGTAAATATGACGTACGTACAAAGGGTTGTAAGTTATTTTCAACAATATATTCTTGCATTTCTTTAGCAAGTTTTGCTGTTTTTTCTGTTATATATTTTTTATCAAAAATTTTTTGATTTATAAGTGAATCAATTGATAATTTACCTTTCAAATATGGAAAAACATAACTCTGAGGTAAAGAAAAACGTTCCTTTGTGCTTTTCTCACCTGTCCAACTTTCATGGTGAGTCTTTCTTTCAATAAATATCTCCATATCTTTTGCACCTGAGTTAAATCCATAACAACGTAACCTAAGTAATTGTGCCTTCTCATATCTTATAATTCTATTCCAATAACATTGTGTTGATTTATTATCTAAATAAACTGATGTAATAACCTGACTTTCTTCAATTTTTTTTGGATCCACAATTTCACAACTTTTCACACATTTATAAGGATCCAATAAAGTTTCCAATTCTTCATTCGATCTTCCAAAAATTAAATATGGAATATAACGTACTATACACGCTTTTGCTGCAACTACATTATTTGGATGTACCCAATATTTTGTTGTACACCGCAGAAAAGTTTCTGGTGGTTTCCATAATTTTGATGATTTATCATCTTGTGAATTACTTGATAGTTGGATTGGTCTATTCCTCATATTTTGTCTATCAAACATTATTTTCTCCTTATCAATATTTAATATCATAAATTCTAATTCCCTATATCTCCCCCATGCTACACTTAATAAAACTAATAATATATCGATATTAATATCAACAAATGGTTCCTTTGTTAAATGAGCTTGAAACCAAACATTAGTTGTAGAATCTAACATAACATCAAAAAATTGCCCCAATCTAAGTAAAATCTTAAAGTTTGTACGTATATAAAAATCCAAATGGATTATTTCATTACCTTGATGTTCAAGTGATTTTTCCATTTCTTTTAAAAAAAGTTCCAAACTATCTAAATTTTGTTTAATAATCTTAATATCATCCAATTTATTCATTATTGTTTCTAATTTTTCTATACCCTCAATTCTCATTTTCTTTCCAATTTTTAGTAATTCTCTATATATTTCTTCATGTTTCATAGTTGAAAATTGATTAACTTTAGCTACTTCTTCATTTAGTATTTCTCTGAATAAATAGTCACATGCACTATACTCACTTGAAACATCAGGAAATATACGGGGTAATTTTATTCTTATACTCTTACCAGATTCTCTAATATACTGAGTCACTTGAGCTTTATAAGGACCACACTGAGTTGCTAATTGTAATATTATATTGCAAACCTTGTTATTATCTACATAATATGATTTATAGCATGATGGAGCACGATACATATATTTTTCCAGTGATATCATAATCTACCAATATATAAGTTCAATATATATAAATGCAAAGTAAATTATCTTGCTTTAAATATCATGCAATTATTCATTTAAAGGCTTCTTATGAAAGCACTTCGAGTCTCTAGGGTAACCGCCATGTAAAAGTTTTGATGTATTCATATATTATTATAATATTAATAGTCAAAATATTAATATAATATTCACAAATTTACTCTTAAATAGAAATGAATCTATTATATTTATTAAACTGACGTATCTTGTAGTATCGAATTATCTTTATAATTTAGATCTAAAAAATCATAGTTAAATGGTCTCTCTTTATAATTATTACCTTTATATGATGATATAATACTATAAAACCAATTAATATATATCATTGCATATTTTGACATACAACTATGTCCATAACCTAATAAAATAAATTTCTTAGTATTAGCTTTCATTATATTTTTTAAATAATTAAAATCTTTTTTTGCATTTCGAAAAGGAAAAATCATATCTGGATTACAATGAGCAATTAAAATATTTGTTGATAGACCTTTTTTATTAATACCTAATGACGAATTTCTTATTTTTGCAGATGTACGTTCTACAAACATCCCACCAGCTGCAATACACCCCCCAAGCTTATATTTGGAACGGATTACAGTACTCAAAGCAAGTGCTGCACCTTGACTATAACCATAAAGGAATATATTTTTAGGACTATAATTCTCTTTCTCAATCAAAAAATATATTAAATTCAAAATTGCTTTCACAGAATATATCCATTGTACTGAATTTACTGATCTCAAACGTAAATTGTGACCAAAATCAGCCCAAGCAAATCTATAGATATTTAAAAATCCTAATATCTTAAACTTCCTTATATATTCATGAGGAAATAAAATTGCAACATTATCTGCAAAATTTCTACCATATATCCTCATATTTGATATAAATGGGTCATATGTATATCTAAATGCCTCATAATACATTTTATCTGAGCTTACCCCTAATAATGCCAATATTATATACTTTGGACGTCTATGAGCCATTAACCCTGTTAAAGAAGAATTTGGATATTTATAAGTAACTGTTAAATTACCATCAATATTATTGATATATTTATTAGTATCTTCATTAATATCATATTTTAAGGTTTCATTTCTATTTATATCTAATTTTAATTTATTCTGATCAATTTTTTGAAATTTTGGATTTCTACTTAATAATGGATAGTCTTTAAAACAAAAAACTCTGATTGGATGAGGTTCTGGTATATTTTCTACTTTTTTTTTACTTGTACATTTAAATCTACCAATACAATGTTTGTTATTTTTCATTGTAAAAAAATCTTTACTATTTAAAGTTTCTTCTTTTAATATCCGCTTAATTTCCCTACTTATATCAAATGTTCTGAATAGTAATTTATTATATTTATTTAATTTTCCAGTTTTACCATTAAAGAAACTTGTTGTATTGATTGGAATTAATTTATGAACTTCATCCTCTATTATAGTTGAATTACTTATACTAAAAACTACCCTAAATAATGATAAAGAAAATAATGCTAAAGTTATATTCCAGATATTCATTCCTAATACTCTAATATGAATATATCTTTTAATTTGTTTTCTTTCCAGGTCAATTTTTCCCAATAGAATAAGTGCGCACTTTTATGCTCGTGTCTTATATTTAAAATATTAGAGTATCCATAATATTCTCAGAGAATTGTGGAGTTTTTTTAAATGAAAATCTTCATATCCAAATAAATAAAAAATATTTTGTATATTCTCAGATATTTTTAATCACTTCTATATACTTTAGTTAATATTATGGTTTCCAAATTCATATTGCCATTTAAAAAAAAAAAAATGAAAGAAAAAAAAAATTTAAATAACAAATTTTATTAAGTATATAAATAATTAAAATAAGTTTGTATAAAAAAAAAATTGCATGTATTAATAACCATGCCGGTATATATAATATTTTGAATACCAACACTGAAATAATTAACCAAATAATTTATCGACATAACAGGTTTATTTTAAAAATCAGAATATTATAAAATATTTCGACAATATGAATATATATAACCAATTAAACCAGAATATCCTTGATTTATAATGAATATTTACATATATCAATTTATTACTTAATATTTAGATATTACTCTAAAAGTAGAATTTAAAATATTAAGTAAAATTTAAAATTATGAGAAATATTATGGAATTATTTCCTATTTAAATATAAAAATATTTTTTGAATTAAGAAAATCAGATAAAATTAAAGAAACAAAATAATAACTTTATTTAATCTTTAAGAAGATATGAAAAAAATATTACCTATTTATATTATAAATACTTTTAAAATCTGAATTTGATAATTTAATATATAAACTTGATTATTTTAAAAACTATCTAAACAGATATGATACGATTTCCTTAAAAAGTTTTATTTTTGTTTTATTTATTTGGATTTTATACAATCCAAAATATATTTTAAAGATTTAACTGAATAGTGGATAGTATTACTTTGATATTCTGTCAGTGATTTGACACTTAAAATTAGTTCCTGTTTATTATATCTATCACTTAATATTTTTGACTTTAAAGATATTAGCTCAAAAGTATCAAATTCACTTGATAATTCCACTGAACCTGAAAATATTGATATAAAAGTTTCTAAATTTTCTAAAATAAGTTTAATAATATTTGATTGGATATTTATGAAAGGTTTACAATATTGTTGGTCTTTCTTTGATAAATTTGACATTATCCAAAAATATATAATAAGAGAAATATTAAGTGGTCCAAAAATAACACATAAAATATTTTCAAGCATTGTTTGAATATTAAAATATGATAATAGATTAGAATACTGATTTCCAGTATTTAAGAAATGATCTATTATATGAATATTAATTAAATTGTATAATTTTTCAGATATTGAAATTAAATCATAAATCTCACTTTGGATATTTTTTTGATAATTAATTTTATATTTAATAATATCAGTAAATTTTATTATAAGTGGAGATATTATATCATTCAATAATATTATAATGAATTCATTCTGAATAATTGTATTTAGTTTAATAAATTCCAATGATTTGTATTTATTTATAAAATTATATATATTATTAAATTCTGGAATATCTTTAATAAAAATAAAATCATTAATAATTAATATTGGTATAATAAAGATTTGAAGGCGATGATATGCTATATATTGAGTAATAGTACCACCTTGTATTATATTTTTTAATAATGAATTATGATCCTCAAAACAAAAAGAATCAGTTATTTCAAAGTAATTGCATGGTAATAATGAATTAATTTCATTTTCAAATTTGGGTATAACTTCTATAAATGCAGATACAGAAGAAAATATTGGTGATAAATCTTGATTAATTATATTACTATTAGATAATATATCAAATACTTGTTTATTTAAAATATTTTTTAATTGATTAATATGATATGAAACAAAATCCTGTAGATCATTATTAAGAAATTTACATGATAATAATTTATGAAGAAATTTATTAAGAAAATCAAAACCATATAAAATATCATAATAAATATCCTTTTCTTGAATTATATTTTCAGTTTGAAGAGTTAATATTGAATTAAAAAAAGAATGGCAATTATTACGAAGAGATTCTATAGATGAATCACGTAAATTTCTACATGTTTCATTATGTATATCAATGATCATTCTAATTTTTAAAGGATAATCGAAATTTTGATTATAATTGATTTTATTTATACGATTCCTACAATTCTTACCAGATGAATCAATATAATAAATATATGGACATGATATTAATTGAAATATAGTACCTTGAATATTTAATGTCATTAATTGTGACCTCTTTAAAGACAAATAATTATTAATAATTTTATTACATAAATTATAACATCCAATATATGGTAAGATCTCAGATAATAAATAAATTGATATATGATTATTAATTCCATTTTTGTTAATATTATATGAATATTGTAAAATTGTTAATGAAAAAATTAATATTCTATTATCATTTTTAAATAATGGAATACTAAGACAATATAATACTAAAGATATTAAAAAAGATCCATATCTTGAATAATTATTAGAATTTAAAATATTTATTTCAATATCTAAAATATCATTAAATAGATTATAAATATCATCAAAAGATAAATAGTCTTTATCTATTACATTACAATTAGATGTTATATCAGAATCCTCACTATTATTTAAAATACTCAATAAATACAAAATATTTGTCAAGTAACACCATTCAAGTTCACTATTTAAACATTTTAATTGTTTTAAATTAGATATTTTTAACAAGAATTTTTTTAAATATATTCTCCTTAAAAAAGTAGTTGCATATTTACTTTTTAATATATAATTTAATGCAACACGAATATCAATAATAGGATTTCCATAACATTCTAAATAGTTACAAATTATTAAGTTAATTTCTTCAAGTATATGGTTAAAAATTCCATAATTTATTGGTAAAGATAATAATATTTGACATATTATTTCCAAATATAATATTTGACCTTTTAAACTATCTAGTAAATTATAAATACAAATATCATTTATTTTATTAAAATATAATAGGAATGATTTTAAATTATAACCATTATTAATAAATTCATTAAAACAATTATCTATATATTTTTCTTTATTATCCAAAATTTCCATATTATATTTTGTTAAAGAAACAAAAAAATAAGAAAATAAACGTAGTATATCTATTTTCAAATTATTGATAGTTGTTGAATTTAATAAAATTTGAGTTATACTTTTCAAAAATTCATTATTTGTATCTTTAGATAAATTATTATCTATATTTTTTAATGTATATTGTTTTATTATTAAACATATCTTTAAATTTAATATCATCTCATTTGTGATACAAGGAAAGAAAATTTTATAATTATTCTGAATCTTCTCTAAAAAATCTTCATATTCTTCAAATTTACCAAGCTCCCTTAAAGAATATAATTTCATTAAAAAAACAAATGAATATATTCTCCTTGATTGTAAAGATAATTTGATACTTTTATTATTTGGAAATTCTGTATTTGAATCTAAATATTCAAAAGGACATTCATTCAAATATTTATCTACTAATATATTTATTAATTGATAGTTATATATATTCTGACCTTCATTTTTACATATACAATAAAGAGCAAATGATGAATATACAAGATATATTGGCTTACGATAACGTGAATATAATTTATTACAGTAATTTTGCATACTTTGGTATCTTCTCAACCAAAAATTTAATGATATTATATCAAACTGAAAATTTTCACCCAATAAACAATTATTAGAATTGTTCTCAAAAATTTCAATCAGATCTTCTAATTTATGTTTTTTATTTGATATTACATCACATAACATAAAATAATGCCACAAAATTGCCAATACATCTTCATCATATAGTTTATATAATAAAACAGTATCAATGTCTTTTATTGCATCATCATAATATCCAATACGAGCATATGCTAAACCTCTTAAAGCAAGTACTAACTGTTCATCAATATTAACCTTATCTATTGATTTTTTAGATTTTAACTTTAATAATACATTAGTAGATTGTTTTATGGCATTATTATTATCACCTCTATGTAAATAGTCATATATCAATTTAATACGATGCTGTAACATTTCTCTTAAATAAATTGCCCAATTCCGCAATAATTATAATAGTTTACATCACAATCAATATCTTTTAAATATGCAATTATTCACAATTAATCACCATAGTAGTAAAATACAATCGTCTAGATAGCGCTATTAGTGACATTGACTGCATACTAAATACAAATGATACCGGGGTAGCCTGAGTAAAACACGCCCCCCTTCTTTTTTTAAATATTCAGATTGCTTCTTTGTGAGGTACTAAGCGATAAATAGACAGATATAAAAAAAAGAAAAAAAAATTAATGGCGCAATGCAATATATTTCAATAAAATATTGAAAATATACATCCAAATAAGTATAACTAATTACTAGCTTTATTATTTCTTTTTACTTTTTTTTTTTTTTTAAAAGAAAAAAAATAAAAAAGTAATTATTTAGGGGAATAAAAAAAAATTATTAATTAGTCAGATCATATTAATTATGAAATTCTTGATCATATATATTGCATTATTTATTCTTAATTTTAATATACTTTCAGTTAATGGATGTAAAAGATATAGAGAAACCAGAATAAATAAAGTGTTTCAAATATTAGGGTCAAGTAGTCCCCCCAAGACAATACAAGATTTCAGTAAATGTATAGATAACTCATTATATTTAACTAATGTCTTAAATACAGCAAGATGGAAACTTATTAAGAATCGAAAAGGTACAGGATGGGATGAAACTTTAATACCACCATTAATGTTTTGTGTAAAAATTATTGATACACCAATGTCATATCCAAGTGAACAGTGTTCTTCTAATTCTATAGAATTAATAGTACATGATGGTATATCAACAGCTGAGTCAGGTATATCATTATCTAAATTCACAAATTTATCTAAAGGTGATGAGAAATGTTTATTTACATCACCATGTGACTTATTAAATAAAATATATTGGGCTGAATCGAGATTTACTAATGTAATTAATAATTTGGAGTTTCGTATATTAGTACATTTTCAAAGCCAAAGTCAAGGGCGTTTCAATGTTAAAGCAAGTATTCGTGGAGTTGCACGTGCTATGAAACATCATAGAAGATTTTGGGATTATGATTATGTACTAACACAAAATTTTGAGGAAATTCAAGCAGTATCTTTATATATACCCTATAAAGTAAAACCTAATCGTTTTGTTTCAGATTTATGTCTAGTAAAACCATCTGTAACAAGTAAATTTGATAGTAATAAATCTTCACTTTGTAGTTATGAGAAATGTTTATGGAATACATGGATAGGTCAATTAACAGGAGAAGGAGTAGGACTTCGTTGTGTTATTGGAAAGGCTTCTGCTAATGGAGAATATTTTGTTGGTTGGTATTCACCACAAGTGTTAGGTATAAATACAATGGGTTCAGCTCAAATTTCTTTAATATGGGGTAAACCATTAGTTCCAGATGATATATGTGAAGTTTCCAATGATTTATTAAATAAACTTCGAGCAGAAGATAAGAATAATAATACAAGTGAAGAAGTGAATGAATCTTATAAATCTCATGAACATTATATCTTTAGAGATTATAATTCAAAATCTAACTCAAATTTAAATAAACCCTCAAATAATGTTACTAATAAAACATCTAGTGTAACTACTGTTAGTACTGTACAGACTAGTACAGCATTAATTAGGAAATCAAAACCTGAAAATTCAAATATTAAATCAAATAATGAAGTGTATATAAAGAAAGAAAGTTTAAAACTTAATGATACAAACAAAACTATAAATATAACAAGCTTATGTACAAATAATACTTGTGAACCTATTTCTGCTTCATTATCGAAAGATGTATGTCCATGTAAAAATATTGAAGATAAAGATGGCAATAATAGTAATAATAATTTACAAACAAACAGAAGTAATTTAGAGGAGTCAAATGAGGCTAGTTGTGCATGCTTAGAAGAAGGAGAAGTAGATGTTGATCTTGTTATAGTTGATAATCATCAATTAGATACTGTAGATGATTCAAAGACAGAAGAAAAAAAAACTAAGGAGAGTATTTGTAGTAATATTCAAGGGTTAAATGATTTAGATACAATGACAAAGAAATGGATTTGTCTAAAAAATAGTCGATCCAATTTGTTACAATAATTATAAATAATAAAATTTTATGTAAGATCATTTTAAAGTATTATTACTTTTTTTTCTTTTATTTCAATATCATTTTCATTATTAAGTAGAATAGTATCATTACAAATATATTTAATAAAATCTTACTTATATAGTCTTTATTTTAATATAAAGTTTTATTTCATTAATTAAATGATGTTTAATCTTAGAAATTATCCCTTTATTAAGGATTTACTTTTCTTTTATATATTTATTTTATGATATCATCTTCTTAAATATATGATTATATGTTTTCCTTATTTTATATAGATAATTTCTTAGTATTAGAAGTATTAATAGATGTTCTTTCAATATAATAATTTAACATACTGAGAGATTTCAAGAATTATATATTGTTTTATTAATAAAAGTAATAATAATGAGAAATATATTCTAAGTAAATAAGAATTTTAATTAATAAAGTAGTTTAATTGTACATTATAAAGATAAAATAATATTGAATGATTATTATTCTATAATGTTTTTAAAAATATATTAACATTAATAAGTAATTTTTGCATTAAAGTAAAATATTATTAAAAAAAGTAGGAAAAAAAACTAAAGAATATTTACAATGAGACAATAAAACTTTGAGAATACTTTCAATATATTAAGAATTAATACTAAATAATATATTACTGTATATTACTTCCTATATATTTTAAATAAAATGTCAAATACACAATGAAATTGAGTCTAATCAATACTAATAACTTCACTTATTACTTCCATAAAAAATGGTACAATTTATGTATATAATTGGAACTATACTATTATAAAATACTACTTTATACTATAAAATTAAGAATTTAATTTTAAAGAAATTTCAATATCAGTATAAGCAATACAATTTACATTAAAGATATTCATCTATCCTATTTTAATATTCTCACATTATATTTATGTTATATCATACCTCTTAAATAAATAGATCTTCAATTTAAAGAATAATTGATTTTAAGAAAACTATTTAACTAGTAAGATCTATTATTGAAATCAATACACTTTATATATCCATAATGGTTAACACTTAAAATATTAATGTCCACAATATTATACAACTGCGATATTAAGGATTGATAAAAAAAAAAATGACATCTGTTAAAGCTAATATGAATAGAAAATCTAATTGAATTTAGTGAGTTTTACATTTACATGGATCACATTTACAACATGGGCAGCACTTTGATGAATCACATTTACATGAATCACATTTACATGGATCACATTTACAACATGAGCAGCATTTTGATGAATCACAACATTTGCAAGGATCACATTTGCATTTGTGGCATGAATCTGTTGATTTACAGCATTTACAAGGTTCACATGTACAAGGATCACAATTACAAGATTGTGTACAAGTACAACCTGCTTCAACCCTCTTGCAATGACCTTTTTTGCATGAACCTCCACAATTAGCTTGTTTACTATTTTGATTAACTGTACAGTTTGTCATTTTGCCAATAATTTATGTAATATACAAGTTAAATATTTTATATTGGAGTTCTAGAAAAAAACAAGATTTTATTTAGGTTATTACTCGTCAAATAAGGCGGTAATAAAAAAGACAGTTACGCACCAATCATGCGGCACCTACAAACCGCTCAATGGAAGTTAATTTTTGTCTTTAAAAGTAATTGTTAACATAAAATATTATAATGGCATTAAAAACAGAAGGTGGTAAAAAGAAACCACTTAAACAAAGTAAAACTGAGAAGTTTGAAACAGAAGAAGACATTGAATTTAAAAGAAGACAAGCAGAAGAGAAGAAAAAGTTGCAACAGATGAGTAAAAATCTTCGATCTAAAAAGTAGAGTAGCGAAATATGCTAAATTTTCATATTTGTTCTACTTCATGTTTTTTTTTTTTTAGTAGAAATATCACAGTAAATCTATAACTCATCTTTATTAGTTCTTTGTAAAGTTAATTTTTTTTTTTTTTTTATAATTTCCGAGATTAATATAATAGATATTTAGCACCATTAGAATTTTTAGATTTATTTTTAATAAAGATATAATATTTTAGATGTATAGATATGTGATTTTGAAAATATGAAATAGATATAGTTTATTGAACTTAGCTATCTACTTTTTTTAATGTGATTTTTAGTTCTTTTTATTATAATCAACAATAATGAGGTGTTTGTTAAAATATAGGTCTCTTTTATCTATCGGTTAATATACTTTTCTCTTTTGTAAAGGAAATAAATTTTGTTTTTCATTAGAAATAGTACCATTAAATAATTCAAACAAATAATATATTGATTGGAGTAATAAATTTGATGAGTAGTTATCTTGGGATAAATATCCATTTTCCAAGCTTTTTCTTACTATTCCTTGTGTAGTTGAATCTAATTTTTGTTTAATAATCCAATCATACTTTTCAGCCTCATAAATAGATAATATTGGGAATGCTTTAGAAAATTTAGTTATTGTCATATCAATAAATTTTGTCATTTCATAATTCATTTCAGTACGTCTATCTATATTAAGATCAATAACAAGTCCCCAATAAGTATCAGAATCAATTTCTAAATATTTATTATGATTAATATTCTGATTTTGATTTATTTTATTTATATTAATATCAGTAATTTGATAACTATATAACTCATTTAAAGTATGATATATAAATGGTGCTAGTAAAACTCCTTCTGTATGTAAACTTCTAGATATATGAACTTCAAATTCAATAGAATCTATCATTGAATAGTACATTGGTTTAATGTAATCTAATACATTAACCCACATTACTTCAAAATTATTATATAAGTTTTTTGAATTGTACTCTGATATATCTATATTTTTTTTAATATTCTGTGGTCCTACATATTCAAGTAAATGTGAAAGGGGTATCTCAGCAGACCACTGAATTTTATCTTCTCTTCTTCCACTAACCCGAATCCATTGATTAAGAAACTGTACACTGTTTTCAATATAATCATTTAAAATTTTTGGATTATTTATGCTTATTGGTAAATATTCAATAATAAATAGTTTATTCATTTTAAAACCTCCTTTTTCTGATATTAATCTAACAATTGTTTCATATCCTAAATTTAATTTTAGATGATTAGGACTAGATGTAAAACGATCTAAACAATAATTATAAATTTTTTCATGATCTTTTTCTCTTACACATAAATCTTGTCTATTTATTCTTATTCCTTCTATAACCCAAAGTCCTTCCCATTCAGCCTTTATTGAGTTTTCATATAAATGATTAAAATGATCTTGTTCATATTTAATACTTTTGCATGAATAATTTCTTGGTAATATATTAATATCAGGTCTTATAAATGAAAAATGGAACACATTTGAAATACCATTCCATCCTTGTCTTATTACTCTTAGATTATCCTTTGATGTAATAGGAAGAAGAGATTTGTTAAGTCTAATACCAGTATATGGAGATACTATATCAGATATATTATATATTAAAGTAACATCTTCATTAGGCAATATATAATATTTTTTTAATTGTTCTTGCCTAAAATTATTAAATAGTTGAGAATAAATAGGACCTTGTCTTAGAAGCCAAACTAATGCCATTATAAGTGTATCTTTAATATTATAATTACTTATTAAGGTTTCAAATATTTCTCCAAATAATAAATTAGATTTAACAATGTTTTTTGGATTATCTGAATGTATATAGAATTCCTTATAATGTGGATACCTACTTTGAGTTGAAAATTTCTCATTGTATGATTTTGGAAGTACAAGAACAGAATTTATATCAAGTAAATGTTTGTAAACTTTTTTCTCACTTTTGCTAAAATTAATCTTTGATTTATCTTTTGAATTTTTTATTTTATTATTTACAAATTTTTTACCATATGAAGATACAATTTTCAATTTTGCAAGGTTGACAAGCTTTTCTATGAAGTGATTAATAGTACTTTTTACACAAATAACATTATTAGAAATATAAAAATTAAATTTCTTCCAAATTGAAAGATTATTTATTATTTTATTACCATATTTTTTATTTTTATTATATTCATATTTCTGATATTTTTGATAAAAATCAAGATTACTTTCGCTCTTAGTCGAAATTTCATCGGAATTATTTATAATCACTAATTGTGGTACTGAAGTCCCATTAATATTTACATTTTCTATAAAAATTAGTGCAGTATTATTATCATTTCCCATTATATTAGCTTTTGAATCTGAAGTAATCAATACATCCAATTTATTTAATGTCTGATCTTTATATAAATATCTACGAGATTGAATTCTTTGGCAATATGGTCCTGTTAATGATTGACAAGTCCCATTATTTATTAGACCACTATGCAAGTAATGTATACTAATAAATGTATATCTTCTAATCCAGCTTACTATATGATCAGGAAGCATAGATTGAATGTTTAGACTTGAATCACAATATCTTAGTATGAGTATGAAGTAAAGCCATGACAAAAAAAATCTCACAATTATCCTCATTCATAGCAATTTTATAACTTATACATTGACACTATATATAAAAATATTACCTGCTTCTATATATCCCCAGTAAAGTAAAGGAGTTTTTAAAAATTAGGGTTAATCTAATTTTTCAGATTTTTGGCTCTTTACATTTACTTTATATAAGTTTATTAACATGCACCCTAGTGATGCGTGTCTCCCGCGCAAGTATCACTATTTCCAACTACAATATTAATATTAAAGGTTAAAATTTTCTTTTTCTTTTTTTTAGGGAAATATCTTCTATTCCCTTTAAATATATAAAAAGGGTTGTATACTCTTATAAAATAGAGATGGAGAATAATATAAATATATATTCCTATTTCATTAATACATAAATAAATTATTGGCTTTGTATTTTTAGTTTATCTATACATGCACTATCTAAACTAGGATAATTTTAAATATTATAATTCATTCCCGATTACTCAAAAATTCCAATAAAGGAAAAGTACTATCTAATTTAATTACGTCCCAGATCCATATTTATAACTATTTACGAAATCTTAGATATTTTTAAGTACAAGAAAATTCAAATATCTTCTTTATTCTATTTTCAGGAAATTTCAGGAAATCTTAAGATCATATAGCACTATAGTTATTTAATAATAAAGTTCATAGGGGTAAAAAATTATAGGCGCATTATTTCTGAGACACAAGACAGACGACGTTACGGCCTTTGAGACAGAATATTTTAGGTACTAGCACTAATAAGAAATAGATAAAGAGACAGGAATGGTGGAATGTGGAAATGTGGCTGATTAAGACTCATAGGCTGATTTGAGTTAGTTTGGTTTACTTTTATTAAGAAATCACATTTTTCTCTGTTTTAGTGAATATTTTCTACATTTAGTTTTTATTTAATCCAGATATGGGTAAGGAGAAGACTCACATAAACTTGGTTGTAATTGGACATGTAGATTCTGGTAAATCGACTACCACTGGTCACTTAATTTATAAACTCGGAGGTATTGATAAACGTACTATTGAGAAGTTTGAAAAGGAATCTTCTGAAATGGGGAAGGGATCATTTAAATATGCTTGGGTCTTAGATAAGTTGAAGGCTGAGCGTGAACGTGGAATTACTATTGACATTGCTTTATGGAAATTTGAAACTCCAAGATATGAGTACACTGTTATTGATGCTCCAGGTCATCGTGATTTCATTAAAAATATGATTACGGGTACTTCTCAAGCTGATGTTGCTTTGTTAGTAGTTCCAGCAGATCGTTTTGAAGGTGCTTTTTCAAAGGAAGGTCAAACTCGTGAGCATGCCTTGTTAGCTTTTACATTAGGTGTGAAGCAAATGATCGTTGGTATTAATAAAATGGATACATGTGACTACAAGCAATCTCGTTATGATGAAATTCATAATGAAGTTGAGGGGTATTTGAAGAAGGTTGGTTACAATATTGAGAAGATCCCATTTGTTGCTATATCTGGTTTTGTTGGTGATAATATGGTTGAGAAATCTGACAAGATGCCATGGTATAAAGGTAGAACTTTAGTTGAAGCTTTAGATACTATGGAGCCTCCCAAGAGACCAACAGAAAAGCCATTACGTCTTCCATTACAAGATGTATACAAGATTGGTGGTGTTGGTACTGTTCCAGTAGGACGTGTTGAGACTGGTATTATTAAGCCAGGTATGAATGTTACTTTTGCTCCAGTAGGTATTACTACAGAAGTCAAGTCTGTTGAGATGCATCATGAACAACTTTCAGAGGCTGGTCCAGGTGATAATGTTGGCTTTAATGTTAAGAATGTATCTATTAAAGATATTAAACGTGGTTATGTTGCGTCTGATGCTAAGAATGACCCAGCCAAGGGTAGTGAGAACTTTACTGCTCAAGTTATTGTATTAAATCATCCTGGTGAAATTAAGAGTGGATATTCTCCGGTAGTTGACTGTCATACTGCTCATATCTCTTGCAAATTCCAGAATATTGTTTCTAAGATGGACAAGAGATCTGGTAAAGTATTAGAGGAGAATCCAAAAATGATTAAATCTGGTGATGCTGCAATTGTAGTTATGGAGCCTTTAAAACCTATTTGTGTTGAGGCTTTTACTGAGTATCCACCTTTGGGTCGTTTTGCTGTTCGTGATATGAAGCAAACTGTTGCAGTTGGTGTCATTAAATCTGTTGTAAAGAAGGAGATTTCATCCAAGAAGAAGTAGATCTATGTATTTCATGAATAAGGACAATATTTTGAGTAGTTTTAAACTAGAAAATTTATGAGGAATTATTTTAGTACATTAAGTTAAGTTCTTGGATTGTTTAATGTAATGTCCTAATAAATCTTACTACATATTTAGATTTACTTTGCACTTTTTCTTTTAACTATAGTTTTCTTTACCTTATTTCTAGTATTTCTATCTTTTTTATTATAGTCCTCCCTATTTACGATGTTTGATCTGTCTCTTTCTAACTCTATACTGTTTATAAGATGAGTTTTCATTGTTTCAAAGGGGTTTGATATAAATTTTGGGTAATTTAAGATATTTTTCATTTGACGTAGAGACTCCTTTTTTTCTTTTTCTCTTGTTCTTCTCGTTAGAGACTTTTTGAGTAATTTTGTCGAATTATTTATATTGTTCTCAAGCTCTACATTCCTAATTTCTAGTTCTAAATCTTTTAATCTTTTTAAACTTGAAATCTTCTTCCTTTTCTTTTCTAGAATACCCTTTCCTATATAACTTGTCAAGTCTTGCTTTCTTCTTATTCTATCAGCTGCCAAGCGTCTTTTTCTTTGCCCACGGCTTAAAGGTACCACCATATTCCAGTTATAAATACTCAAAGTTGGTTAGAATACTGTTTAAAGGTGATTCCTAGCAATATGATTAATCGGTACCCTTAATATAGCGGGGTAACATATTCTAGAGGCACCAAAAATATTATTTTTGAATTAGGGAAATATTAAACTAATATTTAAAACTTTGCGAGTAAATCTAAGGAATTATAAACAATGCCGAGTGAAGTAAAGAGTTTTGTTCAAATATGTGACCTAATATTGAACAATAAATTCTCATGTGTACTATGTATTTCTCCAAATAATGAGCCTGATAGGGCTATGTTAGACTTACTAAATGCTATTGAGACTAGTTACAAAAATATCCAATTTTCAGTTTTACAGGTTGAAGATATATATGCTAAATCAGCTGTAAAACAGTTCGGTATTAAGCAACTCCCTTGTATGATGTTCTTTACAGCTAAAAGCCTTGAGCCAATAAAGACAGTTATTGGATATTCTCCTTCACAAGTACATTCAGTTCTAAAAGAAGTTAACGAGACAGAAGCTTCTGAACTACCAAATTCTAAAGAAATGTATACAATTTTGTGTAATTTCAAGAAGTTAATGGTTTTTATTAAAGGAATAAAAGAAGATCCATATTGCCGTTTTACAAAACAACTGATTGCCTTATTTGACTCTATTGGAGTAAAGGATTATGGTCACTATAATATCTTTGAAAATGAACAAGTAAGACAAGGCTTAAAGGAATTTTGGGATTGGCCAACATATCCACAAATTTGTATTAATGGTCAATTTGTTGGAGGAATAGATATAATAAATGAGATGTATTCTAATGGTGAATTAATTAAAGAGTTACCTAGTGAAGTATTTCAAGAATAATTTATTTTATAAAACAAAACTGAATATTAGCATATTTCGTGACTTATTTTCTTTTCCTTTTTAATTACTTTTTAAGTGTTCTTTGCTTTTCAGCTGCAACAACAACCTTATGTTCTGTTGGAAGCCCCTTACGTTTGCGAATAGAGTTTATAATATTTCTAGCAACATTGAAAGTAGAAAAATCGCTTTTTGAATCAGTTCCTATATCTAATGTACTGTTTTGTGATAGAAACATGTTAACTTTTGAAAACCCCTCATCTTCGAAATCTTCTTGTGTTAAACTAGCCTCAGGAAAAGGGTCTTGATCCAACATTTTCCAGTGTGAAAATACCATATTTACAGAAACATGACCACTAGCTTTATTTCTGAGCTCCTGACCTATACCAAAAGATTCAACTACTGGAATTTGTGCTTCAATTTTAAAGGTTGATGTTCCTTCTTTAAGCTCTTCCTTATATATATTAGCTCGTCTCCTTCCTAATGCACTATAAACCTTTCCAAGAACACTTTGTTCAGATAAGATTGTCAATTTAAGCATGGCTTCATAAATTCTAACTAGTCCACGCTGTAAAATTGCTCTCCTGCAACATTCCCTTGTTAAAGTAGTCAGTTGATTTGATATATTATTAATATTTAAATTTGCAAATGTCGACAAATCTAACTTGTCTATTCTAAATTCAAAATTATTATCACTTTTGATATTATTAAATAGTTCTAAATTATTAGATATATTTGCTAAAAATTGATTATTATTAAAAGTCAGATTCTCAAGTAGATATGTTACACCATATATAGGCTCTTCACAAAGTGGGCCAGCCAAGCTGGCTAATTCACAACCAGTTACAATACCATTAATAATCCTTTTATAATTATCAACTAATGTATACAAAGAATTTAATTCTCCTGTAAAATTACTTATTTTCTTAGGATAGTAAGAGGAATCATAAGTACATCTTAATGTCCAACCCAATAGATCAAACTGAGTTTCACAAGTAACTAGAATAGTACAACTTCCTTTGCGAGTACATATTCCTAAGATAATATACTTTGATATATTTTGTAACTTTTCTCTTTTATTATATCTCTTTTCTGCTATTAAATTATTTATCATTTTAGTTAAGTGACTATCAATTTCATCAAGAATATCCATTGTATGATTCATAGATGAAGAATAATTGTAAAGATTTGAATGGGAATGAATTAAGCTATTAATAACAGAACGATGTTCTTCTATGTACTCTATAATTGGTATTGGCATTGAAACTGCATTCAAAGATATTATAACATTCTCATTTGGTAATCTCATAATTTGTTTACCATCCAATTCATCATATATAGTCTCACAATTTGAATTAGGAGTATAGTTATCATTATTAATACCAGGATTCCTTGAATCATGCATAACTTGAGGATCTGGATTTAGTCCTACCCAAGGGGGAAAAGGAATTTTATTTTGTATTTTCTTAGGGATTTGAGTTTTTGGTCTAACTGTTAAACCTTCTCGAAGGCTTACCAAAGGTGGAGATATTGTTAAAGGTATTCTAGCAAAAACTTGTTGTAAATCAGAAATACAACGTTCTAAATGGACTTCTCCTCTACATCCTATAATATATTCTCCAGATTCAAAAGTATCAACTTCTACAGAAGTATCTGAACGACATAGTAACTTTAATCCTTCTACCATCAATGGTATATCTTGTACTCTTCTAGGTTCTATAGAAACCCTAATAATAGCTGAAGATCCATTGGAAGTTTCTGTTAAAGAAGAAAATGATGGCATATTAAGTAAATTAGACAAGGTTAATGATTGATCAAGACATGATATAGCTCCCAAGGTATAGATATCATGTTCTTGATTTAAATTATTCTTACTTATATAATCTTGATTATTCAATTGTGGGAATTTTAAACATAATCCAAAAATATTACCTGCTTTTACAGTCTCAATAGGAATCAAATCATTACCTAATAAAGTATATATATTAGTTACAGTTACTTGTAAATTGTCTTGATCTGTAGAACTTCTATTGTTTAATTCTACTTTAATATTTTTGCATATGTAAAGTTTATCTCCAATATTTAAAGTTCCTGCAAAAATTCGGGAAATTCCAACAAATCCATTTAACTTTTCAGTTCCTCTGAGTTTATCTCCTGTTAATCTATTTGCTGAAATATCTGCAGCTGCAAATTTAGAAATATAAACAACTACTGGATAATTAGGATTAACTAATTCAACACAATTTTCAACTGATAACCTAAAATTAGATAGTAAGTCTCCAATCTCCAAATTATACAAACTTGGACATATATGTGGTAGACGAATTTTACCAGCTGCAAGTGGTGAGGGTAGAGATGTTACAATCTTATGAAATACTGCAGAAGCCAAAGGTAACCAATTTGATAGAATATAACGGCATAAAGCAGAAAAAGAACAATTAGGAGAGGATATCTTTAATAATTCTGAATCTTTTGATATTTGTTTGTTACATTCAAATAAAAGCTGTTCTAAATCATTTGTTTGTTTGATTTTTAAAATTTCTATTATCTTTAATATTTTAGATTTATTATAACTAATACAAACTGAATTATAAATACTCCATAATGGCTCTAATATAAATTGTTCCAACATTGTACATTGATCCTTACGATTTGGTATTTGTGATACACTTTTTGATTTCAAGTTAAAATAATACCCCTCTGTAAGAGCTTTTTTTAGTTTCTCTCGTGTATTTAAATACCACGGTAACTTTAATTTATCAGCTATATTCTTCAGAATATTACCATCATTTATATCTAAACACCATCCATGTAAACAAGATGTAAATAAAATATTTCCATTACTAAATGAAAATTCAACAGATTTTTCTACACTATCATCTACAATAGGAACCAAATGACTAGAACCAGAGGAAATTTCAGGAGAATTATCCAAAATATTTAATTTATTATCTTGTATTATTTCTACATTGGGTTTATATATATCAGAAGTATTTTTACAATCAAGATTCAATTTGTTTACAGCTACTTTTTCATCTTTAAAATTCCCACTTTTTATAAAAATTGATTGATGGATTTCTTCATGCAAAAATTGATGCATTAAAACATTGATTTGTTCAATTAGTTTGCAGATGTGGATATAAGCTTCTTTAGGAGTAAGACCCAATTCTAAAATTAATCGATCCATCTTATTTAAAACTAATAACATTTGAACACGTTCAATATATGCTTGTTGTAAAACCTTTCTAGTTTGATCACCTAACCCCTCAACTACATCTACCAATATTAAAGCTCCATCACATAATCTTAATGCAGAAGATACTTCATGAGCAAAATCAACATGACCAGGTGAATCAATCAAATTTATTGTATATAATAAATCTGAAACATTTAAAAAAGGATCAATATAATTATAAGTTAAAGATATAGCTGAAGATTTCATTGTAATAAGACGATATTGTTCATCTTCCCGAGAATCTAGATAACGCATTGTACCTGCTGTACGGCTTGATAATATATTGTTACTTGCTAATAGAAAATCTGCCAAAGTTGTCTTGCCATGGTCAACATGAGCTATAATACATACATTACGTATTTTCTCAGCCATTGTCACATTTTTAGTATAATGTTAAAAATAGCATCAAAATGTCAATAAGTAACAACCACCTAAATATAATGGCTCTTAGGCGCCATAATATTTGTTAAATTTTGAACTATCTCCTATTACTGGGGATTAACAAAATATAATATTATGCGAAAATAATAAAAAAAAAAAAAAAAAAAACATTGAAATAGAATTGTAATATTAAATAAAACCTCTTTCTAGTTTATTAAACTAACTTATTCAATTATTTGTAGTTAAATATATATAGCCCTCTACTTAGATCTATAAATTAAGAAGTCCTATACTTAAGTCTTTAAATAATATAATCTAATACCTAATAAGAAATTCTACTTAATATACGTAATAAACTAGTCTTATATAATTATAATTAGCCTATATATATCCATTTCTGTTTTGTTTCTTCTTAAAAAGTAATTAAGATGACAAATCCTAATTATATTCCAATAATTCTACGTTATTCTGTCCCTTTAAGAAAAAATATTCAAAAATAATTTTGAAAGTTATTATATCTAGGAATTTCACTATAAATTATACAATTAACTACATTTAAAAATAATGTAAAATAATATTATTTTGGAATTTCTAATATTATATCTTCAATATATTTAAATATTAAAATATTACTTCTTTCAGATCCTGTAATTGAATTATTTGAATTATCTCCTAAATTTGTAGTATCAATATTTAATTTGATACTTAAGTATTTTATTAATTCAAGTACAAAATTACAATCCATAATATTGTCTGAGTTATCTAATTTATTCTTAAATAATTTCTTCATACTGTTATGTATATAAAGTAAATCTAATAATATTAAGTGATAATTTCTTTTCACAAATTCATGATTATTTAAGTAGTTAGTCCATTCTTCAACAAATCCAGTAAAAGATCGCTGTAAAATATCTTTTATAACATCATACATTTTTAAATATTTATTAAGAGTTTTATATAAATTTTGAGTGTCTTTTATAAATTGTATAGTTGAATTATGAGCTACATGTATATTTACCAAACTAGAAATAAGATTATCTGTGAATTCAAAATTATCTATATTTTGACTAGTATCATTAATCCAATTTATTAAACAAAAAGAAAATCTTTCAATAAGTATATCACTAATTTTATAAAAAACTTGGCGTTTAAGAGAGATTGATTCTTGTACAATATTTTCTATTTCATAAATAAGAGTTTCCTTAGATACTAAAGACTCTAATCCCAATAATATTGAAACATTACATCCATTATTCTTAGAATAAACAGAATCATTATCAGACTTATTTAATATTTTTTTAGAATAAAATAAATCTCTATTTGTAAGAAGTTTAACAATATGTTCACTTATATTAGATATAGCAATTGACCAAAAGTATATATCTTGACCACAAATAGCTAAATTATATACACTAATCTTTTTCAAATATCCCTTCTTAACAGCTTCTCCCTTTACAATATAGTTAAAACAGGTATTTAAATAATTCCTTAATAATTTAGATAACCTTGATATTCCTTCAGGTGATATCAAAGGTATACAATGTATAAATTTTATAATATAAGCTACAGTTTCAATACAATCCAAGCAACAAGAAGAAATACTAAATTGTATATCTTTATATATAATACTATAATTAGATATAGAAATAGATTTTTCATTCCCTAATTCTCCTGTTAAAAATAATTGAAATACTTTTTTGTAACGTTGATATAAATTATTTCTTTCCCATATTTCACTATTTATACTTTGTAATAAATTATCCCATGCTATTTTATATAAATCTTCAAATTCACTACGATAAAGTGTATAAAGTTGTATTCTAACTTCACTACATACTCTTTCAAACATTCTTAAATTTATTATTGAATCATTAGAATTATTATAATCATATATATCATTATTTTGTTTTATTGATGATTTCTTTATTTGATCTTGAATATTTAATAGCCATGTATTTGTAATAGTTTCTTGTATTTTATATAAGGAACACATTGATTTAACAGATATCCAATATAAAGAACTTATATTAATAATATTTAAATATTTATCATCTATAAAATATTTATTCATTCTCTTTGTTGAAAATCCCACTAAATTTATAAAATTATAAAAAATTCTTGTAATATTCTGTTCTAACCATTGTTTAATTGGGATATGAACTTGTTGAATAGATTTATTGATTATAATCTGAGGTATATCATTTCTATTTACAAGATTTAAATATATTATAATAATCATCATTGCAAACATAGATAAACGTTGAGTAATAAATAAAGAATAATTAAAACCTCTAATTATTTTGATATCTTCTTTTAAAATCTCTGAAATCTCCTCTTTATTTAAATTCTCTTCTAATTTAAAGTTCATATAATCCAAATCATTACATTCAGATAATAAATTATTTATTATTTTATCTAATAATTGATTAAGATTAGTATCTAAATCATCTAATGCCAATGCAATACGTCCTCTTTTTAATAATGCTATAATAGGATGAAATAAAGTATTTTTCATATCAATTAAAAAATATTTCTTAGATAAAAATTCCTTTATTAAATCTTCATTTAATTCATTTGAAAATCTCATATATAAATCCAAATCTAATTTTATTATAGTATCATAAATTCTATCTAACCATTTTATATTATTAGATAATCTCTTTATATCCAAAATCTTTTCTTTTATTCTATTATTATTATTATTATTAGAAAATACTGATAAATCCGAAATATTACAATTTCCATCAAAATTCTCATCTAATTTATCAATATTTAAATATTCTATTGGTTCTTTTTTTTTCATTTCTACTTTATCTAATATATTTCTTATCTTTTGTATCTCATATTCTATTTCTTGCTCATCATCTATAATTAATTTCCAAATATATTTTAATTGAGATAATATATGTATAAAGGAATTTTCATCGATATTCCCTAATATTAAACTATTTAAAGGATATTCAATCCAAATTAAAGTCATAGAAATAAAATCTTGAGCTGATATTTTATCAATTACTGAATATATCTCCATTAATTGGCTAGATAATGTATTTAAAGATATTATCCCATCCATTTGTTTACTTAGGATATCTAAAGTATAATCAATTAAACTATTTGCTTCATCATATTGTTTATTATTTAGTAATACTTGTAAGATATTTTGTGTTTTTCTTAATTTAGACATAATTTTCAACTTCTTAATTGTTTCAACAATTCTTTTCTTAATAAGTAATTTATAAAATATGTCAATTATCTTGTAACTTGATCCTCTAAAATTAACAACTTTTCTCTGTTTTACTGATTTTGTATTAATCATACTATTATTAATATCTATAATATCCTTATTATTATTTATAAATAAATCAAATGATAATTCACTATAGACTCCCTTTATATTATTTGAATTATCTTCTTTATTATTTAAAAGAATATTTAATAAATCATTTAGAGATTCTTCAAGTAATTTTAAATTTTTCAATTCTTCTAATAGTGGATTAAATGAATTACTTAAATGTTCATATAGGGATATACCTACAATATCCAAATATGAAATAATCTCATCTTCTGATTTAACATTATTAATTAAGTTAATATTCATTATATTATATTTATTAAAATATTTTTTTGGTATTAATAACTTTTCTCCAGTAAACTCAGATTGGACAAGTATTTCATTATTATTTACAAAATCTATATCCTCTTTATCTAAATTCACTCTTTTTATTTTCTCATTAATATTTTTTATATTAGAAGATCTACTCATTAAAATATACTTGGATATTTCATCTCTATATTTATCTAAATATATCTTTATTATTTCCTCATCACTATTGTTTATATTTTCTAAATTATAATCATTGTCTTGAATAATTACATTGTATTTGTTACTTTGGGAATTTAAAGTAATATTTTTTAATGAAAGAGGCATAATATTTTTAACAGGTATTGTTTTAATCCAAATTGGTAGATTTACCATATTGTTACGTATTGGATCCATTATATTTTTACGTAAGTAAATATTTTATATTAAATACAAAAAAAAAAATCTTTACATTTATAATAGTAATTATAATAGTTTAGATAATATATTTTACTCAACCAATCTTGAATTTAATGATATAATAATATATTATTACACTCATATATATTGTATATAAGATTAATAATTAAACTTTTATATATATTATTATATTTAGAATTTAAAAAAATATCTTTTTGTTCTTTTTCTAATATTTTAGACTGAATTTTTATCACTAAATAGGAGCCAAAAATTGGTGTAGACAAGTAAAAAAAATAAGGTCTAAATTATTCATATATAAAAAAATGTCCATTAAACTCTTTATCAAATATAGTAGAACCCCCTTAGTTTATTTAGTTATATATATATAGTTAGTAAATACTACCAAAAATATTACCTAAAACAAAGATATCCTTTTGAGAAAAAAAGGTTAAACTAGTAAAAATTTTATAAATTATAAACACTATTGTTATATTATTCTAGTATAAATAATAAAAGAGAGTTATGTGTCAATAATATTTGATGCAAATATTATAAAAATTTATTTAGAAATAAAAGTGCCTCATATTTTGTAACTTTTTGTTATCATATGTGGCGCCATGAAATAATAATTAATTACATGCACATGTAAAGTTTGTGTGCAAAGTGTGTCAATAGGGTGCAATTTCATTATCTACCTTGTGTAACTATTTCACTACTCTCCCAACTCCAAAAAATTTTATCTTCACTGTACACTATTAGTTATTTAGAATTATTTATTTTTAAAAGAAAATGAATGTAAAGAGTACTTCTATATTTCTTATTATTTTAACTATAATACTATCAACTCCTATTTAGTAAGTGGATAATTTGTTCCAACTAAAGAATTAAACAGATTTTCACTCATATTTAGCTCAATTCGATTAAGATATCATAGTAGTGGAATAATTGGTGGTAATCTTGTTCCAAGGCCATTTGGCTCAAATAGTGGCTCGTTTAAACATGTTGAACTGAAGAAAAAAAACGGCAATGGTGATAGTAATAATAGTGATAAAAGTAAAAGTAAAGAGAAAGGTGAGTTAGAAGGAAGTGATAATCAAAGTAATAGTAAATTGAATGTTAAACACCTTTCAGAAGATAATGAAGAGAATAAGGACTCACAAAAAGACAAAGAAGGTGGACCACATCAAAGAAGAGTACATAGACTTCTACTAACTGGAGGTAATTCAGGTGCAAAGTCACCACCACCACCATCATCGTTACCACTACCTCCACCACCATCACCATCACCACCATCACCATCACCACCATCACCATCACCATCACCATCACCATCACCACCATCACCATCACCATCACCGCCACCACCATCACCACCATCACCACCATCAC